TCAGTTACTCAGGGGAAAGGCTCTTTCATCAACTGCTCCGAGGGGGGAGCCGCTGAGTGCTCGCTGCGGGAACGTTCGCTCCAGCTCCAGCGTTCCCAGGTTTGAGACCCAGCAGTTGGAAGCGGGACCTCGGGCAAGCTGTTTAACTTCTTTTGTGTGCTTTTCTTCCGGGTCAGTGAAGTGAAGCAGTGGGAGTGGAGTAGGAATAAAGAAATCTCTAACTCGCTGTGATCAATCACCTGTAAATAACCACTGCATTCTGACCAGCCAACATTTTTTTTTAATTCTCACCCAAGCATATGTTTATTGGTTTGAGAGAGAGAGGAAAGAGGGAAGGGACGGAGAGAGAGAAACATTGATGTGAGAGAGAAAGGTCCATCGGTTGCCTTCCGTACACACCGCCACCGGGGACTGACCCCGCATCCAAGGAATGTGCCTTGACTGGGGCTCAAACCCGCGGCTTTTTGTGTATGGGATGATGCTCCAACCAAGTGAGCCACCTGACTGAGGTGGCCAGCCAACTTTTCCTTTCCGTTTTTCATCAGTAAAACTCAAGTAACAGCAGCATGAGCTTGCAGAGATCCTCCTCCTCCATGGCCCTGACCTTTCTTTTGTTTGTTCTGCCCGCCAGGCTGCAGGACCTGGTTCTGTCTGTCTCGTTATTTTAGCTCCAGTGATAGGCACATGACAGTATCGATAAGTATTTGTTAAATAAATACTCCAGCAAGTCATAGGATTTCAACAACTGCCAATATACCACAAACTCTTATCTTTTAATGACTTTAAAGTGTGTTCCAAATACTACAGAAATTCCAGGCTTCAACTTGATTATTTAATTGGAGATTCCCTTCCAAGCAGGGCCAGAAAACAATATTGGCTACTTCACTTAATTCTTTTAAATCATCTTTATTTTAAAATGTGCCCTTTAAAGGAAAACAAAAGCAAAATACTAACTTAGTTTTGTGGGGAGGAGCAAACTTTCTTTTGCCCTCAGGATTCTTCTGGCTGGTCTAATAATCAAGCATGCCTGAGACAGATCAGCAAGAGAAAATGATCCAATTTAATGCACAGGCACGGGAAACGCCCATACAGGAGAGCGTCAGAGGCCCCACCAGCATGAGAGGCTCAGAGGCAGACAGGGAACGTGGGCGTGTAGGACAGCCTGAGCCAGGGACCAGAGGAGCTACCTGGGGGGCTTCCAAGGGTCATTTCAGGATGAGAAGAACAGACATTTGGTAAATAGAAGTTTGTCCTGACATATATGAGGAGCAGAAAGAAAACAACTGCGCACCACAGAAGCGCATCTTGGAGTGACAGGCTCTGAAACCGCCCCCGCCCCACAGTTTCAAGTGATGAACGAAAGCATTAAAAATAAGCATTGAACATTGACTTCTTTTTGTAGAAAAGAGTTTGTTCTCAGTGAGTAATTTTCAATTTAAAAATTATTTGATTTGCTTCCATGTTCATGATATAAATTTGCAGAATTCAAAGACAAGACCTCAAAAACTGTTTGCCAGATCATTTTCCCCTTGTTACACCTCATTTATTAAAGTGAGATAAGTTAGCAGTTGGCAAGTTTGGCCCTCAGTTCACCATCTGAAGTTGATTAAGTACCTGTTTATTCCTTTTTATTAAACAGAAATATTTTACTGTATTCTTAGGAAAAACTGAAAAACAAATTTAAAAAAAAAACACCAAAAGCAACATCCTCCACACTTCAGATTTTCTAAAAAAGTTTAAAAATAATCTTTGCAATTAAATCCACAAATATTGTCTCCTGAATGCTGGTACTTTTAGTATTTGTAATTAAGCGTTTGTTTAACCCACAACTTGCTGTGTTAGGCCCTGGGAAGGGGCTGTCGGGGTCCCCCCTCCGCTGCTCTCAGGTCGTGCGAGCCCTGGAATGACTTTCTTCTTGCTTAATTTCTGCCTCTGAAATATGGACAAATACACAAATCCTGTTTTATAAAATGAAGGTTAAATAAGAGATTGCAATAAGACATTTAGTGTTCAATATGTGATACCTGGTACTCTTGTGTAATTAGGGAAACCCATTTTTGCATTTCATTCCAGTCAAGTGATGTCTATGTTCAGGTGCTGGCGACCAGGTAAAAGATGAATGATCTTTTGATAATCAAGAATGCTTCAGGGCCCTGGCCAGTGCTCGGGCGGTTAGAGTGTCTCTCCAGACGTCAAGGTTATGGGTTGGACGCCCTGCCCCCAGTCAGGACACATACCAGAATCAACCAATGAGTGCATAAATACGTGGAACAACAAATCAATGTTTCTCCCTCTCTCCCTCTCAAATGAATTTTAAAAAGCAGGAATGCTTTTGGAGTCAGTGGAGCAGGTGGCACAATTTGAGCCAAACTGACCCTTCCAGGTGTCATGTCCTACAGAGAGAGAGAGTAATTCTCTTGGTGCAGAAGGGCGAGCAAGGCCTCTGGGAGCTATTGGTGACAAAATAACTGCAAAGTTCCTTTACATTCAATTTTACCACCTTGTACTTGGGGTTGAGTCTGTATCTCACAGACTCAATAAACTCAACTCACATGGGTAATCACAATGTGACTTTGGGTGGGTGGGTCTAAATCTTGAGATTATGAAAGGGTTTTAGAAAAGGAGGTGGTAGGCTCACCTTTGTGGCAAAGCCAGTGGTCGCCCTGACAGGCCCCAGAAGTAGCAATACCTTGTTCCAGAACTGGCTCAGTTAATATTCTTAGGACCCCGACTAGCAGGATACAAAAGCAACCCTAATGGGTTTAACACCCATTACCAAGCCCACAGAACAGCGTGTAAAGCTCGAATGCCAATTTACTACTGGCCACAGTGAGAGCTGGATAGTGAGGTTCATAGATCAGTGAAGACAAAAACCAATGGAAGAGAAGCCGCAAACCACCAAGCAGTTGTATAAAGTCTTATCTCTTCACAATGGGTTTGCGTGGGATGAGCGGAATGAGGGTGAGGATGAAGGTGGGAGTGGGAGGGGCTCGCAAAATAGGACAGAAGACTCTCCTACGGACAGAGAGAAAGGAAGCTTTGTTTCAGTGTTCCCACCCCCTCTACGGATGTATTTGTATTATTTCCTAGGGCTACTACAACACGGTACCACAACATGGGTGGCCTAAAACAACAAAAACGTATTGTCTCACAGTTTTGGAAACTCCAAGTCCAAATCCAAGGGGTCCGCAGGGCCACGTTCCCTCTGAAACCCACAGGGGAGAATCCTTCCTTGTCTCTTCTAGCTTCTGATGTTTGCTGGCAAAATGTGAGTTCCTTGGTTTGTAGGTGCATCACGCCAGTCTCTGCCTTTCCTGTCTCATGGTTGTTTTCTTCCTCTCTCTCCTTTTCTTTTAAGAATACCAGTCATATTGGACTAAAGGTCCACTCTACTCCTGTAGGACCTCATCTTAACTAATTCTATCTGCAATAACCTTATTTCCAATTAAGTTTACATTGGAAGTACTGGGATTTAGGACTTCAACTTACCTTTTTAGGGGACACGATTCAACCTGTTACAGTATTTTGGGGACTCATTTAAGTTGTGAATTTGTGTAGTATGTAGGAATCCACTGCCCGTTTGTTCCTTTAATCTTGTTACTCTTTTATGATCAAGAAAATACTGGATTTGGTCACTTTTAGCCAAGAAAGTAAACTTCTGTTCACTTGCTGAAAGTTCCTAGAATTTCGGCCAGGATAGGGGATAGTAAATTACTAGCTGCCTGAAAGATTATTTTTCAAGAGACAAATCAAAAAACTTTGTGAGACAGGTGAGAATTTAAAAACCAGCCCTTAAAAATATTCGGGTTATTAAGGGGCGCCCCATTCCTCCTTCACCGTTGGTTTATTTTCTCCCCCTGCTTACTCTGCTCCCTTAATCCCCACCCCCCAGGTATGACCATTTTTGGTAAGAATGCTATTCACAGTATTATTACTAATTTTGTAGAGTAAGATACTGAGATATAATTACATGCAGAATAAGAATGGCTTGGAAAGTTATACTTAATTTGGTCCCAATTTCATTTTTTTCCAGATTCGTTTGTTTTTCCTCCCATTTACGACGCTCAGCCTCCGTGCTGTCCTGTATTTTCAAACTCTCTCAAGTGCCACGTGTACCCTTCTCCCACCTGGAATGGCCTTGCTTGGCACACACTCTCCTTTCAGACCACAGCTTGGCCTCTCGTGGGCCAGGAGGATTTTTACAACATGCGATACTTGACTATTTAATAGTCAGGGGACGCTGTCCTCTTTTCCCTTAGATTTTCAAATAAAAAAAAATGATAACAACCAACACGACAATAGCTATCTAGTGTGAACGAATAAAAATTACACCTGTTTTTGTCAGATCAGAAAAAATATGTATTTTGGAGTGTGCCACAGAATTTTAGGAATTAGTTTATGTGTGCCATGACATGAAAAGGGTTGAAAATCGCTGCTTTAGACCCAGCTTCTTCTCGGAGGCTTCCCCCTACACCTCGGGTCCTGCAGCTGCCGTGGCACCCTGCATGCAGGCTTTTATCTAGTTTTCTGCTCAATTATTAGTCTCATCTAGGTCCTGAATTCCTTGTAGACAGAGGTGGGGGTCTTTGCATTCCAAGGCCCACACACAGCAAGAGCTCAATAAACGTTTCCTGTCAGTTTGTGGCCGTTAACACGCATCTCACCCGGCCACAGGAAATACCGCGCCGCGACTACCGCCTGGCCTTCTGCTCTGCAGCACACGCCGTCCTCGGTCAGCGTCGGCTTCCACCATGGCTGACACGAGCTGCGGCCATGTGGCCGCCCCTCCGGGGCCGGGGCGCGGAGATCAGCGAAGCCTCGCGAGGGCAGGACCTCTTTTTTTCCCCCCCCGCCAACCCCTCTGTCGACTACATCTCCCAGAGAACCCTGGGGCGAGCCTCGGGCGATTGGTTGAGACCGATAGCCAATAAGGCCGCGAAGACCTCGCAGAGACCAATCACAGCCCCAGGGCGGGAGCTCCGCGCGGAGGCTCTGTTGCGGCGGAATCTATCTGTGTACTGAGGTGTCCTACGCGCTTGGACAGAGGACCTGGCTCGGCCTTGAGCCACGTGGTTTCCTGCGCGGTCCTGTTGTCCACTCTGCGGCCTGCCCAGCGCTGGCCAGCGCTGCTCTCTGCCGTCCCCTGTGGAGACTTCCCCGCTGCGCCCCGCGCCTGAGGAGGAGCTGCAGACCCGGCGGCATGTCACCACCGCAGCAAGAGCGCATGTCCTTGGGTAACACTCGGGCCTGCCCCGGGCGCGGTGCTTTCTGACGTGTGCTGTGGGCTCCCGGATGCCGGGTGGTGCTCCCACCCCCGATACGCCCCGCAAGCTTCTCGCGGGCAGACGGGCGGCGCCTGTGGGCTCCCGGAGCCGTCGGAGTGCCCACGTGTCTCGCCGCTCCCTTCCTCGCAGCCACCCCATCCCTCTCCGCTGGCACCGTTTCCTTGCCCCCGGCACCCCCTCCCTGCCCGCCCGCACGCCTGTCCCTGCCCGCCGGCATCTCTTCCTCCCCGGGCAAACCAACCCCCATATCCTGAACACACACTTCTTTTCTTGCTGGGGGAACACACTCCTAACGTCCGAGGAAGAACTTGGCGGCTTGACAGCCGACTTCAGATGGCAGCTTTGCCTGACTTGACCGTTCTCATTCAGTAGGTAGTTACTGAGCACCTACTGTGCTCAGCCAAAGAGAGTTCAGGTGCTGAGGACAGGTAAGGAAACCCAGAGGCCTGTTTAAACAAGAGTGAGTGTTTATTTTGCACTCCTGGGTCTGAGTCGTTCTTCGGATTCCAGCTGCGCGGAATCGCTGGTTAGAACAGATTAGCGGGCGCTCAGCAGGTGGGGATGGGGACGAGGGACCCCAAGTGACTGACTTCGTGGGCTTTGGGGTCAGCACTGAGAAAAACACGAGTTAGTACTGAGTGTGACTTCCGCTTCAAGGAAAGTACAGCTGCGGGTCTCAGAGATCGTCCTGGTTCGACGCTGTGCACAGATACACCCACTGAAATGTAGGTGCCAGGTGGGAAACGCAGAAACGAGGATCTGCCAGGGGGACAGAGCAGTAGTGCCCTCATCGGCGGGACGGCCGTGCCGTCCTGCCGCTAATAGGACTGGGACGGGGAAACGCTTTAACCCCTGCTGCTGCAAAGTAAGGCCTGTCCCTCTCGTAGGGTACCATGTAGCAGTTGAATACTGCCTCTTATTTGGGACTTACGGCTTTCCCTTCTCCGTTTCATTAGAAAGGAAACAGGTGCTTTGGTGGGAATGCCTGAGCTCAGTGGGTGACTGCGAGACTAAATAGCAACGTAGTCTTAACGGAAAAGACGTCAGAGGAGTCTGCTCTAAGACATTCACAATGTTCTGGACTTAATGGACGGAGTACTGATAAATTGGGTTTGGGTGGTTCTTCCCGGAAGAGGATCGTTTGGATGGCTGCCGGCCCTGGCTGACTCGTGCGGGGTTCTGTGGGGTCGCGCGCTTGAAGTCCCTGGAGGGTAACGCGGAGGCTGAGGCTGAGAGCAGAGACCATTAATTTGAGCCAACACATCTTATGCTAAAGGATAAGTAAGAATATGGGGTAACGTAGAAGCAGTGGGCCTTTTAAGGACCTCAGGTGCAGAGGAGTTTTATATTCTCTCCATGCAATTTCCATTTATATTTGTTTTGTTCGGTTTCCCTTTTATCTCTATTTTCTATTCCATAGGTAGCCTGTTTCAAATATGTCCATGTATTTGTATGTTTCTCTGTACTCTAGTGTGTGTATATATGTATTTTTAATTTATGTAAATAGTATGGTAGTTAACCATTTCTGACTTTTTCACTCAGTATTCCAGCCTTATAACATGGCAGCGTAGGGGTCTCTCTGGTTACCACTGCGTGTTATTTCACAGGAGCATCCATCCCGTTCATTTTGCCATGTCCCGACCAAGGTTGTCTTCAACTTGCCATCCCAACAATTACCCTCCTACGTAGTCTCTGTGGGTCTGTGAGAGTTTGGGAAGTACACCCAGGGTGAGATTGCTGGGTTTTCTGCACGCTTCCTTCTGCCGAGTCCTGCCAGGCTGCTCTCCAGAACAGCTCTGTCTGTGTTCCAGCGGGCACACTGGAGGGGTCAGATTTTCTTTGGCATTATCCAGTCTTCTAATTATTGTCCATCTGGAAATTGGATGTAAATTGTTATTGTGCTGCTTTAATTCACATTTCTCTTATCCGAGTTGAGTATCACTTCATTTACTCCTTGGTTGTTAATTGTTTTCCCCTCCCTTCACTTGCCTGTTCATCTCTCTTGCCCACTTTTCTATTTGATTTCTTATTGATTTGCAGGAGTTCCTTGTACATTATAAATATTAGTCCTTTTCAGTTTTAGACATTGCAAAATGTTTCTCTAATCCATAATCTATCACTTTTGTTCGTGGTTTCTTTTTGAAAAATTTTTTAATTTTATTTTTTAATTACAGTTTACACTCAGTATTATTTTGTATTAATTTCAGATGCACAGCATAGTGGTTAGATACTCATATACTATCAGTGGTCTCCAACCTGTTTGGCACCAGGAACCGGTTTCATGGAAGACAATTTTTCCACGAACTGGGGTGCAGCAGTTGGTTTCAGGATGATTCAAGCGCATTACATTCAAGCTCACCTCCTGCTGAGTGGCCTGGTTCCTATCAGGCCCGGAGGTTGGGACCCCTGATATTCTTTATAAAGTGTCCCCCCAATATTTCCAGTACCCACCTGGCACCATACTTAGTTATTACAATATTACTGACTAAATCTCCTATGCTCTATTTTATATCCCCATGACTATTTTATAACTACCAATTTGTACTTCTTAATCTCTTTGCCTTTTTATCCAGTCCCCTAATCCCGCTTCCCACCTGGAAACCATCAATCTGACTTCTGTATATATGAGTCTGTTTCTGTTTTGTTCATTTATTTTGTTTTTTAAATTCCACATATAAGTGAAATCATCTGGCATTTGACTTTCTCTGATTGACTTATTTCACTTAGCACAATATCCTCATGGTTCATCTGTACTGTTGAAAATGGTATGGTTTCATTCTTTTCTATGGCCGAGCCATATTCCATTGTATTTTATGTTCAACAACTTTTTTATCCACTGTGGTGAATTTCATTTAATAGAAAGTCTTAGTTTGTGTGTAATCAAATTCATCTTTTTTTTTTTAACATTATAAGTTGAGCTTCTTGAGTCTTAAGAAGTCTTTATTCTAAGTAATAAAGGTTTTCTACATCTATACATTCCTTATTTTATAATATGGGTTCATCATATAGTATTTGGTGGGTCAAGTAACCTCTTCCTATTTTTTCAAGGTTAGTTTAGCTCTTTATGGGCTTTTAGTCTTCCACATAAGTGAGAGAATAAGTTTGTCAACTTTCTCTTAAAAATCTGATGTTTTGTCTAAAAAAAAACTTTGATCTCTTACATATATGATGACTCTTAACAAGATATTAGAATTTGTATGTATGGGGACAGGGTTTTTTTGTTTTTTTTAAATTTTTTTGTTTTTTTAATGGTAAACAGTGAACTGTCTTAAAGTCTGAGAACAGTTTATATTTCTGATTGAAAACTAAATACAGTGAGAGCCCCAAGAGAAAATGCTTAGACTTTTTATAAAAATTACGAGGAGCAGAGTCACACTCCACTGTCAGATTTGCAGTGAGTAGAAAATGCCAAACTAATAGCAGCGAGGTAGACTAGGATGGGGGAAGGCGTGGCGTTCCATATGCCAGTTTCCCCTTCCTGTCTAACGTGTGCACTTGCTCAGTGCAGGAGGTAAAAGGACAAAGAAATGTAACTAATATGATTGGCCACTTTGCTGATGCCAAAGGACATACTTCATTGTGGAAAATATTGCATTGTTTCTCCCTAGAAGGTTTAGATACTTTTTAAATTAAATTACAAATATATGACCTATTCACTCCAAATTCACACCCTTTTCTCTGATCAGTCTGATGAATCACTTCATTTCAGGGCGGATTGCAGCTATATCTTTTTTTTTTTTTTAATATTTATTTATTTTTAGAGAGGGGAAAGGAGGGAGAAAGAGAGAGAGAGAGAAACATTGATTAGTTGCCTCTTGCGCACTATCAACTGGGAACCAGGCCTGCAACCCAGGCGTGTGCCCTGACTGGGAATTGAGCGAGAGAGCTTTCGGTTCTCAGGCTGGCATTGAGTTCACTGAGCCACACCAGCCAGGGCTATATTCTTTTAAGAAGAATTCAGTTGGGTATATAGGTTAAAGTTTTTAATCTTTTTTTTTAATTCCCCATTTGAAACTGGATTTTATTGTTTTCACTGAGTATTGCCTTCTTTCTGCCAGACTGATGTTCATTTCCACATTTTGAGACATGCCATTCCTGCCCCGTGCCCCAGCTCTAATATGAATAGGACCCAGAGCTTGCAGGTTTTTGTGATGTTTTTTCATGGCCCACTGGACTTTGTATTGGGTTGGCCAAAAAAGTTTGTTTGGTTTTTTTCCTTATGATGGCTCTAGAAGTGCTTATGTTTTATCCTAGTTTAAATTGGTAGTTGTGTTTGATTTAAGTTGGGCTAAGTACGGCTCAAAGTGGTCAATTTACATGAAATCTTCTAGGTGTAAGCTAGATGAGTTGTCTTTAAATTCACTTGAAACAATTTTGTTAGATTGTATTGTGACAGCTGTCATATCAGTGTACATTTAAAAAAATCAAAATTGGTGAATTTTTGTGGAGCCATTTTAATAGTGAAGATGGAAGAAGATAGGCAACATTTTTGGCATATTACACTATATTATTTCAAGAAAGGTAAAAATGCAACTGAAATGCAAAAAAAGATTTGTACAGTGTATGGAGAAGGTGCTGTGACCAAACACGACAAAAGTGGTTTGAGAAGTTTCTTGGTACTGTTGACATTTTGGTCAAATAATTCTTTGCTGTGGGGCTGTCATATGCATTGGAATATGTTTAGCAGCAGCCCTGGCCTCTTCCCCACTGGAAGCCAAAGTGGGAGATAGCTGACATACTCAAAATATCCAAATCAATAAAGTTATTGGTGAAAATGAAAAACGTGTTTTTTATTTTACGGAAAACAACGGAACAGACTTTTTGGCCAACCTAATAGTTTGTAGAACGCAATCTTTAGAGTTTCAGTCTTAGCTCTACTTCGTAGCTGTGTGATGGTAATGACATACTCAGAAGCAGTTAAGTGTATTTGTCTCATTTCATGACTTGTGTGATTGGAAGGTGCAGCTCTTAACATCTGAAGTGCCCCGTCACGCAGATCGTCTTATTTTATTACCACAGTTCCTATGACAAAGGCAGGATTGATTCCCTCGTTTTGAAGAAACATGAAGTCTTATCTAAAACCCCAGAGCTACTTATGGGAGCCGGGATTCGAGCCCAGATTTTTGGTTTCTCTTACCCTCTCACCATTAACTTAGTCATATCACGCTCACATTGTGGCAGTCACATCGTGGAGTGTCCACATTAATGCCACACCTGATTTTGCTCTGTTGACTTTAGCCTGAAATGATGGGACTGCTGCCTGATGCCCACCGTTTGTCTGTTCCACATGGCTCATTACACCTTACCTTTTCTTCACATATCCTAAGAAGCGAGCTTTTCCTTTGGTACTTGAAGTACTACTGGTCAGATCATTGGGTCCTTGTACCTTTTTCAGAAGTATTTTCTCTCACCTGTTAAGCCCAATAGATAGAATGAGCCCGTGAGGTGGTTTGGAAAAGAGCAGTGAACTGTGAAAGGAACGTACTGCCCTTTGTGAAAGCACCTAGGTACTTGCAGATTCGCTGTGCGTGTTACTGGAGCAACCTTCCTGAAACGGGCTTGGAGTAATTTAGAACAGCCCTGTGGCCACCATGTAGCCTCTGTTCCTGTTTTGTGTGCATGAGACTGGGCCGTAAGGCAGGGCAGAGTTGTACCTTTGTACCCAATGGGAGCTTGCAGATATTCACACATTTCTGGTTTGGGTTTTAAATGACCTCTTCTTCCGCGTCATCCCTCAGTTTTTTGCCATCTCCATTCAGGAAATACTCGTTGAACACTTAGGTGCCAGGTACTGTCCTTGGTGTTGCTAGGGACAGGGATGAGTTGGTCTAGACAATCTTTTCCTCCAAGGAGCTCAGGCAGCTTACAGCCAGCTCCCTTTGACTCGAGCCTTGCCCCCCTTTCAGGGAGCACAGATGAAATGTTGACAAGGCGGACTGGTGTCATTGTGATGTGTTTTGAGTACCCTGGATTAACTTTGACAGGCAGTAGGCAATTGTTGGGGGTGTTTGAGCAGAGAAGTAACTGATTTAGGAAGATTAACCTGGCAGTCGTGTATGAGATAGACTGAAAGGGTGACCAGGCACAGTGGTGAGGTGCTAGTCTCTTACCTCTTTGTGGGACACTTGATTGTTCCCATCTGAGATCTCACTTAACCTGAAAAACAACTCTGTGAGGTATTATTACTACTAGTTCTCATGGATGTCAACTGAAGCTTAGCGGATTGGTGGTGGCTGGGTTGTAAGTGGGTGGACGGTGTGGAATCTGTAGGTTTAAGATCTAAGTAGCTGTTGGTTGTCAGGGAGGGTAAGGAGTCAGAATACTGAGGTTTTCAGGTCAAGCTTCTGGGAAGAATGATGTCATTAGATTGAGGGACAGGTGTGTATTCTAGGTGGCAATATCAGGTGGCCAGTTTGAAATCTGGGTCTAAGATTGGGGCCAAGTGTTTTGATACTTCAAAGGTCATTGGTGATTTTAGAAAGTAATTTCGGTAGAGTGGTAGAGGAGGAAGCCACATCAAGATGACAAGAATTGGGGGGTGTTGAGGTGTAGGTGTCAAGGGGGGATGGGCAGTGGGAGGTATTGGGGTGGTGGGGACCAAGTGCTCTTCTTCCTTAGGTACAGAGAGAAGAAAACAGAGTGAACCAAGCTTCAAGAGGATTTTGAGGTGGAGAGGGTGAGGCTAAGGAGCTCCGGACAGTAAACTTCTTTGTACAGGCTTAGGTAAAATCACCTGTTGAGTGAAAAGGATGAGAAGGATTTGGTGCTAAGAGAAAGCAGAGGTTTGGAATAGCAGATGTGGGAAGTATGGAGGGTTGCCAAGGAAAGGTAATAAGAGGCTTCATATTAGGAATTTTCTATGACTCCAAGCAGCTTAGCGCTGTGGCTTTCCGGTAGTTCTTGGAAATTGGAAATAGGATTGGAAGGAGAGGCATGGGAGCTTCTCAGGGCTGGGAGTGAGAAGTTAAGGACATAGACTTGAGATGTTCCAGGGTGTCGGCCAGTTACTATTTTATAGACGGAGAAGAGGGGAGTAAAGCCCGGTGTGAGGCTATTAGTTCTGGCAGTAGGTGGAGAAGTCTGTCAAAGTTAACAGTTAAATAGATCGATCATTTTCAATTACCCAGGTGAAATATCCCTATGAGGGGAGCACGTGCACAGAATTAACAGGCAGAGGCAGCCCTGAAGGCAGCTCCGCAGCCTGGCTGCCCGTCCCTCCTCCCTGGCGCAGCACCTGCAGCCCGCCTCCCCACTGCGCAGTGCTTCACTGGTGACTGAGGTGTAAAATCTTGGCGTTGTAATAACTTTTTTAAAAAATATTTTATTTATTTTTACAGAGAGGGGAAGGGAGGGAGAAAGAGGGAGAGAAATATCAGGGCAACCCAGGCATGTGCCCTGATGGGGAATCGAACTGGTGACTCTTTGCTTTGTAGTCTGGCACTCAAACCACTGAGCCATACCAGCCACGGCCTTAGTGAAAACGTTTTTGCGCAGCATTTTTCTAACACAGAGCCATGAGCATATCTTTTATGAGCCCTATTAACTCCCTATTGTGAATGGATATAAATTACTCTAAACTCCCTCTGCACATATCATTTCCCCCTTTCATTTTTTAAAGTCAGCTGTTCACTTTCTTTAAAGCAGGCATGAAGAAAACCGTGCAGGATGAGATCGAAGCCGTTCTGCAGGAGAGGATCATGGTGCTGGATGGAGGGATGGGAACCATGATCCAGCGGCACAAGCTGAGTGAAGAAGGCTTCCGAGGTCAGGAGTTTAAGGATCACACCAGGCCACTGAAAGGCAACAATGACATTCTAAGTATAACTCAACCTGATGTCATTTATCAAATCCATAAGGTAAAGTGTCACCAGGTGCTTGCTCGTATTTTCAGTCTGTCATTCTTCGTGCCATTTCGTGTGTTGAGGGCAGGACACTGCAGAGTGCTCTGGAGGGTACAGAGGGAAGAGGGGGTTTGCTCAGGATGCAGGCTTTGGAGTAAAAGCCATGCGCTGTGGCGAGCATTCAGGGTAAGGACGTGAGGAGGGTAGGCTTTCTTGCCCTGGAGGTATTTCAGCTCCAGTGACAGAACCCACAAAATCCTGGGCAAATTAGGGTTTTCACAGATACTATAACTTAAGTCACCAAAACAGCCTGATGAAATACAACAAAAGGTAGTTGTTATTCTCATTTTTTAGATTTGGAAACTGAGGATCACAGAGGTTAAATAACTTGCCTGATGGGACAGAGGTTTTCTGACCCAAAATCCTGTGTTCTTTCATTCTGTTGTTTTATCTCCAGTAAAAATGGTTAGCCAACATAAGGAGATCAGAAGTAAGTAACTGGGTGTTGCTGTACTTTTTAAGTTTTGAAATAAACATAGAACTTAAGTTGTTTCATAGGTGATCGTAGAAGTTTCATAGAATTATGACTAGAAGAGATAGTGAGGTGATTTAATCTGTTTCCCTGGCCTGGATGCAATTAGAAGGACAAAGCTTATTTATCATTTAAGTGAGAAAGTTTTATTTTCTGGAGCCCTCTTGTTATTATAAGTGATTCAGACTATTCCCGGTGGGGAGAAAATTACCTAAACAAATCACTGAGTGGTAAAATGATTCATTGAGTTGGAGGGATCATTTTACTGGGTGGTCAAAACTTTGTTCTAAGTAAGATGCAGAATGGTTTTCCTTTGAAGAAAATAAAAGAATACCTTTCCTTTGGTTGTAAGAGGAATTGTAGATACTGGAAGATTTCAAATTGGTCTTTGAAAAAGTTTGGTTCTGCAGAAAGAATGGTAATTCAGTTTTTCTGCTAGGCCTTGAGAGTATGTAGTCAAATTTCATAAAAATCGCAGTGTGTTGAGGCTGGGACTGTCATCATGGGTATGAACTGCTTGGGGTGGTTACAAAACTCAGTTCTTCCAATAGAGTTGGTGAGGCACACGAACACCATGCCATGTGGCTTTGTCCTTGTGGGTTGTCACTAAAGTCTAAGTTCCTAAGGATAGCAATTTATCCCTGTTTTTCAGCCCTGAATAGCTACTGCCTAGAACAGTATCTTGCATGTAGTAAGTACTCAGTAAGCATTTGTTGAAGGAATGAATCTTGTCCTGTGTATTAGACAGGTATCTAGATAGAGCAACACGATTCCCAAGATAGGTACATGAAGCAAAAATGGCCGTAATACAGGAAGATGTACCTAACTATCTCATTCCTGGGAAAATATTCACTGACTGGAGTCTTTGAATGTAGAGACCGTGTCTTGTTAAGAATGGAAAAAGGCTGGGTTATTTTCACACTTAGTTATTTCTAGTGGAATTAATGACTGTAGATTAGGTCCTCTGACACTGTAGTTCATGGAATTTCTAAGTTGTATGTGTAGTGTAAGTGCGTGACATTGAGCTTTTGATTGCAGAGACATCTATTTCAAAGACATTTACCTCACAGAAGCACTTTGGCAGGTGTATGACACAGCTGCTAGGTAAACAACTGGGTAAGGAACCAGGCCACTTCCGCCCATGAAGTTCCCCGTTAAGAAAGCCCTGGGCGACGTAGAAAGTGGACGGCTGAGTGACAGCGCCTTGCCCTTTCTGCACCCTAATTCCCACTCTTACGTTTTAAATTTGCCAATAAAGAGCAAACTTGGGAAACCTCAGTAAAGGCCGAACTCCAGGTTCACGTGGGCTCCCTTGCTCGCGTACTCCTACCCCGTCCCGCCTTGCTGTGCCGCCCCAGCAGTGCCCGCATCACCCAGGACTGGTGAACTGTAAGTCTGGCTTTGCACAGGCGCCCCCTGGCGGCTGTGCTGCGGTGCACTGGCTGCCACAGCCACAGGGGGCCCGGGTGAGGGCCTCGGGCGTTCCCGAGGCGACACAGACTGACACCAACATGAAACCGTATTGGAAACATGTTAGCCTCTCTAAGGGCCTTCTCGAAGGTCCTCCTTTAATATTGACAGCTTTCTTCAGGAGAAAACTGAGGAGCAGAGGAATTAAGTAGCTTGTCCCAAATCACACCTTTATTAAATCCACGAGAATAGGATTGGAGTGGAGGTGTCCCATGCAGAGCCCATGAGTGGAGCAGTGACCTAGGAAAGGTGGAGGGGAGGCAGCGCCTTGTAACTCTCTGTTACGGAAATTTTCACATAGGTGGGAATTTAGAAGTATTTTTTCTCTAATTATAAAGACAGTATGCGTTCACTGTTTAAAAGAACAGGTCTAGCTAGATAATATAGAAAAGCATAAAAGAAAATAAAAACCACTTGTAATGTCAATACCAAGAGAAACTACCATTCACATATTTTATTTTATATTTCAATCTAGTTTTCTATACTTGGATTTTAAAAATTAAATTGGGGTTCTATTACTCCATCCTGTTCTAAAATTTGCATGTTTCACTTATATACCATGAGCATTAAACATTCTGGAAAATGGTTTTAATAATTTTATATTAATCTATTCTATGTATACATCATTAGTTACTTAACTAATCTCCTTATTCCTAGGCATTAAGAAATTTTTCTTGCTCTTGTTTGAAAAATTAAATTTTAATTAATTTGTTCTCATAAAACAAAACCCATAGGTAAGAATAAACTCCCTTTAAAACTACTCCAGAGTTCTATTTTTTTTTACCAAGATAACCACTTATGTTAGTTGACATACATCTTTCTGGATGATTTTGTTACGCATTTATATAAGTGTATGTGTGTATACACCTATGTATGTATGTATCTAGATATGTATGTGTATGTGTATACATACATATCTAGAAAATTCACAGTACGTTTTATATATATGTGTGTATATATACAGATGATGTCATACTTTACTTATCAGTCAACCTTGTTTTTCTATTCAGCAATACTTCGTAGAGCATTTTGTGTTAGTATATGTAGAAATACACAATGTTTTTTAGCTACCACATGGCATGTAATAAAATGGATATGTTATAGTTTATTTAGCTGTTCTTTCACAGATGGATGTTAAGGAAGTTTGTGACTTGTAAATGTGTAAGTCTTGGTTTTCATTGCCCAGCTCTTCTGTGAACAGTTTTATCAGCGAGGAGGGATTGGGTTCACTCACTATGGGAAAAGCTAGGAGGCTGAGAGATTCCAGAGTGCTCCTCAGGTTGAAGCTGAGAAGAAAGGTTTTAAATAGGGGAAACAGGAGGGCACTGGGTCCTCGAGGTTCTGATGAGGGTGCGGGCCTGCTGCAGAGGGACTAAGATGTGGACGGACCAGTGTGGTCAGCACTGAGGTCCAAAGACAGTGGCGTTCTCTGTGGGGATCTGACTGTAGTGACGCCGTGGGAAGGCGGGGGTGGGGGGGACCTGACGTGTGTTGTCTGCCCATCCTGTGCCAGACACTTTTTATCATGTGTCATCATATAGCCATCCTGTGAAGTAGGCTTTTAATACTTTCAGATGAGGACACTGCGTTTAGGGAATTTGACTCAATTCACGGAACTTAGTGTGTCAACTTGTCTGAAGTCAAGCGCTATTATTTATTTACATCCTGTGCCTTCCTATGAAAGTCTTCAATCTGTTTGTATGTCTAGCCTCCAGCGCAGTGCTGTATGCTTAGTGAGCGGCCAGAGGCTGTTTAGTGGTGATGATGATAAAAAGGCGTATTGATTGTTGGGGGAGAGGGGTTCTAAACTCAGCATTGACGTTGCTGTCTTGTGGCAGGAATACTTGCTGGCTGGGGCAGACATCATCGAAACAAACACTTTCAGCAGCACTAACGTCGCCCAAGCTGACTACGGCCTGGAACACGTGGTAAGACTTGCATTCCCCCTCTTAACTAAGAGATTCACGAGCATTTACCACAGTACTTTCTGGTAGTGAGAAGACCACCTGAAGCGAATGCCTGGTTATCTCTTGTTTGTGCTCAGTCAGGAAAATGGTTTGACTCTTTTCTGCTTATTAATATAGTAGCCCATTTATTTTCCATCTGGCTTTTATGGGCAAGTAATCATCAAATAGAAATGACGCTTATTATGCAGTGACTGTTGATAAAGACATAATGATTGCTGTATGTACTGTTTTGTGAGGCCTTCTTTAGTATTGCATAGCAGATTTGGTTTCCTTTTACAAAAAAAATTCTGGCTAAATCATGTAACATAAAATTTACCATCCCAACCATTTTTAAGTGTAAGTTTAGTCACATTAAGTACATTCAGTTGGTGACGCCATCACCAACATTCATCCACAGAACTCTTTTCATTTTGCAGAACTGAAACTCTGTCCCCATTAAACACTCACCCCATTCCCCGTCCCAGGCCCTGGCACCCACCATCCTACTCTCAGTCTCTGAGTTTGACTGTTCTAGTTCCTTGTCTAAGTGTAATCATGAGATCATGCGCCTTTTGTGTACTGCAGTTATTTTTGTATTATTTTAGAGTAGGAGTTGGCAAACTTTTTCTGTAAAGGACCAGATAGTAAATATTTTGAGCTTTAGTGACTACATACAGTCTCTGTTGCAACCACTCAGCTCTGTCTTTGTAGCACAAAAGCAGTCTTAGAAGATGTGTAAAAGATGGGCTTGATTGTGTTCTAATAAAACTTTATGTACAAAATTGAAAGCAGGCTAGATTTGCCCTGGGAGCCATAGTTTGATACACACCTATTTTAGGATATTATAGTTTCTTAATATATAGATATGAGAATCCAAGGCAGAGAGTCTTTTAATCAGGTAGAATCTTGAAGATCACAAGTCTGGGACTTCCTAGCTCTGCTTGTGGAAGCCCTTCAGGAGGCCTTTGAACCTCTTTAAATTGTAGGCAGGACTTTGTGTGTGAGTGCATACTTGCTTTTATTTCCTAGTGAGTGGGTGCGTGGGCCTTTACCAAATGTCAAGAGGTTAATAATCTATAGAAAGTTCAGAATCTTTGATTACAGCCATTGTTTGGTGAAGGAAGTCAGGGCCTGAAGAAGTTGCCATGGGAACTGCCTGGCTGGCAGTGACAAAGCTGGTCTTGTAAAGCCTGTGCTGTTTCCATAACTATTATTTTATCTAACTCTCAGAACACTTAACTCCATCAGCGTATTCTCTGACATGCCAGATGTCCAGAGATTGTTCTTCTGTCACCTTGCTTATGGTTTTGGGGAAGAACCTATAAGCAGTTCCTAAGACTTTTGCCTTTCCTAACCCTGTTTAGGCTGGGGCAGCTGGTAGGCCTTCTGGGCCAAGATTTCAATCAGACCTCAGATTAATTTGCTTTCCAATTCCTAATGGAATGACAGTGGGTTTTAGAAGGTCATGGGTTCCTATTTAACATGTGGAGGAAACGAAGGATGAGCTAACATTTGTAGCTCTGTGTTAGGTCTACCAGATGAACAAGTGCTCTGCGGGAGTGGCCAGAAAAGCAGCTGAGGAGATAACTCTCCAGACAGGTAAGGAATGTCTTTCTCCCAATTGTTTTTTTTTTTTTTTTTTTTTTTTTTTAACTTAGAGGGGAAGGGAGGGAGAAAGAGAGGAAGAGAAACATTAATGGGTTGTTCTCGCATGCATCCCAACTGGGGATCTGGCCTGTAACCCTGGCATGTGCCCTGACTGGGAATTGAACTAGTGGCCTTTCAGTTTGCAGGACAGTGACCAACTGAGCCACATGGGTCAGGGCTCTCCCTTTTTTACAAATATGATTCTTGGACATTTTCAGTTTGAATATGCTGTCCTTATTGCACTTTTTCCTTTAATAATCGTTGGCTTTCCAGCAACCCTGCCGACACCGTGTTGAACTTATTTGTAGGTTACTTCTCTGCAATTTCACAGTCAAGCATTCACTGTCTTTCTGGATTGACTGTCCCCATGGGCCTTGGGCTCAGGGTTTGTTCTGTGTTTACTTTCCTACTGGGACCATGGCTCCTTGTACATTACAGCTAAAATGACTTTCCTCCCTTTGGAAGCACACCATAAGGTTATTAAGGCAACAACAGGCTGTTTTGGTCACTTGGGTTATTCAAGTATTTGACCTTACACTTTAAAGCTTTTCTAATCCCTGTGGTTGGTTTGTCTAGGTCAAGATATACTGTCTTTGGAATGTTTTCCACTTCGTACTGCTAATGTCCTTGAAGGCTCTGTGTAGCACACAAAAGAGTGTGTTGGTAGATTCAGACTTGCAGGAACATGAAAAGTGGCTCCCCAAAATAACTACCCTCCTGGCTGGCTGCCGCAAGAACACTTGGGCAGCAGCTGGTGAGGAGGCTTTGAAGGAAGGGAAGGAATAGAAGAAATATGTAGAGTTCTTTAAGATTTGAAAATGTGAAATTACTGCCAACAGGAAAGATGAAAGAAAATGGTTAGGAAGTTAGACACAGCATACTAATGAATGAAGATGGATCAATTTATAGGAACTTTGTTTCTGCCCTGGCTGGTGTGGCTCAGTGGATTGAGTGCTGGCCTTGAACGGAAAGGAACTCTGTTTCTGAGAGAGAATGTTTAAATCCATGGAAACATGTAGACTATTTCCCCAGCAGAGTTGCAGGTCAGAGGATGTTCAGCCAGTAAAAGCGGGGAAAGAGAAAGACATTTTTCTTATTCCCACATTATTGTTCAGCTTTGGAGAAGATAAGGACTCTTTGGGCCTGCAACCTGTTGAATGCTACTGTAAGGAGCTTTTGCAGAACCTGTGTTAAGTTCAAGACCTTCAAGAATATGGAGAGAATTTGTCCAAATGTAGCTATGGTGATAGAAAAGGATTACTTACTGAAACCCTTGGAAGCCAGGCATGTGAGAATTCGGAGCTTTGGGATTGGTTTGGCAATAATATTTGCGCATGCCCTCTATTTCATAATTTCTCCAGTGGGATCCAGAACAGCCCCATAATCAAAAACATATTTATAGTAAACTGTCCCTCTAAATGGGAGAAAGACTATAAATAAGCCTCTTGTTCAGGAGAGGTCAAGTTTTGTGGTCAAATGAAATAAAAATGTTTGGACTTTTACACCTTTGGATTTCAAAGTTTTGGACAAGGGATTGTAGACCTATAGCCTAGGGAACTTAATGATTCACAGCAAAATCCTTGAGCTATTCAGAGATTTCACTCTTGCTTCTCTTTTCCAAAGGGATTAAGAGGTTTGTGGCAGGAGCTCTGGGTCCAACTAATAAGACCCTCTCTGTGTCCCCGTCTGTGGAAAGACCAGATTACAGGAACATCAGTGAGTATTCATCACATATAAGCAATGATGGTGAGCAAGTCCTACTGTGTTTCAGTAACCTCTGAGTCTGTAAAATGGGGCCAATAATGGGCTCTGTCTCAGGGTTATTGTGACATAGTCCACATAAGGGCTTACAACAGTCCCTGGAACATAGAATGCATCTTAAAAAAAGGTAGCTGGTTTTTTGGTTCTTTTTCTTTTTAGCTTGCTTGCAAATATACATGGTGTTGCCTTAGTGTTTTTTCTTTTCTTTTCTTTTCTTTTTTTTTTTTTAAATCAGCTGTGGAAGTAAAACCAATCAAAATAAAGTTTTAAACTGACAAGTTGAGAAACTGTGGCCACCAGGCCTTTGTCTGTTAGAGAATAACACCTTAGAGCTCCGTTTTATTTATCATAAAGCAGTCCAAACTATATAAACATACTAGTATTATAAATATTATAAACTAATATATAAGCACACTTGCATTGAGATTTTACAAAAAATCTAGAAATGTAGGTCAGTTTCTTAAGCATTAAACTATAAAAAACGATTGAACTTTCAGAGCTGAATAGTAATAACACTATGTATTGCAATGGATTTTGTGTAGATGACAAGTTCAGGAAGCTGTGATTTGTAGGTTTTTGTCACAGAACGTGCAGTGATCCCACACTTTGTCCCCAGGCCTAGAACACTCCGTGCTCATTCTGATGCTCCCGTGGCCCAGGCATGACCGTGAGGTCCTGACCCTCCGTGTCCCTGCGCCGTGTAAGAGGAGGCTCCTGTAATGTGCTCTTCAGGCCTCTCTGCTGAGTACCTGAGCATTTTCTCTTTTGTCTGAAAAGTGAAATGGGGAGAGGGATGACTCCTCAGATGGAAATAGAAAACTCAGCAGGTTTCTACAAAAATTTCACCCAGGAATGATTGAACACTTTTCTTCAGACAGAAATTGCCTGTCAGGCAGGTTTTTTCCTCTGGCAGAGTTGGTGTCAGAGGGCGGGAGCCAAACCCAGGGAACTGCTGCGGCCTTTTCCCAGGGGGAGCGAGGGGGTGTGGCTCGCCCTGAGGCGTCTGTCGTTCCTCCTCACACCCGTCCCTGGGAGTTCATTAAAACTGTCCCTGGAAAGGGTGGTGTGTCCTAACGATCTCTGTAGTCGGTACAGGGCTAGGGAAGCCCTGAGCTTCCCTTTCACTCACTCTGCCCCCCACCCTCACATGGGAAGTGCCGGCTTCATGCATGTGTTTAGGGGCAGATGTGTTCAGTTTACTGGTTTAACTCCCATCACTCCCACATTTCTGTATTTGGTTTCAAAATGAAAGGTGGCATTGCCCTTCAATTGTGCATTATAACAAGCTTGTGTAGTCCACAAGTGCCAGGCCTGAACTGAGCATATCCTGGCCATTCAGACGGTATTGATGACTGAGGTACTGGATGGCATTTGTTTTTTGCAGCTTTTGATGAGCTCGTTGATGCGTACAAAGAGCAGGCCCGAGGGCTTCTCGACGGCGGGGTGGATATCTTGCTCATCGAAACTATTTTTGATACGGCCAATGCCAAGGTGAGTTAAGGGAAGGAGAGGCGCAGGCCTGGGGTTGGGGAGCTGTGATGGATCCCCTGTGTGGTGAGAAGGCAACACTGGCCATTACTGAAGTTAAGTGAAATTCCTCTAGTGCATTGTATTCTCGGCTCTTAACTGAGGCCAGTAGAATGGAAAAAAAAAACTTGAAAGGTTATCTTTTTAACTTTTACAAAAGTTTTTTTTTAATTATGAAAGTATATATCTTCATGTATAGATACCATGTGTTTTTGTATATGCATAGGTAATAAATGTATACTCATGGTTCTAAATTTAAATTATACATAAATGTATGCAGTGAAAAGTAATATCCTTCCATCTCCTGTTGCCGGGGACAACTGTCACCAACGTGGAAGTTCTGATGTGGGGTCCAGGGCAGGTGTCAGCAAGGGGGGCGGGTGTGTGTGTGTGTGTGTGTGTGTGTGTGTATGTATGTAGGTGTCAGCAAGGGGGGCGGGTGTGTGTGAGTGTGTGAGAGAGTGTCGGGGGGGGGGTGTGTGTGTGTGTGTGAGAGAGTGTACGTAGGTGTCAGCAAGGGGGGCGGGTGTGTATGAGTGTGTGAGAGAGTGTGCGTAGGTGTCAGCAAGGGGGGCGGGGGTGTGTGTGTGTGTGTGCGTGCAAAGGCAAGTAAGTATGTGGAGTACAAAGGAGATGCCCTTCTATGGTCTTTTGTATTTGTTTGCTTGTTTAATTTTCAGTCACAGTTGACACACATTATGAGTTTCAGGGGTACAACACAACACAGTGATTAGACGCTTATGTAACTTACAAAGGGACCCCTTTAATAAATCTCACACCCCCCTGGCTCCTTACGTGGTTATTTCAGTGTTGTTGACCCTGTTCCCTGTGCTGCACTTTACGTCCCTGTGACTGTTCTGTAGCTGCCAGTTTGTACTTCTTTAATCCCTTTGCCTTTTCCACTATCCCCACAACTGTTTTCCATCTGGTGACCTGCAATTTATACATATGATTTTTTGCACAATGTATCTAAATAATAAAGTTCCACAAGTAAAATTGCCAGGTAAAAGGATTTATTCATTGTTAATTCTGATCTTTAGTGTTAAATTAGCCTCCTTCAAGATGTGCTCATTCAAACCCCGGTCAGCAGCCAGTGCATAGCACGCTGGTCTCATCACGCCTTGCTGACACCATCTAGTGTTGCACTTTTTGGTCTTTTCCAATTTGATAGGTGAAAAGTGCTCTTTTTTTTTTTTAATTTTATTTTAATTTATTTTTTCAAATACATTTGTCTCTGCCAACCCCCCGAAAAGTGCTTTCTTATTGTAGTTTTTATATGTATTTTTCTGACTACAAATGAAATAGAGCATCTTTTTTTAAAATCCTCGCCTGAGGATATATTTATTGATTTTAGGGGGGAGTGGCGGGGGGGGGGAAGAGATAGAGAGAGAGAGGAGGAAACATCAATTTGTGTGAGAGAAACATCGATTGGCTGCCTTCTGTACATGCCCGGAACAGGGATCGAATCCGCAACCTTTTTTTGGTGTACGGGACGACACTCCAACAAACAGCCACCTGGCCAGGGCAAATAGAAGATCTTTTCAAAGCTTTACAGCCATATGTATTTTTTCTCCTGTGATTTGTGTCTTATGCTTTATTTCTGTTGGACTTACGGTCTTTTTCTGAGTCTTTCCCTAAGGAAATCATCCTTGTCAGTGATGACTAGCAAATGTAGTCTCCAGTTTGGTGTTTGACTTGACTTCCTGTGTGGTGGTGATGGTGACACAGCTGTGGTGTTTTTTTCTTTGTTTGATTTAGTTTTTAAATGGTGCAACAGAATTTAATTTTGTATGGTTTGGTTTATGGATTCTGGCTTTTCTGGTGGCAGGGAATTATATTTGCAAGGGCACTTGCTGTTCCAAGGATAAAAAATGGTCTCTTTTTATTCTTAGTACTTCACTTTTCATCAAATGTTTGTTATGAAATAAGACCACAGATTCAGAATTCTTTTTATAATGACTATTCTGTAACTACCAATTTGTACTTCTTAATCTTCACCTTTTTCACCCATCCCCCAACCTCCCTCCAATCTGGCAACCATCAAAATGTTCTTTGTGTCTGTGAGTCTGTCTTAATTCTGCTTGTTTATTTATTTTGTTCTTATTCAAAGAAATAAAGAAAATAAAGATTTTCTTTATTTTTTTAGAGATAGAGGAAGGGAAGGAGAAAGATGGAGAGAAACATGTGCAAGATCAATTGGCTGCCGCTCACATGTCCCCAACTAGAGGCCTGGCCCACAACTCAGGCATGTCCCCTGACTGGGAATTGAACCTGTGACTTTCCAGTTCACAGGCCGGCGCCCAGTTCACTGAGCCACAGCAGCCAGGGCTATTCTGTTTTTTAGAGTCTACATATAAGTGAAATCATTGGACATTTGCCCTTCTCTCTCTGACTTATTTCACCCTCTAGGTTCGTCCTGTTTTTACAGATGGCATGATTTCATTCTTTTTATGGAGGAGTCACATTCCATTGCTGCACCACTTGTTCTTTATCTGTCCATCAGTTGATAGACAGTTAGGTTGCTTCCATATCTTGGCTATTGTCAGTAGTGCTACAGTGAACATATGGATGCATGTTGTTTTCAATTTAGTGTTTCGGGTTTCTTCAGAAAATACCCAGAAGGGGAATTGCTGGATCCTTCTTTGTCTCTTGTTACAGCCTTTGTTTTAAAGTCTATTTTGTCTGGTATAAGTATTGCTACTGGAGCTTTTGTTATTTTTTTTATTTCCATTGTCATGAAATATCTTTTGCTATTCCTTTACTTTCAGTCTGTGTGTGTCTTTTGAATAGAAGTGTTTCCTGTAGATAGCATATGTAAGGGTCTTGTTTTGTTATTCATTTATCTTCCATGTGTCTTTTGATTGGAGCATTTAATCCATTTGCATTTAAAGAAATCATTGGTAGATATATTATTATTGCCATTTTATTCATATTTTTAATATTTTTTCCCCTTCTTGAAGAAGTCATTTAACATTTCTTGTAATACTAGTTTGGAGGTGATAAACTTAGCTTTTTCTCGTCTGAGAAGATATTTATTTGTTTTTTTATTCTAAATGGTAACTTTGCTGGGCAGAGTAATCTTGGACATAGGTCCTTGCCTTTCATGACTTTGAATACTTCTTGCCAGTCCCTTCTGGCCTGCAAAGTTTCTGTTGAGAAATCAGCTGACAGTCGCTTCCGTGTAGGTACCTAATTGCTTTTCTCTTGAGGCTTTTAAGATTCCCTCTTTGTCCTTTTCTTGGGCTTTTGAGTTATGATGTGTCCTGGTGTGGACCTCTGGGTCCATCTTGTTTGGGACTGTCTGCGCTTCCTGGGCTTGTGTGTCTGTTTCCATGGCAAGCTGGGGAGGTTTTCGTCATTATTTTTTCACATTGATTCTAAATCCTTTGCTGTCTCTCTCTTTCTGGTACCCCAATGATGCAAATGTTTGTATAATTGCTATTACCTCAGAGGATCTTTATGTTACCCTTACTTTTTTGGATTCTTTTTTCTTTTTGGTGTTCTGTTTGAGTATTTTCTGCTTCCTCATCTTCCAAATTGTTGACTTGATCCTCAGTTTCATCTATTCTGCTGTTGATTCCCTGTAATGTATTCTTCATTTCAGTTCACATATTCTTCATTTCTGACTGGTTCTTTTTATGTTTTGGTTTGGCTTTTTTGATTTCTCTTTGTTGAAGTTCTCACAGAGTTCATGTGCTCCTCCCCTAACTTCATTGAACTCTGGATCTAATGGATTGCTTGTCTTCATTTTGTTTAGTTATTTCTTTGGAGTTTTGTTGTGTTCTGTCATTTGGCACATGTGTATTTGTCTCCTCACTCTGGCTGCCTTCCTGTGTTTGTTTCTGTGTATTAGGTAGAGCTGCTATGTCTCCCAGTCTTGGTAGAGTGGCCTTATATAGTAGGTGTCCTGTGGGGCCCAGGGGCACAGCCTCCCTGGTCACCTGAGCTAGGTGCTTCAGGTGCACTCCCATGGGGACTGTGTGTACCCTCCCGTTATCGTTGAGGTTTCACTGCTGTTGGCACATTGGTGGAAGGGATTTACCCGCAGGCCGACTGGCTGTGAGGACAGGCTGTGGAGGACCTGTGCAGGGCTGGCCCCACAGAGGAGGACTTCAGCGGGGCTCAGGGGCCTACCTGGTCCACCCCTCATGTGTGTTACCTGTGGTGGTGGTTGGGTGGTGCTTCGGCGTGGTTGGAAGCTGTCCAGTAGGTGCGCTGGCTCTGGCACCTCCTGGGTGGTACAGGCCAAGGTCAACCACCGCCCATAACTTTTAGACATATTTTTACACTAAAATACTTGCATTGATAAAGAATTAGGGGAATGACTACCAGCCAGAAACTTGGATGACTATTCTATCTCATGCTTAACATTTCACTCATATGGTTTTCCCTATAAACCTGTCTAGAAATTATTTGTGAATCTCTAGTAAACAAATCTTATAATTTGAAAAGCAACTCAAGAATACATTTTGAAAATAAGAGTGCTAACAAATATAATAGAGAGTATACCTGAAATGAGACCCAGAAATGAGATCCTAATCTAAATAATATTGAAAAGAGTCACAATATTGTTTAGATTAGAAATAAGCGTGGTATATAATAATGAGGTAAAGCAGTATGGAGATATTTTGTTAGTGTAGTTTTTAGGTTTTAGAATATGTTACATCACATTCTTTTGATTATTGAGGGGCTGGTTTCCCTCACTGTGTTTCTGGAATTTATTTTGGAGTAAGAAATAGGATAAAAATCTAACTACTCTTTTTCTCTAAGGTTACCTAATTTTCCTAACACCATCTATTAGACATTCTTTTATTTTCTGATGAGAGGAATCATGTGGACTCTCACCCACATCATCTAAATTCAGGATTGCATCTGGTCTAATCTGTTCTAATAATCTGTCTGCTGATGCCACACGGCCATCCTGCTGTTTACAGGACAGTATCATGTCATGTTATATATAGCATTATAATTACAGTGTGTTTGAGGAACTGGTAGGCTGGCAGGTTTTTCATTAAACTCCCCTTCTTTTTTCCCCAGAACTTTCCTGGCTACTCTTTTCATGTTTATTTTCTGTAAGATCTTCAGGATCAATTTGTCTACTTCTAAAAAGAGAAATTCAGATATTTTTCCAGTGGAGGGGGCACGCATCAATTACAGGTTACCTTCTGATTTCAGAAAATTAATTATGAAAATATGCGCATCTTAGAGTCAAGAAATATAATGATAAAAAGAAAGAGACTGTGTTGCCTGGAACTTAACAAAGCTTGCTCAGGGCACAGTAACATGGGATTTGTGTCTCTGTGTCCCACTCCGAGCCCACACTCTTTTCTGAAATGACACACACTGCTGATTCCTTCCCTGCCACGGATATAGGAGGGCGTGGAAGGCAGACACGTTCTAATTTCAGTTTTGGTTGAGTAGTTCTCATTGGCTCCTCCTCCGAGGAATCCTGATCCCTAGGTGAACTCTCAGTCAGCATTTGTTTTCTTAGTGTGACAGTATGATCTTGGGACGGGTGCTGTGTTGTGCGTCATAGATAGGACACATTTCTTCTTCTTCCCAGAGAACACAATGTGGATCTTACCTGAACAAGTCTTAGGCCCTGACTGGTTTGGTGTTGTCCCACAAAGTAAAAGGTCGCCAGTTCGATCCCTGGCCAGAGCACATGCCTGGGTTGCGGGCTTGGTCACAGTTAGGGTGCGTACAAGAAGCAACTGATCGATGTTTCCCTCTTACATCGATGTTTCTTGCTCTCTCTTTCTCCCTCCCTTCTCCTTTCTCTAGAAATAAATAAATAAAATCTTTTTCTTTTAAAAGAGAGAGGTCTTAGAAAAGCCAGGATTCAGATCAGCCAGTTAGACTGATCTTGGACACAGTCTCTGAGATAAACATGATGTCCTTTTTTTTCCCTGACAGGCAGCCTTGTTTGCACTCCAGGACCTTTTTGAAGAGACGTATGCTCCCCGGCCTATATTTGTAAGTTCTAAAATGTTGATTTTTGTTTTTTATTAATACTGTCATTTTGAGGGTAGGTTTTTTTTTTTTCTTGCATAGAACTATAGAGAGTATCTTTCAGGAACCACCCACTTTAATATTTTTTGTTCACCTCCCTCCTACCACCACCTCTAGACAAAGAAAACGAATCTAGAAGTGGTTGGTAGGAGCAAAGGGGCCTGGTTGAATTGCGTTCCTGAAGCTGGAGGCTTGGGGCTCACTCTCCTGAGGGCCCAAGAGGGGTGGCCTTGCGTGCTGACTGTAAATATCCAGCGCTGAAGACAGCAAAATTGCCAGTTTAGGAACTCAGTGGCGGACGCACTTGAGAGTCCTAACGTTGTTTGGTGAGGAGAGAACAGAATCGATGCTGGGGCTGCGTCACAGCAGGTGGCCAGGCTAGCCCGAGGTGCGTGGGGAAGCCGTCTCTCGTGAGACTGGATGTGGGAACCCTAAGCTGTTCTGGCCGTGGCTTTGGCCTTTGTGGCTTTCCCTTTTCCTGGCGTCTGTGGCTCACCAGCCCCCTCCTCACTTGGCGTTTTCTGTTTGACTGTTGTAGGAAACGCTGCCTTTGAGCCCCGCAGCTCCTGTCCCTGTACGAGGACACAGAAAGCCAACTTGCTCACTTTATTTTGTCTTTGTGACTGAACTGTTAACTTGAGTCTATCTTGTTGACTGAGTTTACTTTGTTAATTCAGATTTCAGGGACAATTGTTGATAAAAGTGGGCGGACGCTTTCTGGACAGACAGGAGAGGCGTTTGTCATCAGTGTGTCTCACGCTGACCCACTCTGGTGAGTCATCATTCTTTCCTTGACTCTGTCCCTATTTGGGGATCTTCCCTGGTGGCTTTGGAGTGTGACTTGAGGAGGGGTTGCCTCTGCATATTTGCACCGTCCCACCTGCGTGGGATGCTGGCTGTCCTGGGTGTGCATTCGGACTCTCCCCTCAGGAAACCCCTGAGGGTAGGAGACCCCTGCCTAAGTGGGTCGGTTTGAGGGGCGGGGCAGCTCTCACCCGTCCTGGGCCAGCCAGATGGCTGGCTTTTTGTCTCTCAGTGGCCCCCTTAGAGATTAAGACTGTGCTTGTTGGTGCGGTGATAAGATTTGGAACCTGTTGTCAGTGCTTAGATTTTTTGCCATGCTTTACACAGTTTTCTCATTCCCTATATATGGAATAGCCAGAAGCAGTCCAGCTTGGAATAAGATGGGAATTTTAAAGCTTGGTATTTTGATCGTTAAAATTAACCTGATTTTTTCATTCTATTTTAACATATCTCCCCATGTTTTCTTACCAAAATGTGAATGAAATGGAAGCTCTAAGAGTATATGCTGTTTTTCACCTCTGCCTTCTCCATAAACATGCTATGTATTCTTTCTTCTGTCCCTCTCTCTCTCTCCCCCTTTCTCTCGCACACACCCTCTCCCTCTCCCCCCGACCCCCTCAGCTCCCTGTTAGCCTTTAAGACTCATCTCAAGGGTCCTCTTTAGGGAACCTGCCTTCTCCCACCAGCCCAAGTTGATGTTCCTCTCTGAGCACTGTTTAGTAGTATTATAGTCCTTGCCAGAGAAACAGCAGTAATAGACATATATCGAGAGTTTGCTGTATACCAGCCTTGGTTCTGAGTGCTTTTTGAGAGTTATTTCTTTTAATTCTGCCAACAACTCTTGAGGGAAGGTACTGCCCCATTTTAGTGACAAGGGAACTGAGACTCAGGGGTTGTGACTTGCTCAATATCAGTAAATAGGGGACGAGGGACAGGGGCTTGCTCTTAGCCACTCTGTTGTACCACATTTCATCAGTTATGTGACGGTTTTTTCCTCACATGTTTATGTTTATAATTTCAGGGAAGATCTTCCCGTTGAGTTAGTGTGGTAATGTGATTTTATGAAGACTGCTGTAATATAGGGTGCATTATTACTCTACTGATCAGGCCTGATAATTAAGAAAATAACTGCATTGAACTGGGTTGTGATTGGCTCCTTAACAGCTTATGAGCTTTTTTAGAACAGTCTCTTAGTGAAATGTATTTCTCTAGTGCTTGATAGAGTCCTTGGCACATAGTAGGGATCCAGTAAACATTTAACAGAAAAACTCAAGATAGGAATGGGTAGGGTTCTCTGAAGACACACTTTATGTAGCTTATTCTAAATTTTTTTGTCTTCTCTCAAACATTTTGAACATTTCTCCTTCATTTTCTTTTTTCTCTTTCCTACCACATTGCACTTAAGAATTTTAGTAAAAGAAAAAAATATATATAGGGTGGGACAAGAGTAGGTTATAGTTGTTTGTATGGAGAATACTACAATAAATAAATAATAAGTTGTAAGTATGTGAAACACAGTTTATTCTTGTTATTATTCATTAATTATTGTAGTATTTTCCATACAAACAACTGTAAACCAACTTTTGCTCTGCCCTGTATAAAAAAAGAGATGACAGAGTCCAGCAGCTTCATGGTTGATTCCTGCTTTCCCACAGGCCTCGGGGGCCCCTGTGGAGACAGGTTTTAGAGGGTCTCAGGCCTCCACTCTTCAGACACAGCAGCTCTGCCTTGATCTGTTTTATATGAGTCAGTTTCATCTGCCAGACAGACAGCCCCTTGGTTTTGTAGGGAAAGAAGGCAGCTTCACTTATAAGAGGACAGATTTTGAGTCCTGGGCCACCTTGCAGGTCAGTTGTGGAGTAAGGACCAAGTCTCGGTTGTCTAGCCTCCCAGAGTGGCTTCCACATGCCATTGATGTTCCTTCTACCTCCAAGATTTTTTCTTTTTCCTCCTCCTAAGGGTTGCTTTCAAATCAGATGTTAGTTGGCAGGGGTGGTTCGCAGGCGCCTCTGTTTCACAGTATGCTGTTACCAGACTGGGAACTCACTTCAGGAGTCACATCCCTGGGCAGGGACCGTTAGCCACGAGACCGTCTGATATGGGAGACGTGGGCCGCAGTGGTACTCGGTGCTGCAGGGTCCTTGAGTGACAAGGCTTTGACTGTAGCTGCAGAAAAGTGCTTTGTCAGGAGATTTATTACCTGCTTGGTTTTAGATACATTCTTTTATTATAACTCTTTATATGCGTAAATATTTTGAATAAAAGAGGATGCTCCTAATCTTTCTGTTTTTCCAGCATTGGATTAAACTGTGCCCTGGGTGCAGCTGAAATGAGACCTTTTATTGAAACAGTTGGGAAATGTACAACAGCCTTTGTCCTGTGCTATCCCAATGCAGGTGTGTATTTTGAGGGCGCTGCTCATGGGGAAATCCAAGTACGGAAGACATGGATGGATAGGGTAACAGGTCTTGATAAAAGGGTTTGTTTTATAGGTCATGGTGTGTAGTTAACACTCAGTAGGAATTCTCTAAATGGAGAACATTTGGGTCTAGACACACTGTTTCCCTTTAGACTTGAAGGCACAGTTTGGCTCAGCTTCTAAGCTTCAGAATGGGACAGAACTTGGAGGAAAGAAGCCTAGTCACACAACTGCCCAGAGCCTTCTGGCGACACTGCTCACCGACCATGTGGACGGTGGCCAAACTGCGTGCAGAGAACGTGGGGGGAGCCCTCTCCTTCACTCTCTTCACTAAGAGCAGGCAGGGGACTTGTGCCTTGTTACCTTTTTCCTTTCTAGAAGTTAGGACTTCTAGTTTACCATATATAAAAATTACCAAGAGAGTTGTAGATAATTCTCAAACTATCCAAGTAAATAGTGGTAATTCATGCTGGGTTAACCAGAGTTCCTGGTGAATATTTTTGAGCACTATTTAGCTACTTAGGGCTAAAAATCATTTCCCTGCTTTTTTCCTCCAAGTATATACATTTTATCGCACAATAAATTTTATTTCCCACGTGGAGCAAGATAACTGGAAGGGGATAAGAAATAAAATAGGAAATTGGATATTTAGATACTAAAGCCTTAACTTGGGAAAATTTATTTGAGAGACGATTCGTTGTGTTTGGTATTTTTAATTGTGTATCAGGTACTACTAGTTTGAGGGGTACAGTATTCCCCCAACCACACCCCAACTAGCGGGCAATGATGAATTTTATTTATGGGCAGGAGAGAGGAATGAGAGCTTCTGTCTCATATAGCAGTGACGCTTTTCTTTCAAATGGAAAAGAAATAGTGGATGTTCGTCTATGCCTTCTCTTTTAGTGTGGTGTCTCTATATACTGTGTTTAATATTAACAATTATTTGTTTTTGCAAGTATGTAATTATAATATAGCATTAGTTGGTAAATATATAATTTCCTAACTTTTGAACATAAAGCCATTACAAACGCAGTCATACCTTGGCACTCGTCAGATTCAGAACTTGTCAAACCCTGTACTTGTTGCATTTTGACGAGAAAAAAAAAGTCTCAGTGCTCGGCGCTTGCTTGGGACTCATGTTCCATGCTGGAACTTGTATGCGTCACGGCACTGCCCCACAAGAGAAAATGCTTCATCACGTGTCACTTGCTTGGTACTTGTTGGTTTGGCACTCGTCACGAGTTCCGGAACAAACCGACGAGTACCAAGGTATCACTCTACTGTGTCTGTTTGTTAAAGTCGTTTCCAGTGATGGTTGCAATGTACTTTCTTAGGTCTTCCCAATACCTTCGGTGACTATGATGAAACTCCACATGTGATGGCCATGCACTTAAAGGTCAGGAGCCCTCTGTCACTTGGTTCTTAAGAGATAGAGAAATGACATTTTAGATTTAGACTATTTAGGAGCAAAATTTTTTCCTAAATGAATTCCAGTGTGTATATAATGAATAAAAGTTGAGTTAGGCTGATTTAAGATGGCGGAGGTAGAGGGAAAGGCTAGCTGTTGGTATCTTGTTCCCCAGCCGGTACGGGTGGCTGTCGGAAAGCTCCCAGTGAGGTCCAGCTGAAATTAATTGGAACCTGGCCGTCCCGCAGCCCTCTCACATGGTGCCCCGCTCCCTGGCTCCCAAGCTCCTTGTTCCTCACTGTCACCTCCCCCGTTCTCCTCCTCTCCCATCCACCTGCTGTCTGTGCTGCCCACTGTCCCTGCTCATTGCTAGTCCCCAAGTCTGTCATCCTCATTGCTTGAATGTGTGGCTCTGGCTCACTGACCTTCTCTCCTAAACGATTTCTGACTTACTCCTTATAATTTTAATACCATATATAGATGCCCTTTTCAGTGTTTAGACTTCTCCGTTGCTTGACTTCCTTTCTTGTCCTTCAAGCTAGCTTAGGGTTGAACTCTGGGCCCACGTGGGGTTGGTTATGGGAGCAGTTGATACGTGGTTATTGTGACTGAGGAACTGAATTTTTAATTCTTTAAAAATTTTAATGGATTTACATGTAAAAACTGCATTATTTAAAAATGCACTATCCAGTTCATATTTATTCAGCTCAGCATATGGGCTAAAGTCTTGACTATGATCAAATAAACAAACAAATATCTTATTATAGTATATTTTATTGTTTTTAATTTTTAAAAATATTTTACTTATTTATTTTTAGAAAAAGGAGAAGGGAGGGAGAAAGAGAGGGAGAGAAATATCAGTGTGTGAGAGAAACATTAATCCGTTGCCTCTGGCACGCCCCCAGCCAGGGACCTGGCCTGCAACCCAGGCATGTGACCTCACCAGAAATTGAACTGGCGAACTTTGGGTTTGCAGGATGACATCCAACCCACTGAGCCACACTGGTTGGGCTCTTATTTCATTTTAAATGGTGTAAAGGATTTCATAGTACCTGAACTGTGCTAATGTTATAGTGGGGGCATTAAAAGAATTGTATATAAAGTGTGTTTAGCTCTCTTTTTAATATAAAATTACTGATTCAGGAAATGTAGGATTTTTTTCTGCTGAACAGGTAGTGGTGAGTTTAGAATTCAGTTGGACTCACTGGAACTTTCTTTTCCTAAGTGCAGGACTTTGCTATGGATGGTTTGGTCAACATCGTTGGTGGATGCTGCGGCACGACACCAGATCACATCAGGTAATCATTACTTCGAATGTTTTACCTTTTGTTACGGGGATGGATTGCGTCCTCCCCAAATTCATATTTTCAAGTGCTTACTCCAAGTCCTCCAAATGGACTGTATCTGAAATGGGGACTTTAAAGAAGTAATAAGGTAAGATGACGCCATGTGAATAGCCGCTAATCCAGTACAACCGGCACCCTTGTAAGAAGAGTGGACAAGACAGAGACACAAACAGAGGAGGGAACCATGTGAAGGCACAGGGAGCAAACAAGCCCCGGAGAGAGGCCTTAGAGGAAACCAGCCCTGCTGACACCTTCATCTCAGACTTGCAGCCTCCAGGACTTGGAGAAACAAATTTCTGCTATTTAAGCGACTGTATTCAATCTGTGGTATTTCGTTATGGCAGCCCTAGCAACCTATACCTTTATATTATAAAAATCCCAAAAATAAAATGAATGCTCATGTGCCTATCTCATAGTTTTCATAATTTTCCACATTTGCTATTCTTATTTAACTTACTCTCCAACTTATTCCTCCTTAGACTAGTGATTTTCAGCCTTTTTCATCTCATGGCACATGTAAACTAATTACTGAAATTCTGCGGCACACCAAAAAATGTATTTTTGGCTGATCTGACAAAAAATAGGTATAATTTTGATTCATTCACACTGGATGGCTATTGTTCTGTTGGCTGTTGTCATCTTTAATTTGACAATCTAAGGGAAAAGAGGTCAGCACCCCTGACTAAATAGCCAGGTATTGCACGTTTTAAAAATGAATTTTTTAACAGTGCACCAGTGTGCCTGCTGTGGCACATGGGTTGAAAATAGCTGCCTTAGACTATTGTAAAGCAAACTCCAGGTATAGAAACATTCCACCCTTAAGTACCTGACTGACATATGAAGGCTCCTGAAGGGACAGCTCATGTTTCCTATGGGCAGGGGCGTGCCTCCATTAGATCCTGTCATGAAGGAAAAGGTGGTAAGACCACACACACGTGAGGTCAGGACAAGTGTCCCTGCCTGCGCAGTGCACAGTTGGCTAATCCAGGTCGCCAAATGGGGCAGGAGGAAGGGAGTGTGAAACCTGAGCCTGGTGAAGCTGTGTAAGCCCTTGGGATTTTGTGGCTTGGGAGAGGACTGGAATTCAGTAGAATAAAACATTTAAGACTGTGTGTTTGGTTTTTTCCCTGCAGTGACAGGTGGTCATATTTTGAGCTAGTTATCTCACTGAGCCTGAGTCTATTCTGAGTCTGTTTTCTTGTGTATAGTATATTCCCTGTGTTGAATTACCTACTATTTCACTACTTTTGTTGACTTCTGTGATACATTCTATTGGGTCTATGTCATTTTTTAAACATCTTTTAAATAATCTCTGAAAGATATCAATTGTTGAATATAGCTTATCTTTGGATCTCTTTATTTTTAAGGTTCTCTGTTTTTAAAAAGTTCTAAAATTAAGTGTGTGTTAATATAAATATATACGTAGATATATATGTCTCCTTGTCTATCAATCTGTGTATGTGTGTGCATGTCTATATATATTATATAATATTATATAAATAGCTAGAGTTTTCCAGGTTAATTAAAGACATAATCCATTAAAGCTGACAAGGTTAAAGAGAGTATGAATAATTTAAACACATTTTTAGGAGTACTTATTTTGGAGTTTTAATGATGTATTTCTGTACATCCTCCCTACTCTGTGCATGCTATGCTTGGAAAAAACAGATCTAAAAGATTTAATTTCCTTCATTCCTGGGATCTTTTCCCTTGTTTGTACCTCCTTCTCGATGAAGAAGACTTTTCTTTGAAACTACTTGAATGAACAGCAAGGACGTACCTCATGTGTGGATTTGGTGAAGTAAAAGATATCTGTGGGTCTGGGAACAGGAAGAGGAGATGTGCTGTTTGCATTTATGCAAATGATTTCCCACCTCTGGGTTCACGCATCGGAGTGAACGCAGAAACTGGCTCAGTCGCACACAGCAGAATGGGCAGGGACAGGAAAGCTAGGTTTAGGCATTCATTTTCTGCATTGCTGAGAAAACCAGAAGGTGTAATTGTTGCTGCACATTTGGAACTAGGTATATAAGTATGTGCATCATTGTGTTAGACTGAATTTCATAGCGGGAAATTAGGTTAATTTTATTTTATTCAGAATTAATGGATATACTGTTTTCTTTTTTAACTCAGGGAAATTGCTAAAGCTGTGAAAAACTATAAGCCTCGCGTTCCACCTGCCACTGTTTATGAAAGGCATATGTTGTTGTCGGGTAAGTCATCAATACATGGTTTGTAGGATTTCAGAAACCATTTGTAGATTAATTTAGTATATTTGTCTTAAGTGGTAGTGATGTTTGTGCCAACCACTTGTTTATTACATCAAAGAAGAGTATATATTTTTCTTGGCACTTGAGTGAATTCTAGTGAAGAATCCTTTGTTTTTCTAGGGGTGACATTAACTTACAGGGAAGTGTGAATGAAGGCAGGTGATTCTCCCAGGTGCCCTTGTTTAGGGTTAGAAATCACATGGTCCCGTTTCTAAATGTGCAGCACTTTGAAAACTTACCCTTGTCCACAGCCTAACAATTCTCATTGCCAGATTTGCTATTATCCCATATTTTGCCATGTATAATGTGATCCCATGTAAAATGCGCACCCACGTTTTTATGTGCGTTATACCTGGGATTATTATCTCCATGGTATGTAATTGTTACAACTATCTATAATGCACATCCTTATTTTCCCCTCAAAAATTTGGCCAAAAAATGAGCAGTATACACAGGAAAATATGGTAGTTACTGAAAATTTCAAACTGCCAAGGTTCAATATTTTGTAGTAACCACAGCCGCTTCCTAGAAGATCTTGTTTGTTTCTAAACTATTGTCATGGTCTCACATTTGTCATGTATTCAAGACTTTTCAAAGAGTTGTGCTATTTATTTTTCCAGTTTGTCCTCAGCAATCCTATGAGGTAGGCAGCCTCCTTTTTCAGAATGAGCTTTGATGTTCAGCTAAGGAACATTGGTAAAAATAGTTCATTATGCCAACTGTTAGAAAACAACTTTAAATTTTCTCCACAATACTTTAATGACATATTCTTATATAGTATCTTTAAGCAAAAAAAATAAATAAATAAATGTGTGTGTATATATATATATATTTAAATAGATTCCTAGCGAACCTGCAGATTGTACACACGGGGAATTATATACCCTGATAATGTAGAATTTAACATTTCTCTAAATGGAGATAGTTTTATTCTTTATGTTCTTCAAAGAAGAGTGAAATGAAAGACGAGTGCAGCAATGGCAACACCCACCTTCTCAGAACATGCTGCCCAGAGGCAGGCCCCGGGAGCGCTCTGGGGCTCGGTTCTGTGGTGCCCCCCAGAGTGGCTTTTGTCAGGGAGAGGGTGGTAGCATAGTTTATTTCATCTTTAGATTTTACAGCTATTAATTGACTTCATCCAAGTGGTAACAATTAAAGTTGTCAGTCTTTACCAAAGTTGAAACAAGAAGAGAACCATTTAGATACGATTTTTTAAAAAGAATTTATGTGTGTAAGAATGAAAGAACCCTTTTATTCTGATTTGAATTTATGCTATCTCTAAATTGCTTTACAAATCATCTTTAATTAGATCTTTTAAAGATTTTATTGATTTATTTTTAGAAGGGAAGGGAGAGAGAAAGAGAGGGAGAGAAACATTGATTGGTTGCCTATCGTATGTGTCCCTTTTGGGGATCGAACCGGGGACCCTTTGCTTTGTAGGACAACGCCCAACCAACGGAGCCATACTGGTCTGGGCCTTTAATCAAATCTTAAAAGAATGACAAACATACTCTTTTAAATTGTTCTTTTATACATTGCATACTTGTGAAAAATGTGGTTTTTAGATCAGCAACTTTGCCTTCATAGTCGATCAGAAGTGCTTTGTGTGGAATGCTTCTGGCCTCTTCAACACTTAGACTTGTGCCTGCCCCGTGGGTCGCAAGGGCCTGCCCGGGGCTGGCAGGGGCCATGTCAGCGTGAGAAACGTCCAAGCCTGTAAGCGTTTTTGTGGGTTTATCTGAGCCAAACCAACAGCAGTTGCTGGGAAGCAGCATCTCAATAGGTTGAGATTATGCTTCAGAGAATGGCAGTTTTATACCTTATTTTATACATTACAACCAAAGGAGGAGGCATAAGGAGGGTTACATCAAATCCACTGGTGATCGACTAGGGAGACAGGAGAAAGCAAAGCAGGGAAATGTGTGGGACTGGATAAAGAGTAAAATGAAGAGACAGATACTTCTTTACATTGGCGGGTATAGGACAGTTAACAATTAACATTTGTAGCACGTAGGGACGGGATGCAGGGTGGGGGGCGTTGGGGGGACAGAATAACAATGGCAGATTCCGTGGCCTTGCCCCCTGGTGAGAGATTGAGCCCTGAGGGGTCGGACAAACGGGATTCCAGAGGTATGTTATCCGTAGATACAAAAAGACAGTAGACAGGCTCAGTGAAGGTAAAGATTGACCTTTATCAGGAAAGATCCCGGCCTAGGACTTGACCGACTGCCATGACCTGCTTTTGGTTAAGAAGTTTTCATTTCAGACCCTCCTTTGTGGTCACCTGTGGTCTCTGAGTTTGTAAGGCCACCACACAGGCCTCCCCTGAACTTGTTGGGTTAACCTGTGGCTCCTTTTTAGTTCACAGTTCTTATCATTGGAAAGTGAAATCACAAGCCCAAAGTGGGAAGAAATAGTCTTCCCAGCTGGTGAACAATTACTCATTATTTTCCTCCTTTGTCTCTGTCTCTTCCTCAACCAGTGCCTTGGCAAAGGACTCAAAAGCCATTTTCTTGTAGTAACATCTGTGATTACTGGTACTAATTTTATGTTTGTTAACGTATCTAGTCTCATTTTTACAGTAACATTATGGGACAGATACTATTACTGTCTCTTTTATCAGCTGAGAGGCTGTGAGAATTCGCCTGAGTTGTTCACTGAGATGGCTGGGAAGGGCTTGAGCCTGAGGCTCACTATCTGCAGAGCCTGCCAGTAACCACCCAGCGAGATTCCCTCTCCCGACACGTTAAATACGATGTGTAGAACAAAGCAGTTAAAGGCCTTTTCTGTAGTGATACTTTATATTGCATGTTGTTTTAATTTCCTTAGGGAAGAAGGTGCTGGTCCTGTTCCCACATCACATCTCCTGTCTCATCAGATGGGCTGTGGCACAGAAATTTCTTCACTTGCTTTGGAAAACATTTGCATTCCATCTGTGTCATGTCACCATGTGCATTTTCAGAAATTTTTCAAAGTGCTTCTCCTTTTAAGGTCTAGAGCCCTTCAGGATTGGACCCTATACCAACTTTGTTAACATCGGAGAACGCTGTAACGTGGCAGGATCCCGGAAGTTTGCTAAACTCATCATGGCAGGAGACTATGAAGTGAGCATCTTAATACAACCCTTGAGGCATCTGCCTTTTTTTCTTTTTTTTTTTGGTTAGCATGTAAACCAAACAGTTCTTCTGATAGCCTTTGATCAGTCATTAGTAGAGCTGCTGGCAAGTGTGAGAACTGTAGTGTATGTTTGCAGCGGGCTGGGCTGGTGGGAGAATGCAGCTTTGAAAAATTCAAGCTGCTCATGTCATTGTTTGTCAAAAAGTACTGCATTTGGGTTATGAAGGGGGAGGAGATGGGAGGGATCTGGGTTCTAGCTATTTCTGTTAATTGGGAAGTAGTGTTTAAAATTTGAGAATGCTCTTCATTTTGGCTTCTCACATACCCTTCTGGGGAAGGGGAAAGCCAAGAAAATTCCAGGTCCTGATGACCACATGAAGCAGTGACTAATGTGGTATTGATTCTGTTAGCTGTAGACTGAAATAAATACACAAACACAAAAGAAAGAATAGGCCCTTCCATGGGAAGTTCAGCGATCATTTAGCCAGTGTGTTTCTAAGCTCCATCCTCCTGTGGATGAGCAGAATATAATCTGTATAGAACCCACCCTAAACCTCTGGAAAAAAGTTTTTTTCATCCGCAAATATGAAGTTAAAAATGGAGGAGTTTGGTCTGGTCTTTAATGATGATTTATTTTATCATCAAACTTCTCTCACTTGAAGGTTTTGCAACCTTTAGGAAATCGGTCTTCCAGAAACCACTATCAAAGTGGACTTTGTTTTAATCAGAAAGGGCCCGTTTATAACCCTTTCTGGGCCCACTGATCACTCCATGGTGGCCTCCCTCTGGAGCACACAGGTGGGGCCTGGGCGCCTGGTCCCTGACGGTTCCGGTCAGTCCTCTCCCTCCCGTCCCGCTGCTGCTCCCCGCCACGTGTGCTGCTGTCACGCTCCTTCCCAGTTTGGTTTGGAAGCTTTCACAGGTAGCGTTTTTGCATCTAGGGGAAAATCCAGACTCTGGAGGCCGATATTCAGTCCGCTCCACTTAGGCACCAAACTTCTTTCCCCTCCTGATCAGTCGCCTGTACGTTCCGGGAGTTTTATTTGTTCCCTTCTGAACCCTAGTGACCCTTCATAGTGTATAATGTTCTTCAGTTGACAGTGTTTGTTTACATTTTGATTTTATGACCATTCTGTGGTGTCCCTTTTAGCTCTCAGTCTTGATAGGTTTGATACAGAAAGCAGAGGGCATTTTAGGAAGAAGCAAACAGATGGGAGTAATATCTGTTGTTTAATACGGTCTGACTCTATGCCAGTCACTGTGCTAAGTGCTTTGCCTCATTACTCATTTAATCTTGACTGACTTGTAAGTACTGTTACCATCCTCATTTCATAGATGCGCAATTGAAGACTGTTGTTTCACAGCAAGTAATTATGGACCCCAAGTCTGTCCAGCCTAACCCTTAACCACTCTCCTCTCTCTGCCTGGATGACACAGGAGGGGGAGGTGGGAGTGGGTCCCATTTCCTTGCAGTTCCCTATGAATTGGTGATCTATTGAGGATCAAAGAACGTTGGCCTGAGAAAACTTCCAGTCCTGTCTTTTTGCTCAATTTGCCCATCTTTAAGAAATTGCTTTCTCTGAGCTAATTTGGGAAGGCTGGACTCCAATGAAATAGAAAAGATGGGTATTGTCATCTCTTTTTTCCAGGTCATTTGACCTCTGGTCTAACCAGGTTGCTTGGCATCTTCCCTCTGCATCCTCCAATCTATCTCCCAGGTCCCAACTGACAACTCTCCCTCAGGGAGCTTTCCCCACCTCAGCCCACCGAGACCTCACCCTGCTGGGTGTCCAGGCAGTCTTGGCATGTGATTCACATGCTATGGCAGTGCCAGTAGCTTTCTGTATGACTGTGTCATGTGCCCTGAACAAGATGTATGGCCTTCAAGAACAGAGATTGTGACTCATACATCTTTTTATTCTTTCCTGAATTTAATATGTTGCTGATACTCAAAACATTTTTTCGATATGCTTTTTATTTATTTATTTATTATTAAACTTATTGGGGTGACATTGATTAATAGGATCATACAGGCCTCAAGTGTACATTTCTGTGGTATATCATCTGTACACTGCATTGTGTGCCCACCACCTCAAGTCAAATGGGTTCTGTCACCGTATGTTGGGCCCTCTTTACCCTGTACTGCTCCTTCACCCCCTTCCCTCTGGCAACCACACTGTTATCTGTGTCTATGAATTTCAGTTTTATATCACACATATGAATGAAACATATGGTTCTTAGCTTTTTCTGGCTTATTTTGCTTAGCATAATATTCTCAGAGTCCATTCATGTTGTCACAAATGGCAGTATTTCTTCTTTTCTTATGGCTGAGTAGTATTCCATAGTATATATGCACCATATCTTCTTCATCCAGTCCTCTCTCAAAGGACACTTTTGTTGTCTCCATGTCTTGGCCACCACGAATAATGCTGCAATGAACATAGTGGTGCATGTATCTTTGCAAATAAATACTTTCAAGTAGATACCCAGAAGGAGGATTGCTGGGTCATACGGTAACTCTATTCTTTAGTTTTCGAGGAACCGCCATACATTTTCCATAGTGGCGGTACCAGTCTACATTTTCACCAGCAGCGAATGAGGGTTCCTTTCTCTCCACAACCGCTCCAACACTTGTTATTACCTATTTTGTTGATGATAGCCATTCTAACAGGCGTGAGGTGGTATCTCACTGTAGTTTTGATTTGCATTTTTCTAATAGTTAGTGAAGTTGAACATCTTTTCATATATTTGTTGGCCATTTGTATGTCTTCTTGGGAGAGGTGTATGTTTAGGTGCTCTACTTATTTTTTAATTGGACTGTTTGGTTGTTTGGTGTTAAGTTGTGTGAGTTCTTTATATATTTTGACTATTAACCCCTTGTTGGGGATGTTATTTGCAAATGTCTCCCATTTGGTTGGTTGCCTTTTTGTTTTGTTGCTGATTTCTTTTGCTGTGCAAAAGCTTTTTAATTTGATACAGTCCCATTAATTTAATTTTTTTAATTTTGCCTTTACTTCCCTTGCCTTTGGGGTCAAATTCATAAAGTGTTCTCTAAGACCAAAGTCCATAAGTCTAGTACTTGTGTTTTCTTTGATGTATTGTTTCAGATCTTATATTTAGGATTTTGATCCATTTTGAATTGATTTTTGTACATGGGGACAAAATGAAATCTAGTTCCATTCTTTTTTGTATGGCTTTTCAATTTTCCCAGCACCATTTATTGAAGAGGCTTTCTTTTCTCCATTGTGTGGTTTTGGCTCCTTTGTCAAAAGTTATTTGCCTATATAAATGTGGTTTTACTTGTTGGTTCTCAGTTCTGTTCCATTGGTCTGTGTGTCTGCTTTTCTGCCAATACCATGCTGTTTTGATTATCGTAGCTCTGTAGTATAATTTGAAATCACGTAGCTTGAGTTATCTGGATTTGTTCTTTTTCCTCAGGATTCCTTTGGCTATTCAGGGTCTTTTGTGGTTCCATACAAATCTGATACTTTTTTGTTCTATTTCTTTTTAAAAATAGCATAGGAATTTTGATTAAATCTATATATATTGCTTTGGGTAATATGGCCATTTTAACTATTTTGATTCTTCCAATCCATGAACATGGGCTATCTTTCCACTTCATTGTGTCTTTTTTAATCTCTTTTAAGAATGCTTTGTATTTTTCAGTATATAGGTCATTCACATCCTTTAAGTTTATTCCTAGGTATTTTATTTTTTTCATTGCAATTGCAAAAGGGATTGGTTTTTCATTTCTTTTTCTGAAGTTTTATTGTTAGTACATAGGAAAGCAGTGGATTTTTGTACGTTGATTTTGTATCCTATAACTTTACTATATTTGTTTATTGTTTCTAATAGTTTTTTTTGGGTGGCGTCTTTATGGTTTTCTATATACAGGATCATGTCATCTGCAAAAATGCTACTTTTCCTTTTACTTCTTCATTTTCAATTTGGATGCCTTTTATTTCTTTTTCTTGCCTGATTGCCCCTGGCTAGGACTCCCAGAGCTCTGCTGAGTAAGAGTGGTGAGAGTGGGCATCCCCGTCTCGTTCCTGATTTTAGAGGAAAAGGTTTCAGCGTTTGAGCGTTGAGTATGATATTGGCTGAGGGTTTGTCACGTATGGCCTTTGTTATGTTGAGGGACTTTCCTTCTATACCTGTTTTATTAAGTGTTTTAATCATAAATGGACATTTTGTCTTAGCAAGTGGTTTTTCTGCATCTATTGATAAGATCACATTTTTTTTTATCCTTTGTTTTATTAATCGATATGCTAGATTTTATTGTGATCCTTTTGCTCTGTGTAACCTTGGGTCATTATGAATGGCCTTTTTCTGTGTGGCATATGCCAAAGGGTCTCATGCCTATTCTATCACAGCGATTGCTAAACATTTCTGTTTGGTTTATTTTGGCCAACAAAAAAATTATCACACTATGAAGTATATAGTGAAGACTTAAAAAATTAAGTTGTCTGTTGAATCAATCAGTTAGAAAGCATTGTTGAGTGTGTTATTTTGCCCAACACTGTTCAAAGAGTGGGAAACACATAAGACCTTTAAATTTCTGAATACTTAAAGTCTGCTTTGAGGAATAAGCTAATAACTTATGAAATCACAAGGAAATGGTAATGTAGTAAACTGTGTGATAATGGTTATAATTGTTACAGAGGTTTAGAGGCAGCAGAACATTGTGGAATAAGCAGTGTGTCCCAAAGAGTATTCTCTGGAACGCTGATTCTACAAGTCATCCCTTAAATGATTGTAATGGGAAATGCTGCAAGTTCATTCTGTTCTTGGAGATTTACAGTATATTATATTATGTTAAAGGATTTGAAAAGCCTTCCAATATAAAAACTGGCTGACATTTAACTCATATGTCATGTAACTTCTATCAACAGCCTGCAACAAATGCTCTGCACATTTTGGCAAACATGGAGGAGCTATATACGTTTTGGATGGTTTCTCCAAGGACTTTTCTTAGAGACGGGGCTTGAACTAGGTCTTAAACAGTGTAGATGGGAAGGGGCTTGTATTTCCCCCAGAGAGGACGGCATGGCCTGTGACACAGAGGTGGAGGCAGACTTGGCCGGGGGAGGTACGAAGTTAGGCCAAGGCACAGGGGGCCCGGACTCCAGGCTGAGCAGTGCATGTTCTTTAAGGCAGGAAAGTGGCCTTGCTGGATTCTGAGTAGTGAAGTGATGTGATGGGAGAAGAGAGGTTTACGGTTAACCTACGGTGATGGACAGGAGGAGAGCAGGCTCAGAGTCCGGGAGGCTGAGTGTTATTCGAAAGGACTGTGGGGACGGCAAGGGATTACTTCTTAGCCTGTCTTGCCCCGCCGTGCACTCATGTTGCTATCTCTTGCATTCTTTCCTCAGGAAGCACTGGGTGTTGCCAAAGAGCAGGTGGAAATGGGGGCCCAGGTGCTGGATATCAACATGGATGACGGCATGCTAGACGGCCCAACTGCGATGACCAGGTTTTGCAACCTCATTGCTTCTGAGCCGGACATTGCCAAGGTTGTACAGAATTTTTATTCATCAAAGGAATTTATGTCTCTCATTCTGTCATTCATTTAACTTTTTCGTTTTTCCCATTGATCTGTCATCTCATACACTGGTTTTCTGTTTAAACTATGTCAAAAGCACAGTGGTTTTTGATTGTCAGTTTTCTTATTTATGTCAGCCTTATGATAAAAACCAGACTTCTCAGCGAGATGTGACTTCAGCTTGGCTCGCCCCAAGGCTTCTGGAATTGGTCACAAGAATTGTTAGAGCTTTCTCTGATGTCTGGATAGACTAGGAACCCACTTTTCATGTCTCTGAAGGCTATTCTTACCCTTCCAACAAAATCATTACTTCCATTCCTACAGTAGATAAGGCAACTCAGCTAATTCTTCCTTATCATAGGAAGCAGAGACCTTTTTAGGTTTGTCACAGTAAAACAAAGTCACAAAACAAGATTAAATCAGGGTATTAGGTCAGCTTTTACATTCGTTCTTTAACAGTTGAAAATTAATTTTTGTGTCTTTAAACAATTTTTTATTTTTATTAAATTTTATTTATTTATTTTTATAAAGTGGCAAAGGGAGGGAGGAAGGGAGGGAGAGAAACTTCGATCAGTTGCCACTCATATACACCCTGACTGGCACCAAACTCGCAGCCAAGGCATGTGCCCTGATTGGGAATCAAACTGGTGACCTCTTGTTTTGTGGAACAATGCCCAACCAACAGAGCCACACTTATCAGGGCAGTCTTGTAAAAAATTTTAGATGGGTTCTAAAAACTTTAAAAATCTCACTTCATTTTTCTACCATTGAATTTGAGATGAGGAATGATTTTTCAAGTTCTTTTTTAAAAGAAACTTTCTAGAGAAACCAGAAAAGCCAACATTCATGCTCCCCATCACCTACCAGATCCAACAAGCAGTGACAGGGATTGAATCTTTATGGGCGCTCTATTCAGATGCCAGCGATCTGAGAAGACGGCAAGTTTGTACCCTAACAGACCACCTTACATTCCATTTTAAACTGATCCTTTTTATATGGAGAAGAGTATAGGTAAGGGGACTGGAACTCAGGGGAAAAGTTAATCGATAAAAGCTGCAGCATTCCTCCATCTGTGCCCTGGGTGGCAGTCTTTATCTGTGTCCTGCGCTGTGGGCATCCCACGCTGGAGCACGGTGGCTCAGGTTCCATCCTGATGGCCTGCAGTCCTCCGAGGCACCAAGGTGGAACTGTTTATGGTCTCCTGAAGTCAAGGTGGGTCATACCTTCAGTTCCTGAAACAATACTTTTTGCATTCACTGATTGTTAAGCTTATTATATATTACCTGAAACGAAAAATTGCCCAGCATTTGAGTCGCCCATCGCTGGTGCCTTAAGAGAATAGGGCTGTCAGTTTTCTTATGAGGTTTCAGCAAATGCTTAAGTTGGAAGTCTTTGTAGTAAGCAGTTAATTACATTAACCTAGCCTTCATTTTTGTCTTAAAATTCCTCATTTAGAAGCCTTGCAATGGCCCTGGCCACAAAGCTCAGTTGGTTAGAGCGTTGTCCTGATTCGCCAAGGTTGTGGGTTCCATCCCTGGTCAGGGCATGAATGCATATGTAAGTGGAACAGCAGATTGATTTCTCTCTCCATGTCCCCCTTCCTCCCTTTCTCTTAATTAAAAAAGAAGCTTTAGCATTCCTTTGGGATTAAATATTTTGATAATATAGGGAGCAGAAAAATTAAATGACTTGTTCAAAGTCAGAGCAGTTGTTTATGAGCTGAGTAGTAGGAAGAGGGCTGTGCCAGAGTCAGAAGACTCGCCTTGTGTCCTAGGCCAAGGCAGCCAGTGATCTGTCTGTGTAGGAACAATGTAAGAGTGTCCAAACTGTAGAGTTTTTATGACTTTACTTGAGCTAAACTGAGTCTTACACTGGGGAGCAAGGTCTCAAATGCTCCAGAGAATAACAGTTTGCAGTTTCTTTTCTGCATTTCAATATAAGGAGGGAATAGAAGATGATTAAATGGAGGCAGGAGAAAGCAGGTTGGGGATTGGATTACAGGATAGTTAACAGGGTTATGTGCTCTTAAAGGGGGTTGTTTCAAAGATGTGTTAACTTAGATGCACAGGGTTTGCTTAAGGCCAAGATAAAGCTTTTACTAAAGAAGTTATAAGCTTGGGGTGTGATTACCCACCACAACCTGCTCAGGTAGGAATTTACGATCAGACTACCCCGTGAAGCTACTTTACACAGAGCCCATTTCTCATCTGCAGACTTAAGCGTACTGTCTCACCTCTGAAATGGGAATCGTCACATTTGCTTTGTCTCAGTTGTGAAGTGAGTTTGTTAACTTGGGAAGGATCCCAAGGAACTTAAGGCATTGTTGATTAGAGTCTGATTGCTACAGTGATTTTACTTTCTTAATCTTTTCTGATTTTGACCTACTACTAAAATTTATTTGGGACCAAAGTGTGAACAATGGCGTAGCTATGAGAACATGACCAGCAAGGTCTGGGCACCAGACTGCCAGCCAGCGCTTTAAAACACTGGCCTGTTACTGTCATTGTATTTGACCCTTTTCCTAGCACACCTGTCCTTACTAGCATGCCAGGAAAGAGCTGAATGCATGGGTCCCTTGTTCTGTTTCATTCTCCTTAAGGAAGAGCCCTCTGCCCTGGGACCCTTTTCCTGAATCTCTCTTCCCTTGTCGCCTGTGTCATACATATGTTTTCATGGCGGCCTGTGCTCTAGCATTTTTCACACTTTATGTTATTCCTTGTTTAATCATTTGACTTTGTAAGTTCAGGGGAGCCAGGGACTGGCTTGCCTAGCCATTGTCCCAATGATAACATGTTGTCACTTAACTGTTTATTGAATGGTCCGCTGTCCTAGTCCTTCTTTGAAGCTCTTTTGCCTTTCCTGGAATAAGGGGCGTGAATGCATGGGGAGCAATGAACCTGTCCTCACCGCGCATTCCGATTCTCTCCTTTATTTTAGTGATATGCATGTTTTGGATAGTACATCTACTTTTTTTTTTTTCCAGTTAGGAACTTGATTTTCCAAAGGGAAGATTGAATTTGAATAACTTGGCTGGAGGGCTATTCCCAAGGGCATGAGACCACACCTTAATCCAGAGTCAGATCAGGGATATGGGAATCCAAGTGAGGGGTTAGCCTCACAGTGGAGGCACTTGTGAGTATGAAAAAATACTGAAGCCAGGGAGCTGACCTCTGGGATTCCATTCTGATGTCTGGCCGTGATCTTTGAGTTAGAAATTTCAGGCCCTTCATGCGGTGTCTTGTAAGACTGGAATAACATCAAGTATTTTGGGCTTTAAGACAAGTACATTAAAGTCCTATCTCTGTGACACTATCATTTGTTTATTTCCCTATAAAAGAAATGGGCACTGTTTGAGGGTCTTTGGATGGGAATTGGTGGTGACTTGTCATCTTTCTGTGATTTTTCTGCCCTTGTGATCACAGGTGCCCTTGTGCATTGATTCTTCCAATTTCGCTGTGATTGAAGCCGGCCTGAAGTGCTGCCAGGGCAAGTGCATCGTCAACAGCATCAGTCTGAAAGAGGGGGAGGAGGACTTCCTGGAGAAAGCCAGGAGGATCAAGAAGTTTGGTGCAGCCGTGGTCGTCATGGCTTTTGATGAGGAAGGACAGGTGAGCAGTTTATTTTGACCAAGCTCCCAGGCTAAACAAACCGGTAGAGAAGAGCTGAGTCCAAAACAGCCACTTGTGTGTGTGTGTACCATAATGCCATATATCCACACATACTTGTGTCTGTATATGAAATTTGATACGTAGTAAAGTCTTTACTTCAGTTGAGAGAGGAATTATTCAGTAAATGCTATTAGAACAACTAACTATGGGTTTGGAAGAATATAAAGTTAGAGCCCTGTTTCCTGCCATATACTAAAATAAAGTCTGTATCAATTAAAGATTTAAATGTATAAAACAAAGTTTTAAAGAATGTATGGGAAAATATTCTAAACTTGGGAAGGCAGAAAGAAAACTGATAAAGCTCTCTATATAAAAATGGAAAACTTTGGCCCTGGCCGGTGTAGCTAGCTGCAGTGTCATCCTGTAACAGAGCTTGTCTGTCTGATTCAGTCAGGGCACATAACCTAGGTTGTAGGTTCAATCCCCACTCTGGGCGCATATGGGAGGACACCAATCGATGTTTCTCTCTCACATTGATGTTTCCCTCCCTCCCTTCCTCCCTCTCTCTAAAAGCAATGAGAAAATGTCCTTGGGTGAGGATAAAAGAAAATTGTAAAACTTTTGTATGGCAAAAGTCATGGTTCTGTTTTGATTCGCTAATTTATAGAAGAAAAAATACAAATAACCAGTAAACCTATGGGTAGATACGACATTGTGTACAAATGAAACAATATCAAATTAGATACTTTTATTAAATTTTTAAAAAAGCAAAAGATTGATTAATGGCAACTCTCATGTCTCTGCCATGGACTCAGGAAGGGGCAGCGGGAAGCCTCAAACCCAGTGACAGTTCAGCTGGCGTGTCATGATTATTGTATTATTGTTTTATACTTCACATTACTTTTACAAATATTTTTGTATCTGTTCAATATTTAGTTTAAAACAACATTTAAAATCCATGTGCTATGATTCAGCCCCTCCTGGGAATCTTGTAATAAATAGATAGAGTATGTAAGGGTATGTGTTCACATTCATTGTAGCATCGTGGTAGCAAAAAATTGAGAGTACTCTAAATGTCCATTAATAGGGAGATGTTTCGATAGAATAAATACTGTGCAGCAGTTAAGAATGAGGTGATGAAACATGTCTACAATATATTGAATGAGAAAACAAGTGAAATGATCTAGGTTTTCAGTAAAAAGGGTTTATATGTGTGTGTCTGTATAAGTAGAGAAAAATATTTGTAGTTGTTAACTGGAGGGTAGGGATGGTCTCAGATGGGGACATATTCACTTCTTATTTTGACAGGTGGTGTGATTATATGTCCTTTTTCTTTTCTATTTTTTTTTGTATTTTAAAAATTAAATTGTTTTTGAACCAAAAATGTTACTGTTTTTGAACAAAAGGTGTATTTTAATCTTGAGAAAAGTCCAAATAAGAAGACTATAAGAAAGAGATAATGTTGATAAAGAACATATATTTGAATCTTCGCTTTGACCAAGTAGGTACACTATACACGTAACATCAGAATTTTCTTCCCAAAATAAAAATGCTGTGTATGTATACTTAATATTTTTATATTCCAAAGCACAGAGATGTTGCCTGACTCACTGTTGTCACACAAGTGCTGTGATTCAAGCGTAGGCAGTGAGGTCTCACTCAGCAGGGTCTGTGCTGAATGGCTGGAGAAAGATTCCAGGGGAAGGGTAGGCTATTTTAGAAAAGGTGGTCTTGTAAAGTATTTCCCTCTGAGAAGAAAATATTTCCCCCTGAGAAAGAAATATTTGAAAACCTGAATAAAATAAGCAAGCCATGTGGCATTTAGGAAAAGAGCAGAAGAGTTTCTAGCAAGTTGAAAATTTTGCATAAATGAGATTATGTGATCCTATAATCCTTACCTCCCACTCAAAATATTGGCATCTATCTACCTTAGCAAATACGGATTTACTCTACAGATTGTAACTCTATCTATTATGGTTGTCTTACATTCCAGCATATGCATGTTTTACTTTGTATTATTGAATGAAATCACAATCTTAATTTTTAATTTTTAAAATATTTTATTGTTCATGCTATATTATAGTTGGCCCAATTTTTCCCCCTTAGCCCCCCTCCACTCAGCCTCCCCCGACTCCCTCAGGCAGTCCCCACATCATTGTCCATGTCCATGGGTCATGCATATGTGTTCTTTGGTGACTCTGTTCCCTATCCTGTACTTTACATCACCTTGACTATTCTGTAACTACCTATTTGCATTGATACTTCTCAATCCCTTCACTTTTTTTGTGCATCTCACTGATTCCCTCCCATTTGGCAACCATCAAAATGTTTTCTGTATCTATGATTCTGTCTCTGTTCTGCTTGTTTGTTTATTTTGTTTTTTGGAGTCAATTCTTGATAAATATGTATTTATTGCCACTTTATTATTCATATTTTTTTATGTTATTTTTCTTCTTAAAGAAGACCCTTTAACATTTCATATAATACTGATTTGGTGGCGGCAACCCCCTTCATCTTTTTATTGTCTGAGAAACTCTTTACGTGTCCTTTGATTCTGAATGATAGCTTTGCCAGGTAGAGTAATCTTGGTTGTAGGTCCTTGCTTTTCGTCACTTTGAATTTCTTGCCAATCCCTTCTAGCCTGCAGTTTCTTTTGAGAAATCAGCTGATAGTCTTATGGGAGCTCCCTTGCAGGTAACTAACTGCTTTTCTCTTGCTGCTTTTAAGGTTCTATCTTTGTATTTAATCTTTGGCATTTTAGTTATAATGTGGGCCTTTTGGATTCATCTTGTTTGGGACTCTGTGCTTCCTGGATTTGTATGCCTATTTCCTTCACCAGGTTAGAGAAATTTTCTGTCATTTTTTTCAAATAGGTTTCCAGTTTCTTGCTCTCTCTCTTTTCCTTCTAGCACCCCCATGATGTGAATGTTGGTATGCTTGAAGTCTCCTTAGATTGTCCTCAATTTTTTGGATTCTTTTCTTCTTCTTGCTGTACTGATTGGTTGTTTTTTGCTCCCTTATTCTCCAGGTTGCTGATTCAGTTCTTGGCTTCATCCTCTCTACTGTTGATTCTATGTAAATTGTTCTTTATTTTAATTAGTGTATCTGTTTCTGACTGGGTCTTTTTTATGCTGTTGATGTTCTCACTAAGTTCATTGAGCATCCTTATAACCCGTGTTTTGAACTCTGCATCTAGTAGATTGCTTGTCTCCATTTTGTTTACTTCTTTTTCTGGATTTTTATTCTGTTCTTTCATTTGAGCCATGTTCCTTTGTCTTCTCCTTTTGGCAGCCTCCTGGTGTTTGTTTCTGTGCATTAGGTAGAGTTGCTACGTCTCCTAGGCTTGGCAGAGTTGCCTAATGGAGCGGTGAAACTGGAAAAGGCGGTGATCATGCTGCCTGTCACCACCATAACCAGTAAATAGAGACTTGATTGAAATTTTATGGGCACTTTATTTAGATGCTGGTGATCTGAGAAGACAGTGGATCATGTACCCTCAAACCTTCTTAACATTTCATCTCAAGCCAACCTTTCTTTGAGGAGAAGAAAGGGTAGGTACGGGGTTTGGGGAAAAAAGTTAATCAGATAAGAGTTGCAGTCTGGTAGTGATTTTCCTAGTGCTTCTTTCTCTGTTGATCAGCAGTTCTTTATCTTTCTATAAAAATAGTTCTTTTTATAAAAATAGTTTTATTTTTACCAAAATGTATATGCAGATAGTTAGAAAGACAAATGTCCAATAAGTCTTTTTATGAAAAACAGAAACCCCAGCCCACCAGATTCCCCAGAGGCAACCACTTTCAGCTTTTCTAGCTGCCGCATATAGCATTTACCTCCTTATCTTCAAATTCCATTTTAAGTTACTATTCGTTGCTTTCCTATAATGGTTAAGGGTCTGGGTTTTTCACCACTCTCTACCTCCGCTCTACACATTTTTATTTTTATCCCACACCACAACCCTCCCAATACTTTTAAAACTATTTGAGGGGCTTATATTGTTAAGCAGTGTAAAAGCTGAGACACTGCGATTCTCTTTCCTGCTCTCTACTTGTTTTCCACTCAGTTAATGCTTTTTTGTTTGCTTTGTTTCTTATATACTTCATCTTTAAACTGTCCCCTGGTTATGTAAGTTCCCAATAGCCAGTGTATCCAAACACATGCAGTAGACTGTCATATTAATTTCTTGAAGAATTTCCTCGTTTTCTGACACAATCTGGAAAGTTTGCTCAGTAGGCTGGCTGCACGGCTGTCACCGTAAGATGCCGGTCAGCACCCTGGCGATTTCTCTTGCCTCTCTCTTAGGTTTCTAGGTCTCATAATTTCCTCTTTCCTGGTGTAATCTCATTTGTGTATCCTCTGGTAGCATCTTGCAAAAAAAAAAAAAGATGACAGTAGATATTAGATATTTTTGAAACCTTACCTGTCTGAAAATGGCTTTATTCTGCTTTTATCCTTAATTGACAATTGTATGGGTATAGGCATAAAGCTTGAAATCATTCCCTGTGTTTTGAAAGCATTGATTTATTTCCCTCTAGTTTCCACTAGTATTGCTGCTGGTGGAAGTGAGGCTCTTTCACGGGGTTACAAGAAAAGCATTTTGGGAGGCCCACACATGGGACACTGGTCTGGTGGTAAGATTTATTTGGGTGGAAATAGAGGGCTGCCCTTGGTTACCTGATGTCCTATTTTCATCCATCCTGCCATGGAAAAAGTCCAGCTTTGTCTTCATCAAGACCGAAACAAAGGCCAGTGTCCAAAGATTCTTGCCATTGGTCCTGCACAAGTACCTCAGTCCCCGTTCAGGTAGCTTCGTGGTGTTCCCAGCTGCGATCCATTGCTGTGCTGCTGTACTGGGAGCCAGCTTGAAGTCCATGTGGCCAGCTGCAGGGGCCACATGGTTACTATGGAGAGAGAACTCAGGAATGAGTGGGGTGAGTGTGTGGTGCAGGGGTTGGGGAGAGAAGGGGCAAGCTCTTTGTTAAGATGATTATCTTGGGCTTGGGAAGGACAAGGAGCCTTTCAAACTAACCAATCAACTTGCTAAGTTTTCTCAGGTTTCTGATGGATCCACCCCCTAACCAATCCGTTCCCCACATCTTTCAACATTGTGTCTCTTATGCACTTCGATCCTTTCCCCAGGCTAGACTATCAGGTCCCTGCGGTCACCGTCTCCGCTCCTACTGTGCATGTGCTCCCCCTCCCCTTGGTTGGTCCGTCCCTCCCCCGTGATCTGTGGGGAGCGGGCTCGTGGTTCACTGAGGAGGGCATGAAGCTGCACCTTCCTAGGGAAGCGAGCAGGCGTGAGCCTCCTAGTTGACTGTGCTTAATTATGTCTTATTTCCTTTGCTCCCCTCTTTCATTAGCATCTAGTCACCTACAGTAACGGTATTGGTAAGAAGTCTAGTGCCATGGTAACCCTTGACTCTTTTGGGGAAACCTATTTATTTTTGCATTTTCTGGATGCTTCTTGGATGTTCTATGTCCACAGTGTCCTAAAATCTTACGATGATGAGCCATCCGTGGTGCTGGGCACTCAGTCAGCCCTTTCAGTCAGGAAACTTACTGCCACAGTTGGAGGAAGTTCCTTTGAATTGTTTTACCCCCCCTTTGGCATGCATATTATGCAAGTATTAGATGTTTTGCCCACTTTTCTTTTCCCTTCTATTTTTCTATTCTGGCATTTGCTCTGCTTGTCTGTTTCTAGATATATTTTAAGGCAGAGCCAGTGGGATTTGTTTGTACCATCGGCTGTGGGTTGTGCAAGAGGAGTCAGGGATAATTTCAGGGGTCTTTGGCCAGAGCAGTGGAAAGGATGGAAGGCTGAGAGAAGCAGGTGGGGGTGGTAAGGGTGGACCCTGTTTATGATGGCATGTGGGGTGTGCAGCTGTGCAGCTGATTCTGGCTTTCATGGGCACAGTCTGGCCTGAAGATATAATTCCCTTCCTTTGGCATGATCTGTATGTGGGTGGTACTTAAAGAAGGGTGACAGCTCAGCAAACGAGTGGCTCCAGAGAAGGGGCCCTTGGACTGAGGAAGTGTGTGAGCCCCTGTGCTCTGTCCTGGGGGTTGAGAGGAGCAACCCATGGCGTAGGAGAGGGACCAGACGGGAGGATTCACTTGTCTTGTGAGTGAAGAACAAGCTTCTAGAGGGGCTCAGTGAGTTATTTTAAAGAGTTGTGGGTAGATCTGGTAGATGTAGCCAAGAATTTACCACTGGATTTAGAAATGGGGTAGTGAATGCTCTTGCTGTCCTGTTTCCAAGGAGATGAAAGCTTAATTGGAGTGGGTTCAAGAGAGGATAGGAGAATTGGAGCCAGCAGGTGCAATCAACTTTTTTGGGTTTTACTGTAAAGTAGAAGAGAGAAATAGGGTAGAAACCAGAGATGGTTAAGAAAGGAAGGGGGGGGGGTGTGTGTGACAGATGATGGGACAAGACTTCTGTAAGCTGCTGGGGGTGATCTGACAGAGAAGAGGGGCATTTGCTAGGTCCCTGCCCTTGTGAGCTGAGGGGGCAAGCAGTCGGCGTGTGCGAGTGGAAGGAGGCGGTTTGCCCACGATGCTGGAGAGAAGGCTGGCGGGCAGCAGGCGAGAGCACAGATGGCAGGCAGGCAGGCCGGGAGCTGGTGGGGGTCTGTCTGATGGGTGTTTTCTCAGCGCAGCAGGGTGCGAGGTCAGCTCTGAAAGGGAGGGCTGGTGTGTGCTTGGGGATCTGCCCGCTTGAGCTGAGTGTAAAGCAGAAACTCTCCCCCAGGGAAAGGAGGGCCCTGCCTGTGTTTTTAAAAAACACGCACATCCTCTGGACCTGATTTTCAGCTCCTTTTGTCTGGGGTGAGAGGTGGCCTCAGTAATTTTAAAGCCTTGGAAGTGACTCTCATGTAAACTTTGGTCAAAACCATCAGCAGTTCATCTCATTTAGTCCTCACAGCCACCACCTGGGGTAGCTGTTGCCCTGTCCGCGGTCAGCCAAGGTCAGATGTCCCGGAGGAGGAGAAGTAGCCTAGCTGGAGACTGGTGCAAAGTGTCCCCACCTGGGTTGTCCCCATGCTCTGTCTGTTGGCCCTGCTGCTGCTGGATCTTGTCGGAGAACAGGCTGTCCCCATTTAGATTGGAATGTGACCACCAGTAACAATGTAGGGGAAATCTTTTAACTTGCCAGTTATGAAAGAAATGCAGATTAGAGTGATATTAGAGTAATGTTTCATCCTTCCTCAGCCAGTGATGGCAGACTTCGAAGTGCCCAGGCTCAGTGCTGGCGCCGCAGTGCCCACAGGAAGCTGTCTCCCTGTGGGGCGGGGTCTGCCCTGGGCACTGCTGTGCACGGCTCTGTAGCGCCTGCCAGGAGAGAACCACATTGTGTCCTGGAAACTAATGATCTCGTTTCTGGGAAACTGTTTCAATAAAACGATTTAGCAGCATAAGAATGCTACCTATGCAAAGTTTTCTCAGCATCTTTATTGAAGATACAACCACCTAAATGTCCAACTCAAGGGAAATTGGTTACTTAAGTTACATTACTCTCTTGGAATAGTAAGTAAACATAGTAATTACGCAGATTATGGAGCAAGCATGACAGTGTTTACAAATCTAAATTAAAAATACAGAACCAAAAATTAGACACTGTATATATGACTATATTTAACTACATTTGATAAAGACCAGAGCAAACTGCTGTAAATAAGACAATTGTTAGAGTAAGATGGAATTAAAGATGCATTTTTAAAGACTCCTTTTTCTAATTAAAATAATTTCCCTATGTTTGTAGACATACATGCTCAATATAGAATTGCGATACTGAAAATTGTATTGACCAAAGCAAAAAATTCACATACTTGCAAAGTTCCGAAACTAACTGTGGATACTTTGGTATAAAGGCCTGTCTTCTCTCCATTGAGATCTCCTGGTGATTTGCTTTGCTTCTGTGATACCACTGGTGATAAGGAGAAAGCAGCTCTTTGAAATGAAAACCCCTGTCATGACTAAACAAAGCAGAGCAGTCACATTCTCTCTGTTTTAGTATCTGGTTGTGGTCTTTGGTTTATATTTATGATCCATGTTACAAACAAACTGCAAGGTCAAAGCCAGATATGACAGAGGGGCTGGCCTTGAGAATTCTGGATTAAAGGCAAATAGGAGTCATTTCTATGTTTTTTGTTGATGTTATTTTGATTGACTGTTATTTTTAACTCTAAATAACAAAATACAAAGCACCTTTATTGTTGAAGTTTCTGTGGAAAGAATAACTTTACAACTACTCTAGATGTAATTTTCCTTTACTAACTGAAATGATTATTGTCATATGACAGTTTTTGATAAGGTTTCCTAGAGATATATTTATCACATAATAATAGAATATATTTTTTGTTTGCACATGTGTAAATTATATAAAAGAATAATCAATATTATTCTATAAATTCATCCATTATATTCAACACATTTGCCTGTGTTAAAATTATTTGAAAATAAGTTTTCAGTTTATGGAAAAATAAAGCCTTATTGAGATACTGATTAAAGTTTAATTAATTGTAACCTAGAAAAGAATAAGGAATTGGTATCTTTGCACTATTGAGATTTGTCATTCAGGAATATACTATTTAAGTAATTGGACAAATCCAATTACTATTTAATCAGGTTTTAGACTTTTACTTAAATAGGAAAGCTCAAGATCATCCCTAGATATTTGTGTCGTGTTGTTGTTGTGACTGGCTTGGTATTTTTTTAAATATATTTTTCCTTCAGTAGTGATTTTTTTAGATTTTTATTTTATAACCAGCCTTTTCCTTGAATTTAGATAAATTGATACTGTTTTGCAGTTGAATATGTTGTGTTTTCCACTATGGTATGCACCATAGTGTTATAAATGGTTCTAGGGAACTGAAGGCAATAGTTCTCAGTTTTCCCTTTATTTTTACCTTGCTGAAAGTAATTAACCGGAACCTGGGGGCTGATTCTCACATTGCCTCCTCTGACGCTCTGAACTTTGTGAAAATCTGACGTATTTTTGCATTTCAGGAGCCTCCTTTGTAGGTTGCATGGCTGAGTGTGCTGTTCTTGGGCTCTCTCTACCAGAGGGACTTTGTCGTAACTGCTTTGTGTGTAGGAAACGACGTGCCTGGGTTTCGCTCAGAGGTGGGAGGGATCTGAGGCACAGGAGCTGCCCTTGGTCCCCAGATCCAGGCCTTGTGTTCGGTTGTCTGGCCGGAGCCACAGCGCAGTGTGCAGTTAGCATGCCTCCTCATCTGTCTATCTCTGTCTCCTTCCTTCTCTGTCATTCATCCAGGGACATCTAAGGAGCAGCGGAGGAGAGTGGAGAAAGTGAGGGTCACACAACAGGAAATGACATGGGAGATTTACCAGGCCCTGAGTCTAAGGAGGACGGAAAGCGACCGGGTTGGTGGTCGGGGGGAGGGTTTGAGCCTTGCTGCCGTGAGAGCTCTTCTTCGTGGGGTCGCCATTTTGAAGAGCCATACTAGTGCGATTTATACATATGACCTAGTGCCCATCCGTGCTGATAACCAGCTGTGGAGGTGGAGAACACATACATATCCCTGAAGCCACATGGGTATTCCTGCAGGAAGGTACGAGAGCGCTGGCAGCGTGGCCGGGTGGTGGCTCAGAGCCCCGCAGGCCGGCCGAGGGAGGAGGGGCGCTTTTTCTCATCTGTCCTTCAGTGGTGTTTGAGTGTCACGTGTGTATTTTTTAGAAACCTATTTATCAATATGCCATATATGTGCATGTAAGATTTGATTTTTACAGAAGCAGTGTAGCTGTTGTGCTGGTGAAAACACAGAGGGACTTTAAACCAATTCCTCCTCTGAGATAATTTGATAAATGTTGAGAAGCTGCTTGGCATTTGGATTTTTATAAAATCCAAGTGTTGGTGCTGAAGTACCAATGTGCCTCTGTTTTTGTAGATAACACTATTTTTCTACTTATATTACAATCAACTCTTCCTTTTTCCAGGCGACAGAAACAGACATGAAAATCACAGTGTGCACCCGGGCCTACCATCTGCTTGTGAAAAAACTGGGCTTTAATCCAAATGACATCATATTTGACCCTAACATCCTAACCATTGGTACTGGGATGGAAGAACACAACTTGTATGCTGTTAATTTTATCAATGCAACAAAGGTCATTAAAGTAAGTATGGGTATTTTCTCTCTTCTACTCAAGACACTGTCAAATTGCCCACATGGCTCCAGTGCATAATTTAAACTATCATATATATACAAATATTTATTGGATGGGAATGTTGACATTCTTGTTGTTAGGTAGTAAGTTGGTTTTCTGAAATTTCAGGCCCTTTATTACTTGTCTTATATGTTAATTTAAACTGTGAAATATAACACACACTGCAGAATATATAAAAATGGAGTATAAGGATTTATTATAAAGCACATAATAGCTCTCACTTAGGTCCTGAGTAGAGCGTGGCTAAGGCCTCTGTCTCTTTCTGATTGCACCTTTATCCTGAGTTCTGTTGCTTTTTCTTTGTAACTTTTATCATTTGTATTTATATAGTGAATCTGAATTAGCCATGGATTCTATATTTGCACATTCACTTACACACTAAATTGTATGTGTGACCCCAAATCAGTACTCATGGGGCCTTTGCAGTTCTTTCCAGACATCTCCTTATGCAGAGTGGCCCAAACCACCTTTTCCCGATGACGTCAACCAGGACACACAGTCTGGTTCTTGTTTCAGCGCTTGTTCTGTAAACAAGCATCCTTTGCACGGGCGATTTTGTTCATATTTGTCAATTTTTGAGCTTCTTCTTGGGGACAGGCTCCCCTCTGACAGTGGCCCCAGGTGCAGGGCTGCAATGTTGTCTTTGCTCCTGAGAGCGGGGAGCTGGCAGGTACCTTGTGGAGAAAACGTGGGTGTAGAGCAGCTTTGTTTAGACGCAAGGCGTAATGCTCTTGCCAGTGAGCTCACAGCTGGTGAATCGATGATACACAGTAAACAGATGTCCTGAAATGGAAACACACATAAAACAAGGTTATATACTGACCAGTTCCTGAACATTTTGGGACCAGAGGTGCAAAGGAATCTAGCCCTGTGTGTCCTCAGGAGCAGTGGTTTTCAGCGTTCCCTGAGTCAGTGTTTGCGGTGACATGAGAGCACGTAATCGCCGCAAGTAATGAGAATCAGCTGTATACAGAGTTACAGTTTTTCCTGTTTCTGAGCTTAAATCTAAGATTTTTCCTTGTCCAGCTTCGTTTTAAAGATGGATCAGTGTATAGCTGTACCTTATTAATGTATAACATTCCATTGTGTAACTGTTCCACAGTCAGCTGTTGAGCTGTTGACAGTCATTTGGTTGGTGCCAGTTTTTGGACATTGTGAGCAGCGCTGCTGTGAACATCCCTGTGTGTGCGGCCTGAGCACACAGGCACAAGTGCCTCTGTAGCGTGTGGCCCGAAGCGGGGTGGTTGGGTCCCAGCAGATAACGGAAGCCGCCTCCCACTGGGGGAGCCTGTGCTTCAGCCAGCAGTTCCACATAGGTGCTGGACATTGACATAAGGTGTGATGGGAACCTTGAACTTGAACCTTTTACTTTCTACTTTTATACGTAAAGCTTAGGGGATATGATTGCTGCTTTTGGCAAAATAGGGGAATCTTTTCACTTTTTACATTTTTTTTTTTGCTAGGAAACATTACCTGGAGCCAAAATAAGTGGCGGTCTCTCCAACTTGTCCTTCTCCTTCCGAGGAATGGATGCCATTCGAGAAGCAATGCATGGGGTTTTCCTTTACCATGCAATCAAGGTAGGGTGGAACACCTGTTTCCCTGGAAGTCAGTTTTTATCCAGGGCAAGGGCTTGTAAACCTGCAGACCAACTCTGGCCTGCTGCCAGTTTCTGAGAATAAAATCTTACTGGAGCAAAGCCACAGCCACTCGTGTATTGTCGGTGGCGTTTTTATGCGACGGCAGCAAGGCTGAGTCATGGCAACAGAGACCGTGGCCTAAAGTATTTTTTGTCTGGCCCTTTCCAGAGGGAGTTTGTCAACCCCGGATTCGGCGTGGGACTGGGAATTCTCACTGTGCTTCGTGTCTCCCTTAGTGTGGTATGGACATGGGGATCGTGAACGCTGGAAACCTCCCTGTGTACGATGACATCCACAAGGAGCTCCTCCAGCTCTGTGAAGACCTCATCTGGAACAAGGACCCTGAGGCCACCGAGAAGCTCTTGCATTACGCCCAGGTAGAGAGAAGGTGTTGCGACGGGTGACTTTCCTGTCTTTGAATTTGTTGCTTGTGTGTGGTCTTTAGACTTTCGTTGTAGACTAGAAGCAGGGATCTGATCACCCTTCTGACAGGTGGAGATTTGTACGGAGAGCTCCAGGGGAGGGGTCCTAGTGAGGGCCAGGGAGGACAGGTGGGCCCTGTGTAGGCTGCTCAGTGGTCTGGATTTATGTTTCAAATTATTTTAAAGTATAAAATTAATTTTTTCATATCAAAGTAACACAATTCTAGAAAATTTACAAAATACAGATAAACAAAAGAAGGAAATAAAAAGCACCATAATCCTACTACCCAAAGTCAGATATTGTTGAGAATTTGTTATAACTTTGTTGTCATGGTTCTTTTTTTTTTTTCCAAAATGTGTACTCATAGGTATGTCCACACATGCGCGCGCGCACACACGCACACGCACATACACACACATACACACACACACACACACTCTCTAACATTTTTTACAGAAATAGAACTATACTTTAGTTGCTTGCTTAGTAACCTATTTAGTGGCATACTAGGAACATCTTTCCATTTTATTGGATATTTTTCTACCTCACACTTTAAATTGGCTCTTTTGGATTTTCTCATGTGGCTGGAATTACCTGGTTCCCACATGTTTACATTTGTACACCTGTTTATGTTAGGATGTCCTCTGTCTGTATTAGGGTTCTGTAGTTCAGGGCTTGAGGTGTGTACACATTTATTCAGTAGATGTGAGAATAATTGTAGTTACTCTAAAAATCAGTTTCTTGTCTCTGACTTATTATGTGTTGGACAGTCCGAGGTACATTAAATGTCTATCATGGGTGCTGCTTCCTAGAATTCAGTTTAAGGAAAGATGAGATCTTTACCTCAAAAAAACTTACTTTTAGATTTACTTCAGAAAGTGATGACAAAGGAAGACATTTTTCTCCTACAGGCTGGGAAAGTGGTAAAATGCTTTTATGCATATTGCCACCTTTGTTAATGTCTTCCATGTTAAAATCAAGTCTTTCCTCCTCCACTGGAGAGCATTCATTTGTTCTGTAAGAAGGGTAGGACAATGTAGGATGAAATCCGTCCTTGATATGCCAGCCTGATGGTAGCACGCTTTAGATTTCTGAGACTGCTTGTGTTAGCCTTCCGCTCAGCAAACCTGATTGCAGTTCAGACGACTCTGCGTGAATGAGGTGGAGGCAGACTCTGTCTCGCAGAGCTGCTCTCGGTCGTCACAGATGGGGAAATAAAAATAAGCCCTTCCAGGCACTTTCTCAGTCTGCCAGGGAAAGGGGGTGGCGACTCCCTCTAGTGGAGAATACCCCGAACCCCTGTGTCCAATGGCTTTTATTGAAAGGGTTATCCATGGGGGCTAGGTAGTAGGAATGTACAGGTAATCTCATTACATCGGCATGTTAATGTTTACAGAGTATAGGTGATGTTTGAAGAAGACAAAGAGCAGGAACACACCCATTTGCATGGGTCCAAGACGAATAAACATAGGAGTGCCAAATGGTTGAGGTCAGGGTCTGTGAATAGTGTAAATTTCCTTCCCAGCGCAAGCTCGTTATCATAGCTTTGAGGGAAAAACAAAGCCTGCCTCAAGGAATTTACTTCTAGGCCTGATTTCCCTGATTTCCGCTGGGAACCACCCAATCCAGTCGAGGGCTGCCTCTAGTATTGTTTGAAGTCTGAGCCAAGTGGGCGGAGCAGAGCAGCCAAGAGCTAAGGAGACTTCTTTCAGATAGAATGAGGACTCTGGCCATGACAAAGCCGAGGGGTGAGGGTCTCATGCCCCTCCTCTCTATCCCCCAAGTCCTTCCCTGATGGCCCCTATGCCACTAGGACTGTCTTAGGTTGCTCCTGCCATCAAGGGGTCTTACCCATCATTGACTAACCAGACACCCTCTGGGGCCAAGCAGGGTGATGTGAGGGAGGCAGGGGCTGTGCACCTGCCAAGGGGACTGGTTTTGTCTCTTCAGTGGCCTATTTTCCCCAGGCCTCCTTTCTTACTTCCAGCCTTGGGGCCCTCTCGCCTGTTGGCGAAGCTACAGTTCCTGAAACCAGGCAGGATGGTTCCCAACACATGAATACATGAACCTCTGCTCAGCTCCTTAATAATATTTCTCATGTGGACCCAAGATGGAATGTCTCTGGTCTCGATCGTTGCAAATATAACCATGCTCGGCTTCAGCTTATTCCATGAGAAACAGTTGCTCCATTTCTTTTTCCATTTTCATGGCTGCTTTTGCTCGTGTAGATAAAGTGCTTAACCCTTTACTATTCGAACATCAAGACATGACTGTGAAACACTATTCAGTTTTTGTCTTAGCCTGTCTTCCACCTGGTGGGCGACCCTTTATTAATCACTAAGAGTTATGTCGAAGACCAAAAGGGCATCACAGCCTCTCCAGTCGTGAAGGTGTACTAGAACGATCTTAATTAACCCACAAAATGACGTGCACTTTCTTCTCTCTCTCTGAGGTCCAGATGACATAGTGTTCCCACTTAGGAAAATTGGGCTTCTCATTTGTAAGACTCTTCACAATTAAGATTTTGTTGGCTTTGTAGTCTATGTCAGTCATTCTTTGTGGTCTGTGTTCATGGTTAGCATTTGTTTACAAGTCTTTGTTTCTGCACAAGGTGCTGGGCCGCCAAGAGGTTCTGCCCCTGGGGCACAGTGCAATCGAGAGCAATCTTAATAGCAATTCCAAGAGCTTAACAATCGTCAAATAAGAAATTGCCTCCCTCATAATGTAACCACAAGGACTTATTACAAGGCATTGTCAAGTAGGCTATTCAATGTGATCTCTGTTACCATTAAGGGAATTAATATCAAAACAGGTATACTTTAATAACTCCCAAGATACACTGAGTGCAGATGGAGCATGAAAAGCAGGAATACTATGAGGAAAATAAGGGATGGAGAATTTTTTTTCATTATAAGAGAATGATTGCCTCTTGTTATTAAATGATAAGATCTGTACCAGTTCCTGTCTGATACATTATTGAAAATGGTGGAAAGAGGCCTGAACTCTAATGCCATTTTTGGAGAATAAATGAGTGTGTTGAGAAATAATTCCCCTAATTTGATGTAGACTGACCTGTGGTGAGTATATGTTTTGGTGTATAAAGGTCATGGTAATATATCACTCACAGGGAGTTCCTTCATTAAGTGGCACCCTAGTAGAGGTCATGACCCCTTTGGCCAAAGACTGGAAAGATCTCTTGCTCTGAATGGGATGGTTCTTAAGTGACCTTGGATTGTGAGAATATTCTTGATACTTTTCTGGAAAAAAGGTCTTCTCTTTGATCCGACCTAGATCCGCCCATTGCCTCCGAAGCTCTCGTTCTTCTCTGGCTTCCTCTTGAGCAGTTCCCTCCCCTGGATGCTGGTCTGGTTGGATACCAGAAACAAAACACAGGTCATCATGGGGACTCTGCGAGGCAGAAGCTAGTCAAGAGCAGTAGCGGCAGATACAAGGAGTAGCCAGACGGCCATGCTCACTGGTTGGTTGGTTTGCTTGGTAGCTTCCTATGTGATGAACTTCCAGTGCACCTGCTGTCTGATCTAACAGTGTGTGAAACTTGCAGTGGCTTGTATTCCAGTTCTGGAAAATGTCCTTTTGAAATAGGTGCTTTTAAATGGTACTCTGTCCCCTTAAGTATTGGTTTTCTAGAGTACGCCCATCAAGTGGGGTCCCTTTCATTCTCTGCAGTGCTAGCACTTTGGTGGAATCTTCACACAGCCCTCTCACCGTGTCCTCATTTGCCCCGTTAATAAACACGTGTTTTGCCCCCTCTGTGCCCCATGTGTGCTGCAGACTGAATTTTTTTGTGAATACACCAGGTCCTGTTTCCAAGAGTGTTTGGAACACTCTGCCCTGTTTTCACCTCTCAGACTCTTCCCACGGGCAGGAATCAGCGGTGCGTGGTTGACAGAACAAACGGGGCTTACACGTGTCGAGCGATATGAACGTGAGCGGTGGGTCTTCCCTTTTTCTTCTTCTTCCTTCAGTCCATGCCACAAAGCTCTAGTTTTGTAGTTTTCCCTTTCAATAAAGGCCAGAATATATATCCTATGAATCTTGCAATTTTGTGTGATATTTTTAGTTTTTTTAAACTGAGCTGTAATTGACATATGACATTACATTACTTTCAGGTGTATAACATGACTTGATATTTGTATATATTGTGAAATGATCACCGTGAGTCTTGTTAACAGTTTTCACTGTACATACTTACAGACTTGTTTTTCATGTGATGAGATCTTTGAAGATCTCCTCTCTTAACTTCCAAACATTCGGCACAGCCTTATCGATTAGTCACCGTGCTCTGCTTTGCGTCATCGGGACCGTGCTTTTGGACCGGCAGTCATTTCCTCCTCCCCACCCCCCGCCTCTGGCAAGCAACAGTCCATATTGAGGAATTCATTGTTTTGGGTTCCCCATGTAAGTGAGATCATGCAGTAGTTGTCTTTCTTTATTGGCCTCATTTCATTTAGGGTGATGCCCTCAGAGTCCATCCATGTTGTTACAAATGGCAGGGTTTTTCCTTATGGCTGAGTAACATTCCATGTACTGTATTTCGTTATTCATTTGTCTATCAATGGACACATGCATGTCTTGGTTATTGTGAATAGTGTTGCAAATAATTTTTTTAATTACCATCCTCTTTAGATGTCTTGTTATGTAAGAGAGGCATTGGTCTTTCGATATGTGAGAAGGCCCTTGTATCGTCATTGTTTCCGCTAACTGCCCCAGCCCTGACTTCTGGGGCTCTTGACACCGCCTTCCTTCCCTGGCGCATTGTCTGTAACTTTAATGCCTTCGTGTTAGTCCTGTTTTCCCTTCCCGTTACCAGCGCTGTAGTCCAGGCCTTTGCCGTGGACTGTTAAGTCATTCTCCTCCTCTGGGGCTCTCCTGAAAATACTTCTTTGAAAGTAATTCTGCAGCTTTAGAACTTTGAGTTGTCTTGTCTCCCGACCCCTGACCCCACAATTGCCTAGAAGGTTAAACCCAAATTTTGTAGCTTGGATTTCTGGCACTATGTGACTTGGCCTCTACTATCCTATACAAATATTGCTCCAGGAACATACATTTTTATTAAGCATTGTATCATTCAGCGAATACTGGCTGAACTCTTGTTTTGTGCTATGCGTTTTACTGAACTTGGAGGATTTCAGTCGTCAGAGGGATGTGCCCCTGCAGAGCCCAGTTTTGTGAGCCTTGCAAGAAGTGTGGCGAGGCAGGTGTAGGGCAGGTGGTACGTGCCCTGACAGAATGGACCGGGCGCTGCGCAAACACGTAGGAGAGACACAGCCCTGAAGGTGGAGGAGGTCGGTGAGACCTGCGGCTGAGTGGGACTGGCCAGGCTGAGTCTGGTGTTGGGGGGCGGTGCTGGTGGTTCCTGCCTGGGGGCTTGTGTCTGCAGCCAGCTGGGGCCTGGTAATGCAGCGAGTGCTGAATCACGTGTGTCAGATGCACAGATGCGTAGGCCTGGAGGTGGAGAGATGATGGAGAGTGTAAGGAACCGGCGTGTTCGGGGTAGCTAAGCTTGCAGGGAGGGGCAGCCGATAAAGCTGCAGGAGAAAGCCAGGGGGGCCTTCCAGGGGGTTTCTTCACAGGTGGGCAGTCTGACCAGATTTGCATTCTGGAAGGTCCCTCTCGCTGCCATGCAGACGGCGTGGAAACCAGGGAGCGTCTGGACTGCAGGAACTAGTTAGTGGCTTGGACTGTGAAAGTGGAAGCAGGTGGAGAGAATGCTGAGGAGGACTGGGTGATGCCTTAAACGTGAGCGATGGATGGATATTCAAGAAAGATATTTAGGTTTATGGTTTGGGCAACTGGGGTCGCCAGTGAGGAGAAAACAAATTAGGTAATACTGCCCGTTCGCCTATGTGCTGTGATCATTGTGCTTTTGTCCCTTTGCTGAAGTTGTCGGCTTCTTCATGGTCTCTCTTCACCCCAGTCTGTGATGGTCACTCCTTCCTCGGAGTCCCTGGTGTAGTGTATCGCCTGCTCCTTCAGCCCCGGCACGCGCTCTCCCTCGCAGCTGGCCTTTCCACCTCCCCTGCGACACGGCGAGGCCCCGGCAGCGCCCGTTGACTCAGCGTTGTCACAGCCCCTCTGCACTCGCCTGGGGGTAGTGGTGCTCCTCGTTGGGAGCCCTGCAAGCTCATCAGATGGGGGGTAGAACGTCTCGGACCATCCTGGAAATCCTTTGTCTTAAGTTGCCTTTTAGGAAAGAAGGAAAGAAAATAAATGGAACCTTGTTCTGTCCCTCTACTGAAAGTTCAAATCCTAAAAGATTTCTGCTTCCCTTAAACATATGGAGATCTAAATTCATTCTGGATAAGCTACTTACTAGGGCTAGAAATATAAAAGAAGGATAAGGCATAGTTTTTGCTGCCCAGTAAGGAACTGTCACGTTCGTCTCTCTGTCCTAATTTTATTTAAGACTCACGGCAAAGGCGGGAAGAAGGTCCTCCAGACGGATGAGTGGAGGCGCGGCCCCGTGGAGGAGCGCCTGGAGTATGCCCTTGTGAAGGTGAGCTGTGGGCCCTGTGCCCCTGGGAGCTGGGAGCTCGGGCCCTGCCCTTTTCTGATGTGGCTGCTGCGGGGGAAGTGCGGACGGCAAAGGAGACTCCCTAGGCCACCCCTCCCTAACTCGTCCCCCACCTTGGGCATATCTGACAGTGTCCAGGGACATTGTAGGTTGTCACACCTGGGGTGGGAAGTGTTACTGGATCCAGTGGCCAGGAGTACTGCTAAATGCCCTACGGTGCACCGGGCCGGCCTGCATGGCAAAGAATCATTCCTCCCAAAATGTCAGTATTGCCAAGGCTGAAAAGTGCTGTCCTAGACCTAGTTGCTGTGATTCAATCAAAAAGCAAGTCCTGGCTCTTCTGCTGATAACTGTAATATTAGGCAAGATAATCTCCTGGGCTTTAGTTTCCTCGTTTGTGAATCTGGATAATTTCAGAGGGTTTTTTTGAGGGGGTTGGTTGGCTCTAGAATTTTAACTTTTGACTTCTTGAGATTCACATATTTCAGGCTGTGGAACTAGTCAGCCACAGCCAAGGATCCTTGCGCTAGGGACGCTGGAGGGTGGGGCTTGACCACTGAAGGCTGGACCAGTTGGTGGAGGCTCTGGGTGTGAGCGTCACCTACGCGTGCTGCCTGCTGTCTTTCCTCCGCAGCCCCTAACACTGCAGTGAGAAATGCTGATTTCATAGGAGATATTTATTAATGTAAAATCTCTTCAACCACTAGGATAAAAAGCGTATTTTATTACAAATTTGAATTTATTAATCCCCTTTCTCTCCTAGCTTTTATTAAGTGTGTACTTTGTACCAGTAAAGCCCCCAAGCACTTCACAAAGGTGTCTAGTTTAATCCTCAGTGAAACCATACAAGTCAGGTACTGTGTGATATTGTAATTGAGGAAACTGAGGCTTAATGAGTCCCCTGAACTGGTGACAGAAACCAGGATTTGAGCCATGCAGTCTGATCCCAAATCTGTACTCTTAAGCGTTTCCATGATCCATTCTTTATGGGCTGCCTAGACTTAAGCCACTGTTTTATGTGATTTTTCCTCCCCTTTTTTTTGTAGGGCATTGAAAAACATATTATTGAGGATACTGAGGAAGCCAGGTTAAACCAGGAAAAATATCCCCGACCTCTGAATATAATTGAAGGACCTCTGATGAATGGCATGAAAGTTGTCGGTGATCTTTTTGGAGCTGGAAAAATGTTTCTACCTCAGGTTGGCAATAGATGGAGGAGGGAGGTGGATTTTCACAATGGAAAGGAAAAGCCTTTGCCTTTTAATAAATAGTGTTTGGATATATTTCTCAGGTTTTAATTTTGAAAGGGGCTCACGGGCATTGAGTTCTGCTCAATTTTTCTCTAAATGTGGAGGCTAGAGGTCATCTGGACATTCTAAACTTCTAATCTCCATGTCTTACCTTGTATACCACTTCTCCCTCCACATTAAAATAAAACCCAAGGTTAATGTAAAGTTAATATTAGTAACATTGGATTTGACCAACCAAATTCATTTTTTAGGATGCGTATTTTGACAAAGATATTACCATTTTAAATAGTGATACACATTAAATATGTTTTGAGTAAAACCAGAACTCATTTCAGCTTACAGCAGCCATTAAGCACAAATGCTTGCTGAGCCTTCTGGATTGCGGGGCTCGTGGGGGGTGGCTACAGGAGCTAAAATGCCTTTTTCTTTTTTTTTTAAATCACTTGTTCCTTACTGTGAATTGCCCATTTTCCTTCATAGCATTCAATCCTTTTTTTAAACAGGTTTATTGTTTTATGATTAACACACACTAACCTGCACACATGAACAGGACACGGTTTGGTCATTTAATACGTGTGCCTCACCGCTGTCACGCTCCCGCAGTCACTCAGGATGAGGACCTTTCCTTGTCCCATCTGCATAGTCTCCTCCAATCTGGGCAAGTTCCTCGGTCCTGGATTTTCATGATGTTGAGTTATTTTTAACTTTTCACTTTTGTGTTAACTTTAGACTCACAGACAAATTGCAAATGTAATTTAAAAAGTGCCTTTATATCCTTCACCCAACTTTTTCCCCAATGTTAACATTTTTACTTGACCATAGTACAGTTATCAGAACCAGGAAGTTAATGTCGGTTAGTTCTGTCAAATAAAGACCATAATGAAATCTCGCCAGTTTTTCTATTGCTGTTTCCTTTTGGTTGCAGGATCCCGCTTTCCTTTCATGCTGCCTTCTCTGTCAGTTCCTCTTGTGACTGTGACTTTTGAAGAGTCCAGTATAGTTGTTATATAGACAGTCCCTCAATTTGAGTGTGCCTGACGTTTTCTCACCTGGGCAAAAATAACAGAGTGGTGCGGTGTCCTTCTCCAGGGGTTGTGTCAGGAGGCCCATGATGTTGCTGTCCCATTACTGGTGACATTAATTTGGATCACTTGGTTAATGGCATCTGCAGGGTTTCTTCACTGGAAATTTACTTGTAGGGAGAAACTCTGACCCTGTGCAAATACTCTGCTTCTTACCACACTTCCACCTATGAATGTTAGCATACACTGATTGGTTTTGTAAAAGGCCCTGTTCTCTGTTCTCACTCAGCATAAACCTTAATCAAAAGTGAGTTACAATGCTGGGGAATACGATGGGGAATGAGGAGAGAAGGCCAAGAAGCGGCTCTTGGTGGAGAAGCTTGAAGCTTGGAGAACAATGGAGGGCCTTGCCGGTGAAAAAAGACAATGTGCAAAGTTCAGAGGACAGAAATGGCCACAGCTGATCGCTAGCTGGTTTTCCTTCTGTGATGGTCACTGGCTCTCCCCTCAGGAACTCAGTCTTTACCTGCCCACTGTTGAAAGTGGGCTCCAGCGAGGCTGACTGACGGAGGTCGAAGCGTGCATCCCGAATTCATGCTGAAACTTCCCAAGTGGGTGTCAGCAGCCATTCAGGTGATCTGATAAAGATGCCTGACTCTGTGTCTTCCCAGGTTATAAAGTCAGCGCGGGTCATGAAAAAGGCTGTTGGCCACCTTATTCCCTTCATGGAAAAAGAAAGAGAAGAAGCTAAAGTGCTCTCTGGCACATTGGAGGAAGAGGCAAGTCATTTGTCCAGGCCTGTGGTTCCTGTGAGGGACTGGCTTTAATGCCTGTTACTGGGGAGGGATAGGGACTGTGGGGCCTGGCTGTGTTTGTCGTTGAAGGTAAAACAGGGAACTGAGCTCTTTTACCAAGTGTCAGAATACCGTGGGATTTTCCTTTGACTGTGGCTTTATGAAGCTTTTAATAAGAACATAATTTTTCAAACAAAGCCTGTGATTTCAAGACAAAATCAGTTCATTTGTTCATTCATTCGTCTATTGACCATTTACAGAGCTCCTGCTCTGGGCCAGGTACTGCAGTAGACACTGTGGCTATAAAGACCTGCCCTTGAGCGACTGAGTGAGGCTGGGTTTTGGAAACCTGTTCACTGAATATCCCCTGGATATGGGCCACGTCCTGGCACTACTGGTGGACTCGGCCTGATTCTGTGGCTGCACCACCTTGGGACACACTGAGCTTAGCTCTTGGTGAAGCTCATCCACTTTGCCCCTCAGATCTGAGTTCTTAAAGTGATGTGAGTTTGTGAATGGCTCAGGCAAACTTAGTGTTTATAACAATCCTGCTTGCCTTGCGTGCCTTTGTTTTTGAGGGAGGGGTGCCAGTGGTGCATGGAACAACACTGTTGAAGGTGCAAGGAGATAATTAAATGCCCCGCCCCCCCGCACACCGGGCAGCTGTGGGGTTCAGATTCTGATGGGACATGTGCCACTCGCCGGCTCGTCCTCCCTCCTCACTGTCAACTCTAAAAATTGTCACACAGTGTTTGGGGTTAAGGATGTCGGCTATGGGACTGTTTTGTATTTGAACCTAAGCTGCGCTTTAAGGTGGTGGAACCCATGATCTTGGCAGAAACTCCCTAGGCCAACACACAGGTAAGCCACCTTTGAGCTACTCAGGTGCACAGCTTCCCACCTGCGAAGCCCATGGTCTGGGCTCTGGGTCTGTCCTGGAGGTTGTCTTGGTTGCACTAACTTGCTTCCTGGGCCAACGCCAGCCAGGCTGGCGTAGAGAGCCAGGGGATCTGCTCTAGAGCACTTGGAGCAGGGTCCAGTTGGCACCTCTCCCCCTGTAGGACCCTTACCACGGCACCATCGTGTTGGCCACTGTGAAGGGCGACGTGCACGACATAGGCAAGAACATAGTTGGAGTAGTTCTCAGCTGCAATAATTTCAGGTAAGTGAAGTCTCGCTGCTTCCAACCGCTTATTTAAAATTGAAAGTATTACCAGGATAATTCTTTAGTGGGTGGAAGGGGATGACAGTGGATATTAGAGGCTATTTTTAGGTTTTTTCTTATTGTGCTTTCAAATTTTTTACATTGAACACACCCTTTCAACTGAAATAAGATAGTAATTATTTAATTTGTTGTAATTTCAATAAGGACAAAAAGAAAAGAAACTATTCAAGCAGGGTCAAAACAACCAAGAGTCTTCTTGTTTTTTTCCTTAATCAAATTTTTATTGTATTTTTTTCCATTACCACGTATCCCCCTTATCCTCCTGCTCCCCACCCAGCAATCATGATACCCTTGCTTAAGTCCATGTGCCCTTTTTCGTTTTTGCTCAGCCCCTGTACCCGATAACCTTCCCCTCAGGGCTGTCAGCCTGCTCTCTACCTATGACTCTCTCTCTGTTTTGCTTGTTAGTTCAGTTGGTTCATTAGATTCCATATATGAGTGAATCATATGGTATTTGTCTTTCTCTGATTGTCTGACTGGCTTATTTCACTTACCTAATGTTCTCCAGGTGTATCCACACTGTGGCAAGGCATAAAATTTTCATCTTTGTTAGAGCTGAGTAGTTTTCAGTAATTATTTCTTCAAATAGTTTCTCTTTTTTTTAAGTGTCAAAATCCATTATAAAATATTAAAAAATTTAAATCTGTTATAAAGTCTCAGAAATTAAAACATGACACCAATACAGAAATAATCAAGTAAATCAATGAAATAAAATGATCATTGTAGAAACAAACGTATATATCTAACAATGTAGTAATACATGATTAAACTGATATTTCAAATCAATGGGGAAAATAAGGCTTATTCAACAAATAAAGTGCATGGACCACTATTACTTGAAATAAAACAAACATAGAGCCTTATTTCACACATTATATAAGAAAATTCAGGTAAGTTAAAAATCAGTATGTAAAATCTAAGGAGTTTTAGGAGAAAATACAAACTAATCTATTTCTTACCCTGAAATAAAATATTCAAACCCAGAAGCTATAAAGTAATATATTGACAATATGACTATATTAAACATTTAAGACTATACAGTAATATACATATAAAAAAACTTAAAGGACAATAGAATATGAAAGTATTTGCAACACATCTATAAAAGGGTTAATAGGTTTTTTTAGGGAAAAAATTCTATGAACAATCAAAAAATGGATAAAGAATACCAAAAAGTCATTTAAAGCTTTTTAAAAATAATAGAGATAGGCAAGAAATATACAGAAATAGGTAAGTTTCAACAAATAATAAAGTAACGAAATAACACATCATTGTCACAATCAGATTAATAAGTATTAAAAATATTGGTAATATCAAGTATTGGTGACTGTGAAAGGAACTGTGTACTCATAGACTCTTTTTCTTCATCTTCTTATCCCTTTAGCACATCTTGCAATGCTGGTTTGGTGGAGGTGAATTCTTTTAGCCTTCTTTTGTCTGGGAAACTCCTTATTTCACTTCCCGTTTTCATTGAGAGCCTTGCTGGGTTAGAGCAGCCTTGGTTGCAAGGCCTTTGCTTTTCATGACTTGGAATGTGTCCTGCCATTCCCTTGAGGCTTGTGGTGTTTCTGTTGAGAAGTCAGATGCTGGCTATACCGAGGCTCCTGTCTATGTTACTACCTGTTTTTCCCTTGCTGCCTTTAGTATTCTCTCTTTCTCTTTGATATTTGCCATTTCAATGATGATGTGTTTGGAATGGGCCTCATTAGGTTGCTCTTGAATGGGACCCTCTGTGCTTCCTGGACGTGTGTGATTTTTTCTGTCCTCCAATGAGGGAAGTTTTCCATCATTACTGTTTCAAACAGGTTCTCTATCCCTTCCTCCTCCTCTTCTCCTTCTGGTATCCCTCTTATGTGGATATTATTATGTTTCAGGTTGTCCTGCATATCCCTAAATTCCTGTTCATTCTTTTTGAGTCTTTTCATTTTTTGCTCTTTCTGGGAGCTTTTTTCCTACCTTATCCTCCAGCTCGCTGATTCGTTCCTCTGGTTCATCTAGCCTGCTTTTGATTCCTTCTACTGTGTTCTTCAATTCAGAAATTGTATTCTTCATTTCTTCTTGTCTCTTAGTGATAATTTCTAAGTCCTTTTTCATGCTGATTTAGTTTGCAGTAAGTTCCTCGTAGTTTCCCTGTAGTTTTTGGTAATTCTCTATGAGCTCACTGAGCTCATTGAGCTTCCTTAGAACATTGTTTTGAACTCAGTATCTGATAGTTTACTTGCCTCTATTTCATTTAGTTCTCTTTCTAGGGATTCCTCCTTTCCCTTTGACTGGGAGGTGTTTCTTTATCTTCCCATTATTTGTGAGACTCTTCTCTTTTGCTTCTGATTCTTAAGTTGATCTGTCTTGATTTCCTGACTTTGTGGTGTGAACTTCTATGGTAGGAGACTGCTGTTTTTTCTTTCTGGATCTGCCTCTGATGATGCCAGACGTTGACCCTCTCTGACCTTAGGCAGTGTGTTCGAGACTTCAGCGAATCTACTGTCTGTGGCTATCTCCTTCAGTTGTTAATCTAGTCACTCTGCACTCAGCAGTCAGGTTTAGGCACCACAGGGCAGGGCAGAGTCCCTCCTGGGGGCAGGGTTATTGGGTCCTCTCATAGTGCTGCAGCTCAGGGGAGTGGTCTGCCTGAGCAAGATGGCAGCTGCTGTATGGGGGATGAGTCAGCACTGGGATCCCACCAGCTACCATCTCCATTCTCTCCCCAGGGCCTTTGTCTCCAGTCCCTCCTCAAGTGCCCCTAGTCCACTCTGAGCCCCCTTTAGCCAGGGATCTACTACTTGTGCCTGCCACTCTGTACTCAGCAGTCAGGCTTTAGCACCACTGGGCCAGGGCAGAGTCCCTCCTGGGAGCGGGGCTTTTGTGTCCTCTCATGCTGCTGTCGCTCAGGGGAGTCGTCTGCCTGAGCAAGATGGCAGCTGCTGTATGGGGGATGAGTCAGCACTGGAATCCCACCAGCTGCTTTTTCAGTTCTCTCCCCTAAGCCTCCTTTCCCCGTCTCTCCTCAGGCATCTCTAGCCCACTCTGCCCCTGCCTTTGCCAGAGACCAGGGTAAGTGGCTACAAATAAAAATTTATGTGTTTGCCTTTTAAAAGGCTCTTTGCATCTCTAGCTACCTATCTAAGGCAGAGAGCAATCCTGCCGCTTTCCACAGCTGGTTGTTATCTGTGTACTTTTTGGGCTGGTGCTGTAGGCTGGGGACTCCCACTTACGGTTTAGACCCCGCTCTTCTCAGGGGGATCCAACTGGCCATTTCAATATCCCTCTGCTGCTGCTGCCCATGGGCACCCCACCCACCTTCTCCAGTCTCTATCTCACTCCTTACCAGTTAGGTTGCGCTAAAGCTGATTCTTCTCTCTGTCTGAAGATATAAGACTCCTCTCTCACTATTGTTCAGTTGTTTGTTCCAGGTGATTTTTCCACAATTTAGTTGTAATTCCAGATTGGCCCTGGGAGGAGTTCAGTGTGACTTCCATTCACTCTCCACCATCTTGAAGTCTCCCAAGAGGCTTCCTGAGAATTGACCCTAAGCCAGAGTCTCTAGTAGCCAGCACACTGGGCTCCTACCCGTGGCTAGAGGGACGCAGCATAATTTCTTGTTCTCAATGAGCTGCCGTACTTCAGAGTGGAGATCTTAATGACACTGTCTACATAGAATTTGATAAGGAGGCTTTAACTGTACAATTTTCTCTTTTCTCCGCTTAGAACAGGACCATGCATGCTTCTTGGCAATGACGAAACTAGATTTTTAGAATGTGTACAAGTATAATCCATTTCTGACATATCTCACTATAACAAATAAATATTCAGCACAAAGTTATTTCCTTATGAGAGTTGATGACCTTTTAGTAAGTGTATGTTTTGCTCCAATTTCAACATATTCTTTATAATCCAAAGTCTAATGAACTACTTAATGTCTTTTTTGGTTGACATCCAACCAACAGTTTTTTTGAGCCATAGCCTGCTTTCCAATGTGCTGTGTTTTCTGTAGAGGAGAGAGACTCACTTCCACTGCAGCTGTGCCCCTTAGATTTCTCTCCCGCTGCCAGGTGAAAACTGCCCGTAAAGCCCCCTGTCTGCTCTCAACGTGTCTCTGCACTCTGCGTTCAAGGGTGATTAAGTGCAACTAAGAAGCTCTCTGGGAGACTGGGGGTTATGGAGCCAGTTCTGGATGGCACCTATTCCCTCTGTCTTCACAAGTGTATGTGTTCGCCTGCCTACTAACTGTCAAGACATAGCGTTCTCTCCCGGTCCTGGAAATAAGGACTATTCCTTGGAATGTATTTATTATTTTTTTAAAAAGATAAATATATTGGAGAGACAATATATTTAGTAGGGGTTGTTATAATAAGATTTTGCCTATAGAATAAGTATTGGGATATAGTGTTTGCTCCCTAAAATCTATAAGACATTTCTTCTTTGTCTCTTTTTAAATTCGATGTTGTTGACTTTGATTTGCTTTTATCACAATTAGTTAAAATTCAGTTCGACTAATTAAAAACGTTTGTAGGTTATCTGCTCTGTGCCATCCATTGTACTGATATTGTGCATTCAAGAAGCTTACTATTTATCAGGTTAAATAGCCAGGTACATATTTGACTGTGGTAATGGGATAAGAACTGTTGAAAAGGTGACTTGTAGGTAAACTTCATAAAGCATTCTTGAGATATTGTTGTCCTGTGTTTATCAATTTTTGTCTTGAAAAAATGGATAAGTAGCTGAGAGAATCATAGTAGGAGTATTTTTCCGCCAGTGCAGATATTTTCAGAGGCCCAGGAGAGCAGCAGTTCCTCCAGAGAGGCTGCAGCGGGGAAAGCCCGCTCACTCGCCTGGGCTTTCCCCGCCCAGCCAGCTCCTCTGACCTGCACATCGAAGGTCTGCTTGTCTCTGCCAGTGAGTCTAACTAGAGAAGCATCTGCAGATGAAACTTTAATTGTTCCTTGTACAAAGACACAAGTGTATGTGCAAACTTTTCTGTCAGGTCAGACACGCCTTTGGGTCTTGCGTGTTGTGACAATGGACTCCTGACTTGGGTGAGTTTGATGTTGTAGCGTCAACTAGTGGACATTTGCTCTGGAGACGCGCATGATGTAGTTAAATCCACTTCGGCTGCCTGGGTGAATCACTCAGCTAGTGAGTGAGCTAGTTAACCATCCAGTACCAAGTCCTAATGCACTCTTCTTGTTCCTGGTTCTTTGTCACTGATGCAGTGAATCTCATGAAATGATACAAAAATTTTTTTCTTTGTGTGTGGAAAAATATAAAGAGGACTAAAAGTGATAGTGCTGTCTAGACAGAAAATACATTTCTCATGGAGATGATACAATAGTGACTATGATGCTGTTAACCTAAAAATATAAAGGGCTTCAAAGTGAGATTCAACAAGCATTTATTGAGATTAAAAAAGTAGCTATTTAGGAGGCACTGATTCAGGCAGAAGCCCAGATAATATTCCGATTAGGAGACAAAGGCAAAGGGTACTTATGAGAAAGGAAAGGGGAATGATGACATCAATAGAAGGAAGACATTTCCATTGGTGCAGGTAACATAGTGATATTATTCTAAACAAGGTTTTAATTTTCAGTCCAGTAATCATCAGTCCAGTAGTCATAATACCTGTTTTTTGACACACTTGCAGTTTGTTTGGAAACAAGGATGCTTTTAGGCCCAGTCCAGAGGGTATTTTGCTATTTTTATTTTCCAAAGTTTTGAGGGCTAAGTCGTGTGAAGCAGCTCTTTTGTGTTGGCATCTCCGACCTTGTTTATGCAATTGTTTATAATTCAGTAGATTTTCAGAATTTGAATAGATATATAAGAATGTATCCACCTATAATCTGTTACTACTAACATTTGTTTACCACTTCACAATTTATATAGTGCTTTTCTTTCTTTAATCCTCACCCACAGACTTTTTTTTTTATTGTTTTTAGAGAGAGGGGAAGGGAAAGAGAGAGAAACATTGATGCAGAAGAGAAGCATTAATTGGTTACCTCCTGTGTGCACCTAGACTGGGTATCATATGTGCCCAGACCAGGGATTGCGTGTACCTAGACCACAGATTGAACTGGCAACCTAGGCATGTGCCCTGACCTGGAATTGAACCCACAACTCTGGTTATGGGACAGTGTTCCAACCAACTGAGCCACACTGGCCAGGGCTCTATAGGGCTTTTTTTTTTTTTTTTTTTTTTTAAGATTTTTATTTATTTATTTATATTTAGAGAGAGGGGGAGGAGAGGGAGAAAGAGGGAGAGAAACATCTGTGTGAGAGAGAAACACCAATTGGTTGCCCCTTGTACGCACCCCAACTAGGGACTGAACAGTAACCCGTGCATGGGCCCTGACCTGGAATCTAACCCACAGCCTTTCACTCTATGGGATGATGCCCAACTGAGCCACACCAACCAGAACTATAGTGCTTTTATAGAACTAAGTTTTGTCTTTTCCTGATCTTTTTCTTTTCCTTTTCTTTCATCCTTTTTTAAAAAAAAAATTTTAATGATTTTGATTCTGCTCTGCCTGCCTCAATTATTGTATTTCTCATTTAACAGATGAAAAAAACAAGGCTCAGTGAAGTTCAGTGATTTCTTCATGGTCACACGCACAGCTAGCAAGTGGCAGGCCATCCTCAGGGCTTCTAATTTCAAAAAGTCGAGACTCTGCTATGTCAATTTACTTTCCAATGTTTATCCCATTATAAAGTTAAACAACTTTAACCATAATGTCTAATATTAATATTAATATTCTAGTTCAATTCCTCTTAAGAAGTAATTTTAAATATTTTTTTAATCCACACTCGAGGATATGTTTATTGATTTTAGAGAGAGAGGAAGGAAGGAAGAAACATCGATCGTTTGCCTCCCATTCTTGCCCCAACCAGGGATCAAACCCGCAACCTAGGATGTGACCTGACTGGGGATTGAACCTGCAGCCTTCTGGTGCACAGGACAGTGCTCCAACCAACTGAGCCACGTGGACAGGGCTAGGATATTTTTAAATATTATTGATCAAATATTTGATTACCTGAAAGTAGATTTTAGATACACTTTAATAATAATTGTGTAAAGATAAATGTGGGCTTTCCCATTTAACAGATAATGCACACTATTTAATTCTGTAAGAAAAAGTAGAATATAGTAAGAGAAATTTTAAAATTAGATACCATACATCTAGTACTTTAAAAACTGTGGATTTGCTGATACAAATAATGAGCCATGTTTATATTTTAACCAGTGGTTCTTAATATAACTGCCTAGTATGGGTTAAAAAAAAATTATGCAATATATAGCCAAGAATGAAATACTTTTAAACTATATCATCGTGTTCCAGTGTTCAGCTGAGTGAGGAAAATGACTAAGTCAAGGGTGCACTGGTTCAACCTCTCCTACTCAGAGGCTTTCAACTTGATATCGTGTGTCTGTAGGTATGTGTATGTATAAAATATATAACATATAGTTCTCCAGTGTTTCTGAGATATAATTGACGTACATTGCGTAAGTTAAGGTGAACAAGGTGCTGATTTGATACACTTACCTATTGCGACGTGATTAACACCACAGCGTTAGCTAACACCTCCATCACGTCACCAAACTTATTTCTTTTTGTGGTGAGGACCCTGAAGATTTACTGCCTTAACACTTTCAAGTACATAGTGTAGCATTGTTAACCGTATTCACACGCTGTGTATTCATCTCCAGAACTTATCTAATTGGAGGTTTGTAACCCGTGAACATCATCTCGCCATTTTCCCCACTCTCCAGCCCCTGGAAACCACCATTTCTTCTGCAGAGTAAAAGGGACTTTATTATAATATTTATTTTCTAAATTGTATGTATTCTTAAATAGTAGGATGTTTTCCCTCACACATTTAGTGCGGCTTGCATTTCTTTTCTGAATTGGAAGCCCAAATTAAATGCTCGTGTTTACAACTCTATTATAAATAAGCACTTTAGAAATATGATTATAAAATTAACATTTTTCTGTAATATTTTTATTCTCTTTAATCTCTCAGGTTGCAAAATAGAAGACTGTAAGCAAAGGCCTACAGGAAACAGACATGGGGTATAGCTCAGAGTAAAGAGGGGACACCCAGGGCCGTGGAGATGTAGGGTGGCAGGCAGCTGTGGTAGATGACAGAGGAAGTGGGAGGCGTGGCGTCCCAGCCGGGCGGGCGGGACCCAGGCTTTCCTCCCGGGCTTCAGGTCCTGTCCCTCAGCCAGAGTTCCCAGGGCCAGCGGGGTCAGGATTTGCCACTGAATTGTATACTTAAAAATGGTTAAAAGGACAAATTACATATTGTATATTCTTAATATGTGAAAAGCTATTGAACTGTATACTTTAAACGGATGACTAATCTGCTTTGTGAGTTATATATCAATAAAGCTGCTTATAAAAGCTTAGCATAGTGCCTGGCATATGGTTAGGTACTCAGTAAATGGTAGTTGTACTTAGTATTTAGTGAGCATTTCAGTGCGATTCCAGTTTACATCAGAGCAGTATTTGATGGCTAAATAAAAATGTTCATTTCAGCCCTGTCTCTAATCTGTTCTCCTTAATTTTCTCATGTCCCATTTCTGTACCTCAGAGTTATTGACTTAGGAGTCATGACTCCCTGCGATAAGATACTGAAAGCGGCTCTTGACCACAAAGCAGGTACGGAGCAAGGGAGCCTGCGGGCATCTCCGCAGCGCCTGCCCGTGGGTGACTGGTGCGCCCCAGCACAGGCGGGAAGGCGTGGGGGCAGGCAGGCAGCGGAGGGCCAGCTCCGCGCGGGGCTGCTTTCAGTGCCGTTCGTAGTGGAGGTTGCAGAGGTGAATGGGGCGCGAAGCTGCTGTCCCGCCCTGAAGATGGGAGTGGAGACGGCTTTCTTATGAGAGAATGAAGTTGTATTAGGCTTTTTTCTGTGTGTCGTGTTTATGTTTCTTGACACATTGTGACACATTCAAGTGTGGGACCTAACTAAACATTTATTCTATTGCATGACTTACCAAAACCATGGCAAGTCTAGTATTGCAACTTTAAGTTACAAATCATATTTACTGACAAAAGCAAATAATAAATTAAAACCCCCAGTCAGAAAAGCTTTCTTAGAATTAGAAATTGGGAATTCATATTATATCTTATGGTCTTTATTACAAAAGTTTTTTAAATGACTCTTCATACTTTCTTCCTTTTCTGTCATCCTCCTTCTAATTTGTCCTTTTTTTCTTTTTTTAAACAATAGATATCATTGGCCTCTCAGGTCTCATCACTCCTTCACTGGATGAAATGATATTTGTTGCCAAGGAAATGGAGAGATTAGGTATAAAGGTCCCGCTGCTGATTGGAGGGGCAACTACCTCGCGGTGAGTCATGCTCACGAGTTCGTGCTTCACTTTGTGTCGCGGGAGTGCTGGTGTCTGAGGGCCGTGCTCAGGCCAGGGGTTGTTCCTTACACTTCTCAGTGCATTGGCCTCTCGCATACAAGCACGCGCACTCCCCTGCCTTCCCCTGGGCAGGAGGAGCGCTCTTGGGGCACTCTGGGAGGCCTTTGGGGTCCCCGCTGAAACAGCCCCTTCCTCAGCCCTCCCACTGGCCATTCAGCTCCTGAGATTTATAACGAATACTTAGTCCTCTCCAAATCAAACTAAGTGGAGAAGCTGTGTTTTTGGCACAAAGACATGACATGAACTTGAGCCACTCTCTGTCTTGAAGCCGGCATCTGATGGAATAATTACAGGTTCCCTTGATGAAAATCCAGCCTTGTGATAGTGGCGACCGAAAGCGAGAAGGAACCAAACGCTCACTTTGAGATGGTGTTTTTGAAAAGATGAAGCTTTGGCTTAGACAATTTAGGAGATAGTTCGGATTTGGTCACATGATCATTGCTCAGTTTGTCAGATTTTTCCTGGGGTCATGATCATAACAATATTTGATGAGAAATGTATTGATTATTATGTGTATTAGGCTTTTTTTTTTTTTTTTTTGATTGAATCTTTATGGGCGCTTTATTCAGATGGCAGGCAGGCGATCTGAGAAGACGGAGGGTTACGTACCTTAACAGACCATCTTCGTGTATTAGGCTTTTCATGCCATTTTCATTATGCTCCATACGTTCCCTTTGTCAGGGAGTAATGCCCAGTGGAGCGTTGAACTTGACAGTCCCACAAAGCATGCAGTCAAGGTTTGGCAGGAGATACCGCAGAGTTCCTTTCACACTAGAGGCATGTATGTCGAGCCATTGCATTAGTCAGGGTTCTCCAGAGAAACGAGAGAGACAGAGACAGAGACAGAGACGGAGACGCAAGCACAGAGAGGGACCAATTTTAGAATTGGCTCGTGGGCTTATGGGAGCTGCTGAGCATGGAGTCTTCGGGGCAGGTGGGCAGCTGGGGACCAGGCTGGAGCTGGCAAGGCGGTGCTGTCTGAGGGGCAGACGTCCTTCCTCGGGGCACCTCAGTTTTTTCTTGTCCCGTCCTTAACGGAGTGGACAGAGCCGGCACACGTTGTGGAAGGTGGTCTGCTTTGTCCAGAACCTACTGATGTTAATGTGAATCACATCTAAAAATATCCTCACAGAATCATCAAGATTGGTGTTTGACCAAAAACTGGGATCCATGGCCTTGCCAGATTAACATTTATAATCTGAAGGGATCATTTTCATGAGAGTCAGAGTGTTATATGTCATTTATCCAGTAACTGCTTTCATACTTGAGGACTCAGTAGTGTGGCTGTTGCTCACAGCAGAAAACAGGGTTTGCTTTTCCACGAAGGACTTCTTCACTAGGACGCCGGGGACGTTGTTCCCCAGGGGTGTGACCGACCACAGACGGTGGGGGTTTCAGCAAGCACGGTCTTGGGTAACCGTTGATGGTGGTGGGAATACTTACTAGCTTAGTAAAGAGAGTGGTGAGAGAATCTGCAGACTACTGTCAGAATGAACTATCTTATAAAACCACGGTTATAAAATAGAGTAAGTGAGCAAATGTGATGAAATGCATTATGAATTATGTAAATGTGATGCTGATTTCTTCCAACATAAGGACATTTTGTATGGTAGGGTCCCACTCAGAAGTTCAGGTCAGCAAACCACATTACTTGTGCAAATTGGAACATTTCCAAATAGTCCATTCTTTCATCTCTCTTACCAAGCGAGAGTCACCAGATTAAAGAGGTTTTTAAAAAACATTCAGAAGCAACGAGTAACCTCTCAAGATACATTATAGGCAAAAATTAGCCATAAATGCCTCTTAACAGCTCTGAGCTGGTATATCAGATCAGAAATCACACACTAGCTCTTCATGCTGTTGTGAAGGCCTGTTCTCATCATCTGGGGGCCAGTGACTGTGTCCCTACCCAAGGACAGAGAGCTGGGACCCAGGACCCCCAGGTTTCTTCCAGCTCTGTAGTGTTTTGGCCCAAGAGCTCTGTCCTCTCTGGTTCTGTTTCCTCCCATGCCCGTTGCAGTTTCTGGAACGTTACTGGGAAACAAAAGCTGGCCTCAGTGCTTCCAGGGACCGCCCCTCTCTCCACTGCGGGGCTCGCTTCGCCTTTGGAAAACAGACTCGGCCGCAGCCTTCGAGAGCTTCGTTGTAGATTCCCAGGCCTGACTCCATTCAGAAGTTGTGACAGTGGGTGTCTCAGCCCTGAAGTGTCACTTCATCAAGCCCTTGCATTTAAGTGAGCACTTTCACTGAAGTCTAACAGTCATGCAGAAAGGACATACGTACATCATAGGTGCATAGCTTGATTGATTTGTACAAAAATGAAGCCACCCCTGTAACACGCCCAGATCAAGAAATAGGACATTAATGGCATCAGGAACTTCACAGGGTTCCTTTCCAATGGCAGTAACCACTGTTCTATCTCTGTCACCATCAGCTGGTTTTGCCTGCACCCCAGCCTTGTCCCCCGCTGCATGCACCCTTCTGTGCCTGCCTGAGGCCCAAACTTGTTGTTACAATAGTTATCCTCTCCTGCTGTGGTTTAATGGTCCATTGTATAATATACTACGTCTCATTTCTTATCCGTGCTACTGTCGGACATTGCTTGGTTTTTACAGTTTGGGCCTATTACACAGAATGTTGCTATGTCTGTATCTCTGTCCTGAAGCCAACTTGCTGGCTCGTGAGGTACACATATGGTCATCTGCGGTAGAGCTTGCCAGGCGGTTTCCCAAAGCGATTCTGTCAACCTGCAGTTCCCACCAGCAGTCATGAGATTTTCAGCTATTCCCCATCGCTTTCCATTTTACCCATTTTTCTGTGTATGTATCTTGACATGATTTTCATTTGTATTTCTCTGCTGACTGATGATGATTTTTCATGTCTTTGACCTTTTTTTAACCATTTGAGTATGCTTTTTAAGTCTTTTTTTAAATTGGGTAGTCTGCCTTTTTTATTGATTCGTATGTATTCTTTATTAATACTGTGTACAAGCTCTTTATACAAAATATATTTTACAAATAGATTCTTCTGATATGGCTTGCCTTTTGCTGTCTTAGTGGTATTTTTGGATAACAAAAATTCTTAATGTTTGTGAAGTCTGATTTATCAGTCTCCTCCTTCATGGTTAGAGGTTCTTGCATCTGTGTAGAAACCTACCCAGTAGCAGAGGCCGCTGTGCCAGAGAGCTTTGCGGAGCCTGGATGCCTCAGACGCCCTCTGGGGCCTGGGTGTCCCCCGCTGCAGGCCTGCTGAGACTCGGCTGCGCTCCAGGGCTTTCCTCTGCTGGCTGCATTTGAGCAGATGGCAGCTCAGGACATCCAGGTTGTCATGAGGGCAGACCCCTGAGGGGCCGTGACACCACTGGGCCACCGTGGCTTTTCCACCCTCGGTGGCCCGTGGTAGCATCACAGAATTAGAGTCGTCTACCTGAGACACTTGGAAGGAGGCTTAAGGCTGTCTATTGGACAGGCCCTTGGAGAGGTCAAGAGGTTATACAGACTTGCGGTGGAAATACACTTGGAATGTCCCCGTTTAATCTGTAGCTGTGAGAGAATAGAAAACTGAATGTTCTGTGTGTGTGGCCGGCGGTTTTGGTATCACAAAGTAGAAAGGACTTGGTGGAAACCTGGCCCTGTTAGCTTCTCAGGGGTGTGAGCCTGGCGGTCAGCGCTCAGCTTTTAACCATTTTAAAGCCAACGGTTGTAAAATGTCTTTTTCATTTATTCTATTTTTTTGTGAATAATAATTCAACAGGACATCACATTGCTCAAAGCTAGAGGTAATTTTCTGATTTTTTAAAAATTGTTAGGAAGTAAGGTGCTGACTCAGAACTGATGTGATTTTCCTTTGAGTTGACTGTAGGGCAGCTTAGTGCTCAGGCCTGTGCACTGGGTTTCATGGAATGAATTTTATATGCTAATTTTACCCTGATTGCATCTTAATTTCCCATCTTTATTTTCCCTTTCTCTCATTTTTCTCATCGCATTTGAAGTTTTGGTCATGCTGCATTTATACGAAACACTAACTTAGCTTTGGGATAGGATATGACCTGAAATAAATGTTTGGAGTACCTGTTCTTTTTCAGAGTTTAAAGGTGATTTTCCGAGGTTAGCACTGTCGTGCCCTCGTGGCAAGTACAGGAGATGAAGACCTCCGTCTAACGTGTGGATGAGAGGCGGTGCAGGGGCGGGGCCCGTGTGCATGAGAGGCTGCGCAGGGGCGGGGCGGGTGCCGCTCAGCCTCAGCATTGCCCTGTGCTCCTGGGGGGCGGGGGCGGGGGCGGGAGCGGGGAGAGGCCAGCGTTCGGTGTTTTTTCAGGCTTCAGAGAGGTGTCTTCGTCCAGCTGGACAGGCCTGCACAAATGGGAGCCTAGGAGAAAGTGGAATCGATGCCTTATTATTGTACCAGGAAACCAAGAGCACTCTCGCTGCCTGAGCAGGCTCGGATCTCGTGCCTGTGCTCATCTAGCTGCGTCAGTTTTACGTTGGAAAGCAGCACTTTGCTTTTGATTTATACTCTCACTCAAACAGTGGGGCCCATCAGTTGCCTCTCAGTGCTCTTGCCCAGAGGACCATCAGAGAGGATGGCCAGAGCTGCGCTGAGAACCCTTGGATGTGTAATAAATATTAATTGTGTTGATTTTAAATTTTAAAGTCATACTGGTTCTCGTTAAGAGAAATATCATCTAAGTACATCAGGCTTAAGACAATGTTTCTGGAGGAACTTCCTGCAGAATTTCTGCCGACGTCTATTTGTATGTTCAGGAGCTGACCTTCTGAAGAAGGGGAAGCAAGTGGAGTCTGACTTGTCCTCTATTTTGAAACTGGAAGCAGTTTCTTTCTCATAACTTTCCCTGCTGTTTGAACACCTTCCCCTTCGTGGGATACACAAGAGCCTTGGGTCCCCGAGCGCACAGTGGGCACCAAACGTCCTCAGAAGGCAGGGGGTTCTTTGGCTGCTCCAGGACCTTGGCCTGGGGCCTGCGGCTCCGTCCCCAGCCCCGCCCCCTGCAGTCACCTCCTCAGGCTGGAACCTGCCAGGGTAGCCCAGTTCTTGTGGCTGGGACTTCAGTCCTTCGCTTCCTGTGTATGTACGGAGATGTGCATACCAAGGGGTCAGGGAGTAGCTTTCTCTGCCTTGTTTAGAAGGAATTTTTAGAGTCTTCTCTGAGAAGCCTAAGAAAAACACTCACATGCACTGCACTTTTAACTCCCTCTCGGTTTTCAAAAATCACCTGAAGGATCCACACTTAGCAGAACATGTCAAACAGTGTAGGGGAGTGAAAGTAAAGTCTGGTCTCCCCCTGCCCCCTTGGCGCCACCTCGCCCCTCCCCGCGGCCAGTGCTGGCGCTGCCACGTGTGCCTCCTGGGGTCCTCGCTGACTCTTCAGAAACACACGTGAGCGTGGTTGGGTGGGGCTGATTGAGTATGGTAGTATTTGGTTTTTGTTTTTGTTTTTTAAATATTTATTTACTTTTTAGAGAGAGGGAGAGAAACAACGATGTGTGGTTGCCTCTTGCGTGTCCCCCACTGGGGACCTGGCAGCAATCCAGGCTTGTGCCCTGACGGGGGATCGAACAAGCGACCTTTCTGTTTGCCAGCTGGCGCTCAGTCACACCACCCAGGGCTAATGTCAGTTTATTTAAAAAATAGAATTATGGCAAACAGGTTGTTCTTTGTTTTTTTCTCACATATTCTGGACATTGTTGCAAATGCAAATATATTTTAGTTGAGGGGAAGAACACAACATGCCTGTGTTTAGTTGAGGGGAAGAACACAAAACGGGGGCAGAGGGCTGCTGCTTTAGGGCCGAAGGAAGGAGAGGCGGTGGCAAGCGCTGTGTGCCGGTGGGGGCCGTGGCCGCCAGCACCGAAGGGGGGCTTCGGGCCCTGGTTTCACCCTGGTAGGGAGGGTGATGCCTTGTCAGTTCTCATGTTACTGTGTTATGCAGTAAGTGAAATAGCACATGTGTGGCTTCTGTTGTTGCTATAAACATCCTTAATCAGGGCAGTTTGTTTTGCACTTAGGTAATTTAAAGGGTTAAAGGATCTTTGCCAGCACTAACATTTTCAAGGTCAGGGATAGGGGTTTGGGCTGAGCCAGTGTTGCTATGAAATATTTTTGTTGCTTTTGCCTCTCTATGGTATTTGCTGTTGAATTTCCTTGGGGCCTGAGGTTCCTTCTACAAGTACAAGGTGGGGCTGGGCCAGGGCATGGTGGCGACTCCCAGGGACAGGGTGCAACAGCAGGGAGTGGCGTCCTGCCTGGTGCCCGGTGCCCCAGGGGCCCTGGCTGGTACCCCAGCTTATTTGGAGGAGGATACTCAACGTGCCCTTCCTGACGCTGCAGTGTCATTGCCTGGACTGGGTGGTTGAGCGAGGCAGCTCATGCTCAGGAGGCCGCAGGCTTGTGCCCCGCCCGCTGCAGAGGGCCGAGGGCAGAGTCTCTCGTCTTTGCCACAGACTTCGGGCCAACGCCCTGTCCTCCCCCATCTCAGGGTGGGAGAAAGTCATCCTTGTTTTACAAGGGAATTTTGAAGTCCAATATATGTAAGTACCTTGAATCTTTCTCTGGAAAGCACTGTGGAAACACAGTACCTCTGACAGCTCTGAGCGAGGGTTGAGCGGGAGCCATCAGCACTCATGGATGTGTTTTCTTCTGGCCTCCATTTTCAGAACCCACACAGCAGTTAAAATCGCCCCGAAGTACAGTGCGCCCGTGATCCACGTCCTGGACGCGTCCAAGAGCGTGGTGGTGGTGAGTATGGGGCCTCACCTTGCTCGGCATGATCGGGGGGAGGACAGAGAGCCGTGGGAGTCCGGGGTATCGCCTAAGGTCCGTTTATTTTTGTCCAGTTGTATTAAAAATGTGAAAAAAATGGCCTGTGCCTTCTGATGGTGTCCCTGCCATCGTGTGAGTCGCTGGAAGGGGGGCACTGAGTGTGCACTGGGCTTTCAGAGTCCACCACCTGAATGGCAGCAAGAGCGCTGGTCTGAGCAGCAGGAATGGTGGGACCAAGACACCGCTGGCTTGGACTTCAACCCAGAGACAGCGCTCTCAGCCACTGAGAGACATTTATAGACAGGGACGGATGCTTCCCTAGCTCCCCGCCTGAGCTAGAGGAATGTAGGATTTTTTAAATGTCCTGTTTCCAGATCAAAAAACATTTAACCTGGAATGAGCCAGATGACCCTACCTAAGACGGAAAAACATTCATCTGCCCTGGCTCAGTTGGTCAGGCGTTGTCCTGCCACCCAAAGGTCGCCGGTTCGGTTCCCGAGGAGGGCACACGCCGGGGCTGTGGGCTCTGTGCTCTGCCTCACCAGGGTGTGTGCCAGAGGCAGACGGCAACATCTGCCTCTTGATGTTTCTGTCTCTGATCGGTACTTCCATCTCTTTCTATCTCCCTCCCTTCTCTTCTCTCTCAAATAATAATTTTTTGTTAATGTAAAAAAAAAAAAAGAATGACATTCACTAGATGTTCAGAACCCAGAGTAGTAGGTTCTTTTCTTAGTGAATGCAATCAGCAACTCACCTCAGTGTTGTTTCCTCCTTGTCTCCATCCGTGAAGCCTAAAACCCTCTCTTGTGGCAGCTTTTATTGTTTTCACTAAATGACAGGCTCGGAGAGCAGGAAGGTGGCTGCGTGACCGTGTGTCCAACAGTCTCCAAGTTTGTTTTAGCCCCAGGAGCCTTGTTCTCACCCGGAAACTCGGTGTGGCACCGGCAAGAGCCGCCCCGCCACCCTTCATCCTGCCCCAGTTCTCAGCGCAGGAGCTCGAGTCACACACCGCTTGTCTGGTCCAGCCTCCACGCCTCGCAGGCGAAGGGAGTTGCCAAGGTGCGGGGTGAGCTCACAGTCGGACTCGGCGGCCACGTTTACTGAGCTATTTTCCAAAGGAGTTCTTTCAGATCTGTGAATTGACTGATATGAAAGCAAAGTTAGACTTGCTAAGATTACTAAAAACTTGCAGTGTGCCAGGCACTGTGCTAAACGTTTTGCATGGGTTCCTACTTGGACCCTCATGAAGTAGATACCTTCACTGTCTATTTTTTAGAGATAAGGAAACAGGGATGAAGAAGTTAGTAACTCCTTGAGGCTGCACATCCGTCAGGAGGCAGGTCTGGGGTTTGATGCAGTTGGTCTTGCTCTAGGCCAACCATTTTCCATTTGCAGGCCACGCTCTGGACCTGTCTTGAGTGCAGTGACACCACCACCCCTACATTAGGGGAGGGCCTTCAGCGGGAAGGAGTCGGCCCCTTGTTTCCGTGTGGAGGACAGACTCCTTCACCACCTTGAAGAGCTAAAGTGGGTGGCCGGCCTGAGAGCCGCAGGGGCCAGCGCGTGGGCGCCTGTGCTCCTCGCTCTTTGGGCCAGCAAGACGCCCACGGTGCTCAGCCCTTCCCCTGGGCTACAAGAAGCGGCCCCCTTTTTCCCGCCTCACCCAAGGGCACCTTTTTGTTGCTTTTAGAGAGAGAAGAAGGAGAGTAGGGGGGAGAGAGAGAGAAACATCAATCCCCCCTCTTGCTCATGCCCTGATCTGGGATGAAACCCGCAACCCAGGCATGTGCCCCGATCGGGGACCCTTCGGTTCATGGGACAACACTCCAACCACCTGAGCAACACCGGCCAGGGCAGTGCGTCCACCTTTTGAAATTACTCAAACATAAGTCTGATGAGGAATCAGTAATGGCTAGTGACATGTGTCAGGATCAGTGGTGTAGCTGTTCAGGGTGACTGTCAGTTCAGTTTCTTGATCCAAGTGCAGTGAGTGTGGCACAGGCCCACACTCTGAGTCACTGTCTCGTGCACTTGAAAGATTCCAAAACGTGGCACACGTAACAGTTGGATGTTTAGACCTGAGGATGCCCCTTTCTTTCCCATGTAATTGGCCATGAACTTGTTTCCATGGACAAACCAGACTGGACAGGGTGGAGCTTGTCACTGTGCTCTGGGAACAGGGGCTCTGCAGGGGTGTGGCGGTGCCCACCGACTGCTAGCCGTGGGTGCTTCCACCCAGGACCCATGTCCGGCACCGTCAGGTTCTTCAGAGGTTAGGGTTTTGCTTTCTCAGAGTTTAAAATCGGGCAGAACACATGCGTACGTGGGGGCGGCTTGGGAGCAGAAGCGCCGTTCCTACTGTCTTTTAGCTCTGCTGGGGCATGAGGACTTCACCGAGGGGGGCTCATGCGAGGCGGGCAAGTACTCGGGGCGGTGCATACCGTTTGAGAGCCCATTTTTAGGCTTGCCACCAAGGCCTCATCTGATTATGGGATGTTCCTTGATAAAGCAATACAGTTTTATACTAACTCAGAGGCAGTCAGATTGTTGGTAGAGATACTTAGCAAGATCATGGAGAATTCTGGGCATTAAAGCTGGGGTCCCTCTAGCCATCATCCAGCCTCACTTCCTCCACTTCAGGTGATGCTGTCGAATTTCTTGCTGTTTTGACTGTTAGGAAATTCCGCTGGAAGATCCAGAGATGGGAGTGTTGTGGTTTTTGAACTGATGTGATCAGTAGCAGTAATTTCTCCCTTTTTAAATAAATTTACTTGGAGTTTTTGTGGTAGCCCTTCTACCAACTTGGTAATCATCGCCATGAAGAGTATTCAGCTGATCCCAGTTTCACAATTTACTGAGTAGCCTCGCATTTCTCAGATGACTGGTTTCCATTCTTATTTTAGCAGAAGCTCAGGGCTGACTGTGAAGATCAGCCTCCTTCCTTCAGCAAACACTTAGGAGGATGCACCTTGCACATGCCAGGCACTGAGCTGTGAACAGGGCCACAGTCCACCTCAGAGGGTTTGTCCTCTAGGAGGGGAGGTACAAACACGGCAGATGCCAAGCCTGTGATAAGCGCAGGGATGGAGAGATGAACAGAGCATCTTCGAAACACTAACCAGCTGCCCAGTTAGCGTGTTGTGAGTCCCCAAGACCACCCTCACTTTTCTTAACTTGCTAGAAGGACTCACTGAACTTAAAACACTGTTATACCCACAGTCCTGGTTTATTACTGTGAGAGGATACAGATTAAAGTTAGCAAGGGCAAAAGATGCCTAGAGTAGAATCCAGGAAAGACCAGGCACGAGTTTCCCCATGTCCTCTCCCCATGGGGTCATAAGGACCTTAACTCTGTCCCTAGTGGTACACAACAGCAGGTACAGGCAGTGACAACCAGGGAGGCTCCCCTGAACCCTGGCGTTCAGGCTTTTACTGGCATCAGTCACCTGGGCACCCCGTCCCGGGCCAGGCAGGTGCAGCATGAGCCAGGTGCCCCCGCACGCACATCACATGTTAGCGTAATGTGTCTGGTGTGGACCAAGGCTCAGGGTTGGGTTGCAGGCACTCTTATCAGACAGGGTGTTGCAGGGGCCCGTTTTTGTTGTTGTTTGTTTGTTTGTTTTGGAATGTGTAAGATCCGAACCTCCTAGCGAGTTAACCCTTTATTGCACCGCCAGGCAGGTGAAGGGAGAGGAAACACAGGAAAGCTTCCTGAAGAAGGTGTCACTAGAACCAACCAGTGTTGCACATTTCACCTCCTTTGCTGCACTGTAGCTATTACTGACTTCTATCTTGTGTTTTCAGTGTTCTCAATTATTAGATGAGAATCAAAAAGACGAGTACTTCGAGGAGATCACAGAAGAGTATGAAGATATTAGACAGGACCACTATGAGTCTCTCAAGGTAAAGAAACAAAAACAGTCACCGCTTGTTTGGGTAATAAAACGACCCTACGGTTTTTAATGTGACTTCACTGTTTTGAGAAGGACAAAGGTTCCGAAACATTTTAGAGAAGTCCTATTTTCTAGTTCAAGTCAGAGTTCTTCAGTGTCTGAGTTTCCAATAATTCTTGGTTATATTAAAATTAATTTTTTTATTCCTCCAAACATGAATTGGGTAGTACGCAGTAGGTGTTAGGTGCCGTGCTAGATGCCTGAGTTATGGGAATGAATAAAACATGAGCTCATAGCCAGCAGGGAGATAGGAACTGAAACAGTGCAGAGAGGACACCGCAGATCCTTGTCTGTTCTTGAGGAGACAGTGGAAGAGAACGAAGACGTTAGAACTATTGTGAGCCTCTCTCCCTGACTGCCCAGCACTGACCGTGCACGGCAGTGTGTCCTGTCCTTCTCCCGGGGGCCTTCAAGGACCCGTGGGGAGTAGGCATAACTACTCCTTAGAAGTCATTGGGCTTGTATTTCTTTCTGGTTATCTTCCTACTGAGTGTTGTATGGGGGTGCATTTGGGGGATTGGCGAGGCAGGTCAAAGTGGGATAACAAGCACCATGAAGAAAACGGGTGTTTCGGAGCTGTTGGCTCCCCCCAGACACTGGTCGGCTTCCCCTCCCCTTGGGGGAGCCCGCAGTCTATGGTGTCGTAGTTCTCAGTTCTGCCTTCTGGTCCTCTGGGCTGTGGACAGCAGGCCCATTAGCTGCCCGCCCCCTGGCTGTTACAAAGTACAGGCTGTAGACACTGCAGGCCCACCTCCTATTTATGTATCAATATTTAGTAGGTGTTTATTGAATCTTTACTCTCTAATGTTCTAGTACTAATGTGAAGCCATATTCGATGGAAAAGGAAGAGTATTTCAGGATATGAATTCTCGTTAATAAAAGAGTTTTCTTGCAAAACTTATATACTGGCTTTCTTGGACACATTTTTGTAGTAGCAGCTGAAAACCTAAGAGTCTCTGACTAAATAACTTTTTTTTTTCATAGGAGAGAAGATACTTAACCTTGAGTCAAGCTAGAAAAAACAGTTTCCATATTGACTGGCTGTCCGAGCCTCCCCCAGGTCTGTTGGCGGCTGCGTAGGGAAAGGCTGCAGGTGGCAGCTGGGGGCTGAAGGGCCATCTGCGTTCACTTGGGTACAGAATCGAACAGGCAGTTAGAGACCCTTAATTGTGTCCAGTATGATGATGAGTGATAGTGATGACGGGAAATACAAGCGCACGGGTCCCCTGTGTGGAGCCCCAAACGCTGTTCAGAGGGGACCCGGAGCGGCTCCAAGCCCTGGACACAACTCTAACGAGTGTGCTGTGACCCCCGCTGCCGTGTGGGGTAAGAGCTTGGAAGGTGGCAGGACTCTGCCTCTGATCCGCCTTCTGAGCCCTGGGCCCCGTCCTCCGTGCTGCGCGCGAGCGAAGCAGGCTCTGCAGGCCTGCCTGGTGGCCCCGTCGCGGCACTGGCGTGCGTCCCAGGCAGGCCCAGGCGCCGGCGGGATGCTCTGGAATGGGAAACGCCCTCGCGTTGAGCAGACCTTTAAACACTTCAGCAAAGCAGGCTCTCCTGTTTCTTGTCCACTCTTTCTCATTCTCTCTTAATTTCCTTTATTTGGTTTCCTTCCTTTTGTATTCCTAGCCACCTTTCTTGCGTTAAGTGGGTGTTCACGAGGGAATAAAGTGTGTAAGGTGCTTTGACATAGAGAGTCATGAGATATAAATGCAAAACCGAGACAGATGAACAGGGGTTATGTTAATTAAATCCATATTTTCAAGGTACCACCTCAAATCAGCTTCCATTGCCCATGCTCAGCAGAGCTGAGAGAATGAAATTGGAAGTGCTGAGCTGAGAGAGGTTTAGGGGGAGTTGGAATCCTGGTTTTGGTCCCAAAGTGGCTCCTGGCTCTGTGTCATTGTGTGATCTTGAGCATCTTCTGATGGGTAAAAAAAGGAGTTACCGTGTGGAAATGTGAGGATGAAATAATATGCGTAAATCTTTGAAAACCAGAAATCACCATCTGGTTCAAACTACTGTTTTCTGTTCACCTCTCATGCCCGAGGCCACTGGCCTGGAGGTCCCGTCTTCAGACACGTTTGCGAGGGCAGCACGGTCGTAGGGTCGCTGCAGGGAGTCAGTGAAAGGGGGGAGGGGGGCCTCTTCTCAAGTTATGTGGTGGTTAAACCTCCAACAGAGTAGAAACTCTGGAAGACAAGCTTACGCAAGACCGATGTGTGGCCGGACAGCCCCCCTGCCTTTCCAGGCAAAAGGAAACTTTCCTGGGAGACTGTCTGTAGTTTCCTTTTAGTTACCAGACAAAGAAGGCTCATCTTAAATAGGAAAAAGATGACCAGAAGTAAACGGGAAAGAGTTACTGTGAACATGTATGGAAAGGTAGATTCCAGCGAGAGTTAAGAAGCTCCCCGTGCTTGCCCTGTACTTTCACCTCTTACTTTCACTGTCCAGTGAGAGGAACACACTCCTGAGACTCCTGTTCCCCTAGAAGGGGAAACACACTCCTTCTGACCCCTGTTTACCGGGCAGGAAACTGAGGATAGGAGGGCTGGGAAGTGGCAGTGGAGCTGGCACTTTGGACCTTGGCCTGACCCCCCCACAGGCCTGAGGGTGGGGGACAGTATCGCTGCTCTTGGTGTCCAGGGAGGCTATGTGCATACGGAGCAGTAGGTGGTATAAACTATTGTTTGACATCTTTAAACTTTATATTCATGTCTCTCTACAGTGCTCTTTATTGCAGTGTTGTTCTCATTTGTGCATGTGAAGATTATCCCAAGTCTCTCTTTTTTCTTGGGCAGGGTGGGGGTGGAGGGGTTGAGGGAGGTTTCCAAGGCGATGTAGTCTATGGCTACATGGGAGAACGGTTTTATTTAAGTTTGACTGTGGAATGACTCATTCTCCATGACAATTTAAAGTTCTCCTCTTTGTGAAACCACTCCTACGGGTGGCAGCACGGAGGCGCAGCATGGGTGCCGGCCGCGCGGGAGAGGGCCGGCCGGGAGGCGCGGGGCAGGCAGGCCGCGCACGGGCGCTCGGCCCAGGCCCGCCCGGTGTCGGCATCGGTACCTCTCTCCTGCAGTGGCGCCCATGTTTCTCGGGACTCGGGTCTTTGAAGACTATGACCTGCAGAAGCTGGTGGACTACATTGACTGGAAGCCTTTCTTTGATGTGTGGCAGCTCCGGGGCAAGTACCCGAACCGAGGCTTTCCCAAGATATTTAACGACAAGACCGTAGGTTAGTTCGGGGCTTCCTCCTTCCTTCTCTGATAGGGACACACAGTTCTGGGACTTCAAAGATGAGAATAGATAGTGTGCAGTGGTTTGGATTATGCAGGATACAGTTTATTATCATATAACATAAGATACTGTTTTATCTTCTCAGCTCTTTAACGGTTCTTATTTATCCACTAAATTTGACAGTTTGTGTACCCATTCTTTAGTAAATGTTTGACATCAGTTTCATGCCGGGCTCTGCGCCGGGCACTGGGGCTACAACGGAGAAGACAGTGTCATTCCTGCCCCCGGCACCTGGCTGGTTGGTGCAGCCACAGTGAAGGGGCACCGAGGTTTCTGTGGACACAAGAAAATGAGGTCGACTTCGGCCTGGGAGGACAGGGGAGGCTTCTTGGAGGAGATGGTGTTTGGGCTGATTTTTGAAGATTAAGTGAGGGCTACTGAGGCTGGGACTGGGGCCGGGAGGCGGTGTTGACGGAAAGGACATTACGGCAGGGGAGACGGTATGAGGGCACAGACGTGCTGACGTACAGACTGCAAGTCGTCCTTTGCGCCCGGTGCCTTGGTGGGGAAGGGGCATTTGGGGAGATAAGCTGGCGAAGTGGGTGAGTCCAGCCCACCCCCAGGAACAAGGGCTCAAACGCTGAGGCCTTCAGAGGATTTGGTAACAGAGCAGAGCCGGATGGAGGGGCCTGGGAGAGAGGAGGGCAGGTCGAGGGCTAAGAGGGGCCTGAGGAACCAGCCCTGCCCGCTTCCCGGAGGGGCCCTGCCATGTGGCCCAGCGGCTCTGAGAGCCAGGGCTGCAGCAGGCGGAGGGAGGTTCTCCTCCTGACCTGCTCCTGAGTGACCACAGGCGAGCACTGGAGTGGCCAAGAAAACGCCGGGCAGACCACACCCTTCACAGAGGACTAAAGACTCCGCCGGGCCCTTACCGAGGGGGGGGCAGCTCAGGGTCACATGCAGAGCTGGAAACCTGGGGGAGGGGGCCCTAGGGGCCAGGCTGCCTTCCAAGTGCATCGCCAAGGCCTCTGAAGGCTCCCCAACCTGCTGCTCGTCCACAGGGATCCCTGTGAGGTTGGGGGCCGTGTGTGTGCGAGGGGCAGTGGTGTGCAAGGGCTCGGCCTGCTCTGCGCCTCCCCCCCGCCCCGGTGGCAGACTGCTTTGGGAGCCACAGGTTTGGCGCTCTGCCCTCACTAAAGGGGGGGCGAAGCAGCGTGTGCTGGGGAGACAGACTGGGCACCGCCCACTGCTCCACCCTGGGTTGTGTGACACAAGCGCTGAGAAAGCCTCTCGGGGGGAAAGAGGGGTGAGAAAATGACTGGAGGGTGGTGGATTTAAGGAAGCGTTCGCTCGTTACTGACATCTTTAAGTGAATTCTTACAGTATTTTCCTAATAGGCGAAGAGGCCAGAAAAGTCTATGAGGATGCCCAGAACATGCTGAGAGCCCTGATTAGAGAGAAGAAGCTGCAGGCCAGGGGCGTGGTTGGGTTCTGGCCGGCGCAGAGCGTCCAGGACGACATCCACCTGTACGCAGCGGGCTCCGACCCCCGGGCTACGCAGCCCGTAGCCACCTTTTATGGGCTGAGGCAACAGGTATGCAGGGCCGGGCCGCGCGCAAGGGGCTTCTGCTGTCGGTGTAAGCACTGAAAGAACGTAAATGAGAATTAAGTACATCTGAGTTTTGTATGAACGACAGCTCTGCCCCACCTCACCCCAAATGACCAACCCCAGGCCTGAGCCCGAGGCCTCCGTGAGGACATGGAGAGAAGGCTGGAGTGCAGGGTCCGCCGATGAGTCAGGCCGTGGGTGCGAAGCCTGCTGCCGCCTCTGTGGTCACGCGCAGCAGCTTGTACACATGTCGTTGAGACGGGCTGGTGACTTTCTCTTCAAGGGGAGACAGGCGGGAGCAAAGCTTCGCTGAATGTGCACCAGGTGCCGGGTCCTGCAGGGCCCTGGATGGACCATCTTGTTTAATTCCCACACAGCCTTGTTCTCGGGCAGCGTACGTGCCTGTTCTGCAGAGGAGAAAACGAAGGTGGTGGAGAGTGTGCTGAGTCCACGGCCTGGAGGGGAGAGCCCCGCCCGTCCTCACTCCCGTGGCTGTTCTGCCACAGCACCGGCTCCTGTGGCATCGGGAGAACAGGCTCATCTCCACGCGGCCTCCTCTCATGTGCCCCCACCTTCCAAAGTGCGGATACTGTAGGCACGTCCCTCTAGCTGCTATAAAAAAAAAAATTGTCTTAATCAAGAATTGGAACCAGAATTCACCAGAGTTATTACTAAGGGTTGCAGTAAATTCTTGCAGTTTCACTACCATTTTAGTCCTTTAGAAGTGATAGTGTTGCTTTTAATCATAACCACAATATCATTCATAATGACAAATATTTTTACTCTTAACAACATCTGAAGAGATTCTTAAGTTGAGGACATCGAACAGCACCAAGCATGGTGAGCAAGGGTGGCCACATCGTCAGTCTGCCCTCGGCCTCAGACACTGCGAACACAGGCGGGGTCGGTCTCCCATTTGGCCCCAGCCCCTCCCCTCTAGGGAGCTGTTGGCTCTTCTTTTTCAAGTGGAACACGGGTCAGAGGCCTGTCCTGGTCCAGTTTTTCATCCTTCAGGTCCCGTGTCCTCTGAGCTCTTTTTATGTCCAGAACCATTTGTATCCAGGCAGTCTATGGTGGACTGTGTTAGGACATTTTATGTATGACTCGTCAACATGCATCTGTTACCTACTCAGATAGGTATTTCTGGACAGTTCTGGCTGCAGCGACTTCCTGCCCTGGGAGTCTGTGCTGAGTAGCTCAGACCCAGCCCCTCTGGAGTGTGGTCGTGCAGTCTGGCTTGGCCGTCCCTGTGCCTGGAAGTTTTGTGTCTCCCTCTTTGGCACAGAGCCACTGACCGATGGCAGAGCACATCTGGGGCGGCCCCTGCCCGCGTGGCTGGTCTGGGCTCCGTGACGTCTCCACATGTCGTCAAATGCCGTACCTGTGCCATCTCTGCCCAGTGTTGGCTCTCCGCTTGTTCACAGCCCCTGCGAGCACACTGTTTCTAAGCTTCTGGGTCGGCCCCTTGTTTGTTAACTGATCAGCGCTAAGCAGTGCTGTGTAGCGGTCAGGAGCGTTGGAGGTGGTATCAGACCCCGGGCCTGCCACCCTCTGGCCTGAGCTGGTTAATCAAGCTCTGGCTGCCGCAGATTTCTCATCTGCAATGTGGAGCCGATGGTGTTGTGTGCCTGGCATGTAGTAAGCACACTCAACAAATACTAGTTATTAGCTGTGTATATACCCAGTAAAATTACTGATCGTGAAATATTAAGGACTTATTTGTCAGTTCAGTGGCAGGGAAGAGTCAGTCATCAGCTGAAAATGAAAAAGGGCAGAGGCACCCGGCCTGGTGGGAGAGTCGCATTTTGATTCAAGTCAAAGGAGGAAGCTAATCCTGCTGAGCTCCTTGTTTGGAGTCAGGCTGGCCCAGGGTCTCCTGAACGCTGCTGCCCCCCCCCCCGCCCCGCCCACGCCCTCCGCAGCAGTCCCGGCCCCTGCGCGGCTGACCGGGCAGCGTGCTGAACTCCTTCGTGCAAAGCAGAGGCTCATATTTGGTGGACACCTTCTGAGCATAAGTGTAGGATATAATGTTGATTTTGAATATTTTTTACATAAATGTTCAGGCCTCCAGCTCCTAGTGCGGTGCGTGTGGCCTTCAATAAACGTTTGGTCCGTGGTGAAGGGGCACATTCACTGGTTTCTTGACTACATGTGTCATGTCATATTTTAAAATCTCATTTCATTTGTTCATTCAACAAATCTTTGAGGAACACTCTGCACCGTGCTAAGTGGTGGGGTAGCAGGGTGCGCAGGACAGACGGACATCCCCGCGTGAAGCCTGTGTTCCTCTGGGGAGAGTCTGCTGCCGTCCGCTGTAGGTGCCGCCCCACCCGTGCTCACGGCCCCTCCCCCATCCCCTTGGACTTGCAGGCCGAGAAGGACTCCGCCGGCCCAGAGCCGCACCTCTGCCTCTCGGACTTCGTTGCCCCGCTGCACTCGGGCCTCCGGGACTACCTGGGCCTGTTTGCTGTCGCCTGCTTCGGGGTGGAGGAGCTGAGCCGGGCCTACGAGGAGCAGTGTGACGACTACAGCAGCATCATGGCCAAGGCGCTGGGGGACCGGCTGGCAGAGGTGATGCCGCAGGGCTCTGAGGACAGGGCCCCGTGGAGCCCAGGACGGTGCCAGAGCGCTGGGCAGCTGCGAGGCTCAGATGAGGCTGGCTTTAATCTAGTTCTAGTTGTGTGTTCTCAGATTGTTCTCCCACATCACCTTTAGTGGTGCTGCAGTTGGAAGTCACCCTTAGAACCTTGGCTTCATTGTGTTGTTTTCCTGAGGAGCCTGAAAAATTAAAACCAGGTGTTTCAGAGCTCATTTTCTAATGGAGGTGTCCTTTGTAGGTGCCTCCTCTTCATTTGCAGGGAGTGGGGAGGGCCGGGCGGGGGTGGGGGGCCCTCTCCCCTTTCCCGAGGCCAACAGTGGAGGAACAAGCAGCTGGAACGGTGCTGGCTTCCATCTCTGGCCACAGGGAGATCTTCAAGGAAATGTAGATGTTAAAAGGCTTAGAATCCTTGGGTCATTCGATATACTTCAGAGCCCAGGGTGAGGCCAAAACTTAGCCGGCAGAGCCGCTAACAGTACAACACAGGAGTCAGGAGTCCGCCCGTGCCCTCCTGCCGGACGTCCCCCACCCAGTTCCGGCAAAGGGTGCTGCCTGGTGGGGTCTGATCGAGGGGTGCAGGCAGCGCTGATGCCAGGGTCTGGCCTCTGCCTGACCCCCCGTCCCGGGCCCCAGGCCTTTGCAGAGGAGCTGCACGAGAGGGTCCGCCGAGAACTGTGGGCCTACAGCGTCGAGGAACAGCTGGACGTCACCGACCTGCGGAGGCTGCGCTTCAGGGGCATCCGCCCGGCGCCCGGCTACCCCAGCCAGCCCGACCACACCGAGAAACTCACCATGTGGAGGCTCGCGGACATTGAGCGGAACACAGGTACCAGCGGGGGCGCCCCCTTTGCCTAATCAGGCGGACTGGGTGCCTGCCGGCTGCGAGGCCCTGTGCCCACTCGCGGTGCTCTGTGTGGCTCTCCAGGTATTCGGTTAACGGAGTCGCTGGCGATGGCACCGGCTTCCGCCGTGTGCGGCCTCTACTTCTCCAACGTGAACTCCAAGTATTTTGCTGTGGGGAAGATTTCCAAGGATCAGGTAACTTCTCCATTTCACTTATCTGGCTTCCTGTCTTGTTTTAAATGGAACTGCGGAACCTATTGTATCTCACATGTGAATGAGAATCAGACATGAGGGAGAGTGTGAACAAATTTATCTCAGCAAAGGCCTTCATTCAGTTTCAACCCATGGCCCTGATTCGGGCCCTCTCGTTTACACGCAGACCACACACACCTACACACTCGCACACGCATACATGCCTGGCCATGCACATGCACAGGCTCACACCTCAGCTGGCTTCCAAGATTCAGGTATTTACCACATGTTGCTTTCCTGCTCAGAGAACAGACAACCTGGTGAATAGACAAGTGTCCACCTCTATTTAACTCAGTAGGTTGCTAATAAGACAAGAAATGGAAGGTACTTAATGTTTCCAGGCAACTCCTGTGGAAACTTCAGTTCAAAGAGCTGTATCATTTTGGTTTAATAAGTTGCTTTTCATCTTTTCCAGGTTGAGGATTACGCTCTGAGGAAGAACATGTCTGTGGCCAAGGTCGAGAAGTGGCTTGGACCCATTTTGGGATATGATACAGACTAACTCCTTGGTTTTTACCTTTTCTATACATCAGGGCGGCCCCCCCAAAAAGGTTGGGGGCCGCTGCTGTACTTGATCCTCAGGGAAATGTAGTCCAGAGTGCCTTAAAAAAACAGCAGCACGCAAGCCTGTCTGCAGCTGGGCAGGGCCTGTGCTGCTTTGTGCTTTGTAAAACTGCCCGGTGAACCCTGAGGGCGGGGCCCTCCTTGGCCCCTGGCAGACCAGCCGCGGTTTGTCAGGCCCATGGCGGGCAGCGGGCGGAGATCCGGCCATGGCCGGTGGCTGGATCCCAGGGACACGCTGGAGATGGAGGTCTTGTGCATTTCAAAGCATTCGCCATGCTGCTTTCATTTTTACGTTGGGCCTAGAAGGACACTTTTTTTACTCTCGCTCTTAGAAAAAAGGCTGAAGTTCAGTTGAAAAGAGCTTGTGACGCAGTGGCAAAAGGACACTGTGAGGAGAAACAGTGCGGTTGAATCCAGCGGTCACCACAGTAGACTCTGACAGGGAAGAAAGGATAACGGCTCTGCTTCGGGGAGACCTCGTCTTCTAAAGGCTCGTTCAGAGGGCGGCAGGGCCCCTTTGGCAAGCAGCAGGCTGCAGCCGCTGGCTTGTCGGGCTCCAGCCGTTTGTGCGAGTGTGGTCAAATACAGCCAGTTCTCTAAGCACTTTGTCTTCTCGTAGTTCCGTATTTCTTAGCCCTGAGGGGAAGGAGGAGGTGGGGGAGAGAGTGGCTGTTAAGGGCGGGTAAGCTCTTCCCATTTTTCTCTGGGATTGACAGGCTCTCTGCTAGCGTGGTGTGTGCCGCGTGTGGTGTCCTGGGCAGAGTTGGACAGGGGAGCAGCTCAGCCCCCCTCAGTGGTTGCTTTTCAGCACTGTCCTAACTCCAGGCTCGTTTTGTGGGGTTCTTTTTCTTAAAGATTTTATTTATTTTAGAGAAGGGAGTGAGAAAGAGAGGGAGAAACATCAATGTGTGGTTGCCTCTCACACCCCCCAAACTGGGGACCTGGCCTGCAACCCAACCATGTGCCCTGACTAGGAATTGAACCAGTGACCGTTTGGTTCCCAGGCCAGCACTCAATCCACTGAGCCCCACCAGCCAGGGCTGGACTGGTATGTTTCAGGAATAGCACACTGACTTGTTCTCTGTCACTGCCGGGGAAGTGGATAAGAACACAGGCTTTGGAGTCAGATACACTGGGATTCAGATTTCAGCTTTGCCACCTACTCCCTGTGTGATGGAGGTGAATCGGTGAAGCCTCCCACGTTGTTTTCTCACCTGTAAGACAGGGCAGTGGTGCCAGGTCCCATCACGTGGGCGAGGCGATGCACGTACGGCGGGTAGCTTGGATCAGGCACACAGAAAGTGCTGAGTGAGCCACAGCTTCTGTACTGCTTTGCGCACAGTAGGTCCTCATGGGAAGGGAATGAGAGCTTAGTGGAGGTGAAAAGACATGGGGAAATGCATGTGGCAATGACTGCAGTGCATATGACAGGTGCCCTGTGCGGTCACTGCCCTGTTTGACGTTGGGACTGGGAAGGAGAAGCTGCCCCCTGTGTCACATGCCCCTGTCATGACGAAGCCAGCATGTCTGCCTGAGCAGCGACATCGAGTGTGCATGCAGGCACATTGGAGGGGAAAGGGGGACAAACAGGAAAGGACGGCCCTGTGCCTCTGGGGTACAGTCATGTCTGCTTGCAGGCTGACGCCTTCTCAGGCACTGCTTATCCTTCAAGTGAAGAAACTGTTCTTTTGGTGCATTGAACTCATGCCACACTGAGAATGGGACTCAGTCTCCCGGGACACTTACCCGGAGGACTTGCCTTCTGCTCCCCAGCAGGTATGTTATTCTGGGCTTTGGAACATTCTTCCGTGAGAAAGGACAACCTTCAAATCCAGTCATGTGCTGCATAACGATGTTTCGGTCAACGACGGACTGCGCCTGCGATGGCGGCCCTGTAAGATCATGTGGCGCTGAGCTTGTAGAAACAGTGGGATAATGGTTCCCAGGGGCCGCGGCCGGGGAGTCGAGATGTGGTTTCAGGGCACAAACGTACAACTAGAAGATAGATAAGTTCTGGAGATCTAATGCACAACAAAGTATTTAATTAAAGTCAGTAATTCTATATTGTGAGCTTCAAAGTTGCTAAGAGACTAAATCTTAACTGTTAACACAAAAGAGCTACAATAAATAACTGAGGCGAAGATGTTAGCTAACGCTACTGTAATCATTCTGCAATATAGAAATGTATCACAGCAACACCGTAAACTCTCACAATGTTATGTGCCAATCATATCAGTAAAAAAGTGAAAACAACCCCCCCAAATACAAACCAGCCAGGGCTGCCGAGCCTCTTCAGGCACAGTCAGAGCTGAGCCGCCCCTGCCAGAAGCTGGGACGCCCCTGAGCCCCCGCAGCATGTCCCCTGCTCAGTGAGCGGCCTCCGGACCTGCCGGGAAGCAGCTGGTGAGGCAAGGCCCTTGCAGGGTTCCCGCAGCCCCGAATCTTCTGGGACCCATTAAAAGTCAGCACGTCCTCTGTGTGAAGCACATCTGCCGCGCCACTGCCTGGATTTGAAGGTTGGGCACCCAAGTAGGATGAGAGAGATCCCCCTCCTTTAACCAGAGTACAGTTACGTTATTTCTCCCCTGTGAAGCCAGATGAGAGCATCTTCTGCCGTTCTACGGGCCAGGCGAGCAGCACCTGACACGGTGATCTTGGAGACGGTGCTGTGGGAAAGACGGTTCACAGGGTGGGTGAGGAGATGCTGGGGCAGTGTGGTCACCAAACGGACGTCATCCGGGCTGCCAGCTGAGTCCCTGGCCCCCGAGTGGCTGGGTGTGGCTGAGCCCTTCCGTGCAGCGGCCTGGAGGGAGGCCCGGCTCCACGGCAGCAGAGCAGGAGCACCTGACCTAGGAAAGCCGAGCAGTTGTGGGGTTTTACTAAGTGAAAAGAGAGGCTTGGTTTTGAGTACCACGTTTAAATTTTTACCCAGCGTGTAGGGTTGGAGGGGCCGGAGAAGGCTGTGCGTGGTGAGGAGTGGGAACAGGCTTTACAAGGGGTTTGGCGAGGTGAGCAGCAGGCATTCATGGGTGTGCTCGGGGGCGGGCGCAGGGGCAGAGTCCTGGAGCCGTGACCGCCCTGCAGTGGGGGTGGGGAGGGCTTCACACGGATGTCTTCCTACCAGCTCCATAAAGCCTGCCTTCTGCAGGGAAAACGCTGTGAGCGCCTCTTCCGGTGGTGGGGGCGGCCTTGCCCATCGCTTCCACCTTGTGCATGCGGGCCATTTTTATTACTTCTCTCAGGTGGAAGTCTGGAAATCTAGGATTTTGTGATTTGGTATCGGGCCCTAGCAAGCTAGAGCCCTACCTTGCTATCAGACCCTACTAAGACTTGCGGTGATGGGGGAAGAGCATTTACAACCACCCTTTTAGCTTCTCTTGCCGAGTTCAAACAGTGCCCATGGTATGTGGGAGAGGAAATGCTGGCTGAGCCGGTCACCTCTGCCTCATGATGGCTGCGGTCCCCAAGAGGAGAAATGTGTGCTATGACAGGCATTGGTGTGTTAACTTGGTTCATCCATTTATACTCTCACTCGTCAAACATGCCTTGGGCCCCATCCCATTCTAGGGCATTGTTAACGTGATAACACGGAGCAGGTTCCGGGGTCTTGTGGAGAGTAGCTTGAGCTTCGTCATGTTACCCGGTGTCATTCAAGTCCTGGACATCCTCCACTGTGGGTTTGCAAGCAGAGGCAGCTGCGCCTGGTCTCCCTGTGTGATTTTGAGGAAAGCTACCACCCACGTTTTCACAGGCCCCTCTCCCCAGGCCTCACCGCCGCTGCTGAGTGCCGCCCAGCGGGGACGCGGGAGCTGCGACCTGCTGCTTTGCCCCCACCACCTCCGGTTTTACACGCCATCAAGCGAGTGTGGCTCCATTTCTCCTCTTTAACCTGGGTTGGAACAAGTATGCTGTGTGCCGCTTCTGAAGACCCTGGAACGATGCCCTAGCGACAGAGCTGTTTCTGAACATCACTCAGAACTCTGCCAGAACCGGTGCAATGGGGGGCGGGGGGGGGGGGGTGTGCGCGCACGCATGTGCGTGCAAGCCCTGTCCTGGATGTTAGAGGGCAGTCTGTGACCAGCCATGAGCATAAATGCACTTCAGCGTTGCTTCATGAACACGCGCAAGAGCAGCTGTCAAGCTTCCCTCCCCCTTGCCTCCCGTGGCCTTTGGGGAACAGGAGTACCCAGCACCGCCCCTGCATGTCCCCAGGCTGCGCTTCCCAGGAGCATTGACGGGAAACACCCGCCTCCCAAAGAGAAGCCAGTCCTTGCACAGGCTGCTCCGTAGAGGCTGGAGGATGCAACTTGTCTCCCTGCCATTGCTCTGTGTCATGACTCCCTTCTTTGTTCTCTTTCTTTCCTATAAATTTGTTTTCTGAGTGTTGGTACATTAATTTCACAGTATCAGATATTTAAAAGCATCCACATCCCTTGAAACCATTTATTTGTTTGGTCGTTGGAGGGTATTTAGGCTGAGTACTGCCTGGAGAAGGACCCTGGCTTGCCTCGTTAAGGCAGGGAGCCCTCAGGCGCCCGTAACCGCCAGGTCCTGTCTGTGATGAACTTGCGCGTCGTCCTGTGGTTTGTGTGCTGGCCCTTCCTCCGAACTCACGTAACTCATTTTGGGGACACATGCTGCTTTGGAGCCATCACATCTCAGGCGATAGGTGTAATCTCCTGAATGAGATCATAGGACATTGGCACGTCTTCCCCTTTCTTTGTGAGCTTTGAAACTTCAAAGTGTTTGAAGAGAGCAGCTATGTTGGGGTGTGTGGATCCAGAGTCAGCCCGGGGGTGCACGCCTGTGCACCACGGGTGGCAGGCCTCCTCCCCCTGGGGGCCGGTGCGCTCAGGCAGGGTGCTTTCTGTCTTGCTTCAAGACCACCTCCTTCCCCTCCCACGCCTCCAGCAATCACCAGCCCAGAGATGTGGGGCCACCAACATGACCTCCAAGCTGCAGTCTGTCCACCTGGAAAGCGGCCTCACCTCGCAGATGCTGCGGGAACTTGAATCTGTTGCAGAAGACACTCAGCACTGCGCCTGGCTTCCCAACAGAATCTTCCCAAACTGAGGACCCTGGGGAGATGTTTAACTTTCTCAGCTCTTCTCCATGTTTTACCAGAAAACGAATGTGACACTACATCAAATGTGCCTCACTTGTGGATGGTGTGTGTGAGCCCAGTGAGTGCCAGTGGCACAGGGGTGTGCAAGGACGGGGGGCCCAGCTGGCGAGCCTGAAGTTCGGCAGAGGAGCTGCATCCCTGCAGGGGCGGGCGGGGTGCAGAGCAGGGCCTGCCTGAGGAGGGGGGTGACTCTGGTCTTGTCAGTGGCCTATCGTGACCGCAGCATCACATTTTTGTATAGTAACCTTTCTCTGCATGAATGTTGTCTTGATTTTCTCTGTGTTCATTCCTTAAAGTAGTGAGTGATCAACATATTTTGGTTCTTCAGTTATGATCATTCCTCTTGCAGGATTGGATCTTACAAATGGATTACCCTGGTCACCAGGAGAATCCTCCCAGACATGATGGGTGGCTTTGTGAAGCCTGTCCCACGGGGCTCCTATACTTTAAGCTGTGTTT